TCAAAGTTTAGAGATAAATGCTTTGAAGTTCGATCACTTGACTAGCAGTTATTATTCGAAAGACACGCCCATCGATCGAAAATCGCGTATCTATCTATCACCGTGCTCGACTTCGTATTTTCGGTTTTTTCAATATTTTTCTTTACTGCTCCGCCCCTATTGGCTGTAGGGTGATGTAAATTTTTCAAACCGGACCAGTACTTCCTGAAATTAGCGGAAAATTAAATAGCTAACAAAAATAGTCTTCAGCTTTATAATATTAGTATAGATTATGTTATAATGCCTAGATGGTATTTTGCAACAAAAATTAAAAGTGATGGTCGACTGTACATTATGCCATGGCATAGAAATGATTCATATAAAATTTTTAATTGAAATTTTCTTTGGCGAAACAGCTGTATAGTTTCCAGTGGAAATAATTGTTTGTTTCAATGACTAGAACGCAACGCCTTCCGGTCTGCCTTGACCTGACGATAATATAGGCTTATTGAGCTAGTTTCAGCCCGTGACATTGTCTGCGTTCAGTATGTCGCAGAAAGGATTTTCAAATTCAAATATCTTTATTACTCAGACTACAGTATTATTAATCGAATAAAGGTGTGTTTTCATCCATATTGGTTCAGTGATTTAGTCGTGAAAATGTAAAATACAGACAGATCTATTTTCGCATTTATTATTGTATCGCTATTTTATGATTACGTATGTTATTTGCACTTAAATGTTTAAATTTAAAGCCTACCGTTATATTAGTAAACATTTCAAAGTTCAGAAGTTTAAATACAGTTTTGAGACGGAACCAGTTAAATTGTTATGATATTATAAATATGTATAGCAATATAATTAATGATAACAGTGGATATAATATTTACTTACTTCTGCATATCAGTCAGAGTTCAAATGATAAGTGTTTGGAATGCAACACACAATAAAATTACGTAAGTCAACCGCGAAGTGATTTAGTTTATTATTATGCCAATTACCTACCTAATGGTTTGTTAATTAGGTGACTGCCCTTTGTGATACTGTTCTACTTTTAAAACTTAATTAATAAATCATTATAATATGGTCTAAGTTAATTGACTCAGATTTGTCTATGCCCTTAGTAACGTATACGTATGTATGTTTATATTTAATTTAATTTAATTGAAAATTGAAATGTTGAGATTATTGAGACAGGTTCTTCAAACTGTTATGTTTGTCTGATTAATTTCACTGCGGGTCCAATGACAGTTAAACTTTCCTCCGAGACAAACTTGCCTTTCACTGGTTGGGTTTTTATTGGCGGTCAAGCTGTAAATCCTGGCTACACAGGTGTTGCAGAGGTGGGAATAGTCCCGGAAGACAGTTTGGATTCTGAGTCAATACATTTTTGATACTTATTTACTTTACAGTTGCAAAGTCCTGTCCAGATTGATTGTACCTTACTCAAGATGTTTTTCACACTTTTCTCGTCATATTTTTTGTAAATTAAATAAAGAATTATAATCTTATCTTTTCATAGTATTGTCACGTGCCTAGCGATTCATGACGGTGCTTCCGACGTCTCTGAAGATAAAAATTATGCAAAATAATAAACAGGATATTTAAAATAATTTTGGTATTGAAAATACCTTATACATTCTACCCACACTTCGCTTACCCATTGAATGATATTGTGGTTAATCCTTTAACAGGTGCACCAAATTTAAATTATTTATTATTTTGAACCCAAAAACTAGGCAATAATTTTCAGAATAACTTAACTAAGACTAAAACTGAGCAGGATAGATAAACCCAGGCAATTACTTTTTGACTATCTTGCTTTCACAGAATTGTGAGTTTTGTGATAGCGCACGGATTGTAGTACAAAAGGATAGATAATTATTACATACTTGAGTTGTAAAGACCACAGGATACATCTTATTTAGTTTGTATTAAGGACTGTGTAATCGGATTTATCGGATGTGCTGTCATCAGGACATCGGGCAGTAAGTACTTTACCGCAGATACTTATGTAAGCCAGTCCTATTTTATGCAATCCATGTGCAACAAAAAACTAGGGCATTCACGTGCGCCCGCTCTACCTTCTAAGAAACCTTCCTTCCTGGTTTACTTTCTAAAGTGACCATGGAGACTGAGCAACCTTAGTACCGTGTAATAGGGGTGAAAATAAAGTAAATATTAAAATTATTGGAAACTGGTAGGCTCTGGAGATTTTATGACATGAAATAGGGGTGAAAATAATATTTAAAAGATATTCGTCGACATTATTCTACAATGCTGCGCCATCCAGACCCATACTAAGTAAAGTATTGCTACCAGACAACGGATATACACAATACACATCCTTGTTTTAAGGTCAATATGGTGGTATGGAACGTAACCTTATTGGTTAGATATTTCCATATAGATATAGAGAGATGCCAACTAATGCGCTGAGTTCGAAACTTAGTGTCGCATTATAAACTGACACACACAAAGTAATCAAAATATGTGCTTATTATCCACTGCAGTATCAGTACTCAACGTTCGAATAATCTTTAGTACTACGCAAGCAATGTAAACTGTTTACATTATGACCTCTGCAGCAATGTGTTCTGTTTTTGGGCATATTGCTGCGACACCGGCCCCGCCCCCTTGTCACATCTCCCTTTAGTTTCTGTGATCTGTGGATATTTCCATACTTCATGGATGATGATAGTGTCCAAAAATCAATCATGCATGTTTTAAGAATAAGATAACACATCACATCCTGTGTTATGCAAGGGTCAGTAGGAATTCGGTGGAAAGTTAATATTGGTATGCTTTGTATTTGGGGTTTTTTCAGCTGACATGGGAGTTAATATTTTACGGTTTATACATCGTAACATCGTCGAAGTATACCATGATGTATTGTGTTTAGACATGAAAAACAACTTACAAGTTTGAAATAATATTTTTTGGTCATAACACAGATGTTATTTTGGCCAAAAATAAAAATATTTGTGTCATTTGCATAAATGCATAGAAAATACCGATCACGTGATATTGTTATCATATTTTATGTTAATTAGTCCACTCACTCGGTCTAATTATGCCAGATAGTGTTTTGTTCACTAAAAATAGGACGCAAACGCGTGTTCTATTCTTCGTTTTGTTTCGCTGCATGTAAAAATAATTTTAATTCTATATTGTCTCTATAAATAGGTACTAAAATGTCCACACATATTTAGTTATTTTCATTTACCTATTACTTCCATATCTACATCTGGCGTTAGTCTGGAGTTAGTCTGCAAGGCTAGTCTAATTAAGTAGCTATTGTATTGGCCTTTGTACATGTATGAAAGGTGTTATTATTAGCTATTAGATTACTAGAGCTGTTAAATCAGTATGAACAAGTATGAAAGTGCGCACATTACACTGATTTAGGATCAGCCGATTCCTCATACAAATTCGAAGCCGGCCAAACTGTCGGTCGGCTTAAGCCTAGGCGCAGACCACCGACTTTTAGTTGGCCGATAGTTGGGTCGGGCAGTTAATCAGTATGGAAATGTATGGAAGTGCGCACATTACACCGATTTGGTATCGGCCTATTCTTCATACAAATTAGAATCGGGCTCAACTATCGGTAGACTAAAAGTCTGTCGTCTGGGGAGTCTTAAGTATAGTCTTAAGTTAATCGTAGAAGATTTGTTGCTATCAAACAACGTTGAGTCTAATTAAAAACTCGATCAGGAATGTTACGGTCTGCTTTTATAAAACTTTTGTATGTTTCGTGCGTTTCAGCCGAAAGACGTCCACTGCTGGACAAAGGCCTTGTATGTTTATTAATAATAAATTGTATCTTTCCAGGGTTTCGTGCCAGGCATGTTCGGGGTGTCCCACGGCGCTCTGCAGTTCATGACATACGAGGAGATGAAGAATCGCTACAACCAGTACAGGAATCTGCCCATTGATATCAAATTGGTAATTAAATCTTTATGGTGTATAATATACTAATGCCCGTTTTCACCATCAATCCCTAATTTTTAAGTAACCCCTATGGTAACATATAACATGAATTTTGTTTACATAGGGGTCACATAAAAATTAGGGATTGATGGTGAAAACGGGCATAAGTTTCCGCATTGTTTTGAATTTTAGTACCCGGTATTGAGGTCCAGAAACAATGAAATAATTTGTTTTATTTGCCTGATTAAAGGTTAAAACATGCATGGAGATTAAATCATAATCAACGAAATATCCAATTATTTCAAAATAATTGTAATTAAAATTATGTTTCCCCATTAAAGTCTAGCCAATAATGGCCATAGCGTTATCACATAGCCATCTGTTATCAAAATATACTCGTTTAATCTTGTTTGTATTGGAGATCAAATCCTTTTGTAGTAGCCTGGTATCAGGCTCTTATTTGGGGAGATAACGTGAAGTCCAAGGTTGAATAACATTGCATTTGCATTAATATTATTTAGAATATAAACATGGGTTTCTTCTTCTGTACTTTTTATTCAATTACTTACGTTACATTTGTTTCTTGCTGAGAGTCAGATCCACCCAAATGTTTGTTGTGTGCCAGGTATTGTAAACAATAACCTTATTTCGAACCCATCTGGCTAAAGTGGGTAGTATAGTCCAAGTCCTCCATTTGACTGTAATAATTACCGAGGATTGTGCTCCTGGACCTCATCTATTGAGGAAATGGGTGCTGATAGGATTCTAAAGATAAGGAGACAATGGCTATAAAATGCTACTCCGACAAACGTTACTTCGACATTACGTTACTCCGACACTACTGAATATCGACATGACTACTTCGACAATACACTACTCAGACAAAGGATATTTGCCTTTGTCTAAGTAGTGTAGTGTCGGAGTTTACTTAGGCAGCCGGAGACAATGTAAAGAGACCCTATAAGGGCTGCCTTTTTACCCGACTGCGCCAGAAGGATTTACTATTTATTTTGACAATATCTTTGGTCTAAACTGAATAAAAAAAATTCATTTCAAATACTAATTATTAATTATTCACCTCAATTTTCCAGACATCAATGGAGTACCTAACCTTCGCGGCGATTTCCAAACTGATCGCCGCTGGCGCCACCTATCCATACCAAGTGGTGCGCGCGCGCCTCCAAGACCAACACCGCAGCTACAACGGCGCCTGGCATTGCGTCACTGAGACTTGGAGGTACGAACGCGTCCGCGGCTTCTACAAGGGCCTCACGCCGTATCTCCTACATGTAACGCCGAATATATGCCTAGTTATGCTCATATGGGAGAAGTTTACAAACAACGAATGAATGAACAATCTGATGGGAAATGTACTATTTTTGTGTAGCGCCTAGGGGTGAGGCTTGCTGTCGGTTGAGGGAATGGGAGTCCATTAGTGTTCCGCAATTTTTTTTTCACACATGAAAAATCATTCGACCAAACTTTTATCCGAGAATAACTTCTGCTATAACTGGCACATTGACAGTTTCAGTATGGGAAATATGTCAAAACTGACGATTTATTCTGAGATTAATATTTACTCTTGTTAATGGTCGAATCCACCCTTACTAATAAAAGACTAATCTTACCCTTTCTTAGTTACTAAAAATAAGTTTATAAGATAATCTTATTTTTCCGAGGCACACCATCTAATGTGTGCCGCGGTACACCCTTTGCGGAACACTGCTGCTAAAGTAATAAGGGAGACAAGGGATTCGTCCTACCATAATCTATTAATAGCTTTGTAAAGCACGACTAACCTGTTATACATCACAACATTTATTAGGATTATGGAGAGAAATAAAATTATTATGATTATTAGTTTTTAAAGGGTCGCAAAGGACTTTGCAACTTGCCTGTCTATTATAAGTATGTATCTAATGAACCATAATGGGTGGACAGTTGGTATTAGTGATCCATAGATAAAACAAATGTCTGGTTTTGTATAGCAGAAATTGAATATTATTATAAATATGGTGGACAATATGACACAAAAATGTCAATGTCAGTAGGGAATATTATTTGACAAATAAAGATTTCCCAAGTATTAGGTGTTAAACGCCATTCAAGCTATGGAGACTTCCCTCAACTGACCGTTAGTGTGTAAGCAGGGTTACTTAATTTATTTTAAATGTCTATTCGTATGTAATCAAATGCATTTTCGTATTGTATCCGATCGATTTTGAATTACATAGTTATATTCATTCGTTTTGTTTAAATAGTGTTATTAGAGAATTCGAGAATGTGACTTATAAAGAATGGTGACAGGAATTTGGCGTGGACTTTAGAAGATGAGCAGTTGGCAACCGCTCAAGTGGTTATACGAATCCGTTTACTTTGTACATTTTTGTTTTTTGTCACATTGTTTCCCGAAAAAGACTAAAATAGAAACTGTGTATGGAATTATTATTTAACACTGTGTTTCTTAACCATAATAGCAGGCACCGTCAGATACATATCGGAGATTTAAAATTTTACCTACTAATTTAGCATAGACATAGAAAATGTGTAACAATTTTGCTAACTCTTTGAAACTTTATTGGTGTATAATCTTAGGTTAAGAAACACTTTTATTTGTATTGTAAATCAAGTCTCACGACATATGTTGTGTTTATTTATTATATAATGTAATCTCTTTGATGATAGTAGTACTGTTTCCCATCAGATCGCGACATAGTATCGCGCGTCGCGAGTAGCACAATTTAGATTTAATTTGACAATTTTGTGATAATAGTTATGTACTTATGTTTGTTTGTCTACAAGCTTGCACAAAAGACAACAGTAGTTTGACATAACGTTACATGTGTGGTGAGACGACGCTAGGTTCTTTTAATTGATAGATTCGTTTCAACTTGCTTCAATATTTCAATATAAATGCAATAATACAGCAGCCGTGAAGAAATTGCACACCGAAAGATCTTTGATGATCGGTTTTGTATCGTGTTGTCTCTGTCTTACATTCTAAAGTCACTATAAATGACGGAAAGAGACAACATTATACTATAGTGCCGAAAAAATCCTTTCGATGTGTGATGCCTTGACGGTTTCTGTACCTACTTAATATTTTCTCATGTAAGGTACTTTGACTATGCAAGTTTGAAGCTTTTCTGTCCTAGAATTTTAATGTTAGATGTAATCCCCGCCTTTGTGTAGAAGAGACCCCTTTCATGTTATTAAAAAAAACTAAAAAGTATCGTGTTTTCAATTTGACTTCAATAGATCATTTATAGTCTGGTCTGCGAGCACGTAGAATTTTGTCCAATGACCCCAAGCTACCCATCCTTATCGCTCGCGCGTAATTATGTTGCCGTCGCGCTTGCACACTCACTGCGGGCGCGCGTCACACAGTCGCGACAGCAATATAATTACGCGAGCGATAAGGATGGGTAGCTTGGGGTCATTGGACAAAATTCTACGTGCTCGCAGACCGGGCTTTAGTACAATCTCTGAAGGTAGATGCACTTGTATCATTTGTTAAGTAGGTCGACGCACTATAGCTTTTGTTGGATTTAGAATCGATTCACACTATAATATACCCTTTTACTTTGACTACATAGTTCATAATAATATACCATGATAGGAATTTTCTATAGGAAGCTAAAATGTCGTCTACGAAATAACATATATGAAGATCAGGCCCAAAACAACAAGCATGAGACATGTAACATTTGACAATAAGAAGGTTAGGTATAATAAAATAAAATAAATGAATAATATGTATTTGGATATAACTGCACTGTTCAATGTGTGAATCGATAAACAAACACACCAATCAAAATGTGATGTAAAAGTCTAAAATTAAAAATGCCTTAGTGCGCGTTCATGATCATGCGGAGTTGGAAGCGGAGCTCAAAAGTAAGTCATATTTTGACTGATCTGATTTGTCTTTTGAATTTGGTGTCAAACGATGAAAAAGATCGAGTGTGGTGCAAAGGCAGTAATAGGTCGTCCATTAACAACTTTTTGACGTCAGGCGCCGATATTTAGTTATCAGTGGTGAAAATCTACTGCTTATCCTAAAATAAATGTTATTGACACCACGACAAAGTACTGAGTTATGGAAAATTATAGCACTCGAACATACTCGTAATAGAAAATGAGAGAAAGTTTCGGGTCCTGCTTTGAGCTCCGCAACGAACTCCGCTTGTATGTGAACGCGACCAATGAACATAGTGATGTCCAAGTTGTTTTATAATTTATTATGTTAATTTTCGTGGAGGTCACAGCGGGATAGCTTCGTTTAGAACATAATTAGAGTTTAATTAGAATTATTACAGTATTTATGTTTATAAAAGTATTTAGTTTTCTCTTAACAGCATACAATTTAGTTCGCTACTGGTTAGTTAATAAAGTTAAAACCGGTAATATTTTAGAAAGTATTAAGATTTATTATTTCATAATACTTTAATTGTAATCACAATTTAGTTAAAATAGTTAACATTTTCATTAATTTATTAGATAAGAGTTAATTTAATGATCACTACCAAAATGAAAAATACATGTTCCTAATATTGACACAAATGTCGACTTTGATTTTTTAATTATAAGGTTGTGTTTATAATGAGAAAACATTGCAATAAAAATAATTAATTGTTATTGGATACAAAAATATGTAATTTTAAGCGAAGTTTTTCCGCTGTGATCATTGTATTATAACATTGTCTTATTGGTGGCTGGCCACAATATGAAATGTAGGACGTATATATTTTTATAATATTAATCGATAAAGTTCCATTGTTTCAACTCACTTTTTCAATTTGTGTAATCAATAAATGATAGCAAATTGATAAACGGCCTGTTGTTTTTTTTAACGGAATTATAATGAATTTTGATAGATTCCTGGAACCAGTAGTTGACCTGTTTTCTCCGAATGTTTTCCCAATATAAAAGCATGATACTTTGTATTACTTATATTATTCCCAAATATATTTTTGTATTTTATTTTAATATGCAAAATATCCACACTAATCCTCTTTATTTTTGTATGTTACATCCCTGTTATTGGTTACTTCTAAATAATAAATGAAAACAGTTGACGAAGCAGTAGAAGCTAAAACTTATAATTGGTTATGGATACTTATAAATAATGACTCATTAGAAAAACGCAATCACACGTGTAGTAAATGAGTATTCATTTGGCGATCGTCCAATAATACGAAGTAAGCATACGTAACGATTGCTCATTAGCAAGGTAAATCAATGCAGAATAAGTTTTAAAAATATTCTATTGGTCTTAGCATTAGATCATGCTGTAGGATTGAACATCACAAATTTTAGAGATGATATTTTGTAATTTGAAAAGTTTTGTGATTAAACATAATATTGTTATGGTAAGTAAATACAGAGTGAATCTCATTCATACTTTAATATAGTTCTCGCAATTTAAGAGTTAGTTCCGTTCATTCGCTTGTATTTTTTTCGCGTGCTTATTTCATGAACATTTTAGCACTTTTGAGATGAAGTCAAAAATAAACTAAAAAGGAAGGGAATATTCCAATATGACCCTCATTGTTATGCCAGCTAAGTTCAGATTTCGAAGCAAACTAGCCGTAAACTGTATAGTGCACTCACACAATTTTGATCCTTATTTCCTCGTATTCCCAGACACGAGCGTATCGGGGGCTTCTATAAGGGACTCAAGCCGAGTCTCGTGCGAGTGGTCCCCGCTACCATGATCACGTTCCTGACTTACGAGAACGTGTCGCATTACCTTCTGCAGCGGAATCGGAACATCGCGTTGTCTTCCTAGTACGAGGAAGAAGTGATGACACGGACGTGGAACGAGATGGCTAAAGGTGCGACCAAACCAACGCGTGCACTCAATGGCAATGGCGATGGCGATCAGACTTAAACGCATTGATCGCTATCGCGCACGCAGGCTGATCGCGTTGGTTTGGTCGAACTTTTAGGCGGGTTTTAGAACCACGCTGACCGCTCACTGATCGTCGGCGCTGACAGATCAATATGTATGTGTATGTAATAAGAAAACGTTCCTGAGTGATGCTGATCGCTTGGCGCCGACGCTTCATACATTCTGGCTGTCAGTGCTGACGGTCAGCGTGCGTCAGCGCGATTCTAAAACAATAAAATTTTAGACCTTGTGAAAATGTTAGGCCTTAATCCTGTATTCTGAGACGACGCTCAAATATGAATCTACAGGAATGTCGAAAATTCGAAAGTGCGTTCCAGAACAACGATCAAAACTCGATTCAAGTTCAAGCATAGGTACATGGTTGAATTTCAATAAGCATTTAGACCAATATTTTATATTATGACAGAGATTAAATCGAGTTTTGAGATTCAGGCTCATATTCTGAGATTCGTACTTGAGTACCATATCATATCCTTAGGAGTTCTCTTTTCCTGATGACTACCTGGATTGTTGACAAGTATCGTCAAACTGATACACACTGATTTATGCTTATGAAGCATAGATTCGCAAATAGACAGGCATAGTGCATAACTGAGCGTAGGTTCCTGTGGTAGTGGATGTGTTAATGTCATATCAAATTTTAGCGAGGCTTCAGCTTATTTCAGATGTGGGTCACACGTCACTTTTCCCGCTTCATTATCACAGGTACCTACTTTAGGTCATATGGCTATAATACAACAACAAACAAGAACAGTATTTTTGTGGGCGAACACTACACCTTTAGACCCTCGCCCACGGTGATTTTTTGCACCGATGCAGTCGTGCTGCTGTAGCGCGTTAGTGTACCTCTAGCATGAAAACTTTCGTCTTCGAATCGTTTGCGTTTTCGACAAAATTCGATACTCAACCTTCGAATTAAACGATAACATGACATTTTTGTTCTCAAAATAAGTTTCGTGCAACCATTTCTCATACTAAGTTTACGACACGTTCACAAGGGCGCTGTTGTAGTTTTCGTACTAAATCTTTTGATGACGATTCGAATACGCAAACGATTCGAACGAAAGTTTTTCGTGCTAGCCGTACTGTAGTGCGTCGCAAATGCAATTAACGTGCGTTAGTAGCGATGCTGTCGCGCGTTTCGTAAAAGTCGCCGAGGGCGAGGGCCCTTTCATGCTAGACCTCAGTTATGTTACCCACCCAGTGACTTAGAGTTGGACAGGCTGTGTTTTAGTTCCTTTAAATATTACTATAGTTTTACGTTTGCGGGAAACTGGTATACGTTGCGGTGTTACATGAATTGAGATTTCATTTTACAACCCGGTCGAGTTAAATGCGCTCCTGGCAGCCGTGACGTCACATCGACGCTCTACCTCTAGCATGAACAACTTTCGTCTTCGAATCGTTTGCGTATTCGATAAAATTCGATACTCAACCTTCGAATTTAACGATAACGTGACAATTTTGATTCTTAAAACCATTTCTCATACTAAGTTCACTTTCGTGCAACCATTTCTTATACTAAGTTCACTTTACGACACGTTCACAAGGGCGCTGTTGTAATTTTCGTACTAAATCTTTTGATGACGAGTTGTATGTGATATTTTGCTCCATTGAGTATTGAAGACTACGTCTATTGCTGTTATTTACCCAAACCTTCAATGTAGAGATTAGAAATTAGTCTATACCTACGTACTTATAGTTAAGTACCAAAACTTTTAACATATATTACAAATTGTATTATGCAATTTTAATTAAGGTAATATTTACATGTTGTTTTCTTATAGAATAAGCTAATTTTAATTTGATTGTTAAATGTCAGGATGTTATTGGCTGTGTTGTGTGATAACCTGGTGATAATGTCGTAGACATACAAAAATACCTTATTGTTAAAAAAGGTAACATTTAGTTGTAGGCACGTTTTATCACAATTTGACTTAGTATAATTGGTTTTTACTTAACTTTGGTATTGATGTAATAATAAATTGTAGACGAGCAACTTTTTCAGCAATATTGCTTCAAATGTCAGCATTTTAGGGTAAAAAAAACATCACAAGGACATGAAAAATGTTGCTGGTTTTGTATTAATTAAATCTAAATTAATTGGCCATCGTCGCTATTAATGCTATTGAATGTTTCTGTAATAATGTGTTAAAATTTTGACACTATTCTCTTGTAATTAGCGAAAGACGCGTCATTTCGACGATTCACAAGCTCATAAAAGAAGTAACAGCGCGTTTATTTGTATAGTATTAAAGTAATACATCTTCTTTATTGTCCAGTGAATTATTAACTCTTACTTAAGGTTATTAAAATTTCTTAGCAATTAGAGTCGCTTCTCAAACTAAATTTTAAGGCGGGAATCGAAACCAAGACCTTTCGCTTGCCGGGTGATTGTTAAGTAGTTCAGTTGGAAGAGCAGTCGCCCGGCAAGCGAAAGGTCGTGGCTTCGATTCCCGCCTTAGGCCTAGGCTTTTCGATTTTTTCAAGTTGTTAAAACTAAAGTGACGATGTGCTAAAACCAAAGTCTTGTATGTATTTAGTAGCTATGTAATTCTTGCGGGTCCTTGTTGTTAATAAAGGTACAAAGCAATTTTTCTTTTTTCTTACATTTCCTTGTATTTTTTAAGAAGTAGGTATTTATTTCTTCGAAAATAATTTAAAATTATTTTTTACTATCGTATATTCCACAAATTCAATATAAACTAATTGCCTTCGCGCAAAAAAGACATTTTTCAGTTGTTGTTATAACTTACTTGAGTTGATACTTACTTTGCTGCCTGTAGGTAAATGTAATTGACCTTTTGATTAATAATTAATTATTAATATGTGGTAGCTTATCAGTTTACCGATTACTAATCAGATGTGTTCATCTTGTAAAACCTCAGTGGTTAATGGCTGGAATCTTACAACGTTATCTATACAGAAAATAAGCCATTTCAGTGCCTATCTATGCAGGCAATAACCACTCTTATGCAACAGTAATATGGTCTAGTTTATCAACTAATGCTAGGACGCAACTAGACAATCTTTGCTGAAGTGGTTAACAATAACTCCATATAAATACACTATACTAATCATCTTTAGTAATCATCTAGTTGTCCTCGTTGATTTATTGCTGCAGCAAAATGCGTTTTAGTGATATGACAGTTTAGTACAATTTCATTTGCGCGACCTTATAAGTGGTCTTCGTTACGGATTATCTTAAAAGAAATGAAGAAGTTTTCCTTAAAAATAGCAGTAAATAGTGTTTTTATGCGTCATTTAACTTTGTTATATGTATCGCTAAGCAGTCGGTAAACCGCGATAATAATCAGAAATATATTCACGACGTTATCTTTTAGTTACCTACACGCGAGGTATGTGCACTATAGTTCGCATCGCGGCAGTAAACTCGCGAGAGACCGAGGGATGTATCAAGGAGCCGTCTGCTCCAGTTTTGCCGCTAAAAAAACATTCGAGGAGCTGTAGGAAGCGACGCGTGTGTAAAAGAAATCGACATTTTAAAATGGTGAGTGTTTTTATTTTGATTTTCAAATGTTTTCCACTCGGAAAATGTGCGTGAGCTACTTTGTTATTGTGGAGATAATTAGTGTTGAAGTATAAGTGTAGATGGTGCTAGTGTGTCAAGTGTTTTGCCGTGTTTGCGTCTGCCCTGATTAAGGGTCAGCCTATTTGCATTGAAAGGCTTGAAAAAAATCTGTAGTAGCGTCTCATGATGAGGGCATTTACAGGTACATTATTTTTAGTGAAAAGGATAGGTAAAAACAGCGATNTCCTTTTTTAAAAACAGCGATTGATTAAATATGTTTTTCCTAAAGGTAAGGTAGACATTATTTTATTAAACTAGTGTTATATTATCTGTGTTATTAATTACCTTGGTGGGTAGTTCAATAAAGACTAGTGTCACTTCATAAACATTTTTAAATAGTAACATAATTAATTTATAAAACCGATTACATTATTCTACAAGTGATATGAAGAGAGTTACTTGGGTGAGTTAAGTATGCTTTAATTTACTTAACTTTTTAAGTATTACTTATTAGGGTTTAATTTTTACCAGCTTTGGTTGTACGGTTGTTAAAATTTCGTTAAAGCAATCGGTGATTTTCCAGAACGTACGTTTCACGTTCTGAAAAATCGCCGATTGATAATATCGAAAAATTTATAGCAACAATTTGTATTTAGCAGCCTTTATGTTGTGCAAATGTCGTCAGGGTTGTTAATAGGTATTCTTCCCGCCTTTTGTCAGTTATTAACAGGTTACCTAAGTAGACATACAAATTGGTACAACAGTGTGCCAATAATACCAACGATATTTCATCAACAAAAACAACCTAAGTGAAAAACTTAGCTAACTAAGTGATACTTACTGGATAGAAATAAAAAAAATATTTTTGTTCAGTGTCATCATCAGTGATTAAGTTCCCAGTAGGACCCTTTTCGTTGTTCCTAGGACTTAATAAACAAAAGTTTTTAAATAAATGTATTATAATCCATAATACACAATGTTACTGAAAATAGTAGGTGCGTAGCGTCTCAGTAGGTGCTACGAAACTGTGCCCTGATTATGCTAATTTTTAACGTCTCCAATACAGACGCGTTTCTTCGATTCTGCGATAAGTATGGATTTGTCAAAACAGCTGACGACGTCCGGGCACGTTGAAGATGAAAATTTTTAGCGTAATCGGGGCCCTGGTCTTCCGTGGATTGTAATTCCCTTCTCCCTTCTTTCGTAGACAAAATTACCTTGCATGAGATGAAATGTGAAACGATTTTGAACTGAAAAATTGTTCCAAATGTTAGTTTTTCTAGGGAGGCTGATCAGCCTTGCTAATCAATACAAATTGACTTGTAACTTTAGTATTCCGTTATATTAAATACACCGTCTCATAACCGATAACAAAAATGCATATCTGGGACATTTCTAGATTTTTAACAACGTAAAATATCTGTAGGTAATAATAACGTTGCGTAACCAATCGTTATCTGTCTCATTCACCAAAAAAAACAGACAAAATAAACAAGTGGTTTAGTACATACTTATTACTGGCTATATCATAAGTATTCAAAATGTAGCATTTTTAAATATTAATGAAAAATTTTTTCGCTTGTAGCAAACTATTAAGAAAAATAAGAAAAAAAGAATTTAAAGTACCTTACTGATTTTACTAGTTGGTTAGTTGTCAATGGCAACAAAAACTACGATTAGATTAATGTTATTTACAAAATCATGAATATTTATTACGAACCAGTATTCTACTACTTCTGGAACAAGCGAGTTTAGTAGGTAGGCCTAAGCATTATTATGTTTTTAATTTGGTTTTAAGTTTACAAAAAAAAAAATTGATAATAATTAGGTTACCTTAATTAATCATCTTAACTTGTTCTGCTCGAATTGCATCATTTTTTAAAAATCCTGTACATTATTAATCGAGTAGGTTTTACTTGCTCGTGGCGGTAACTTTAAACGTGCCTGTTACGTGAATGACCCCTAGAATCACATTCTGAAATTTACGTCGTATACGCATATAATTTATTCTTAGCCCCTATTATCTTGGCAAGAGGGCAAATAAGATGTATAAACACGTTTACTTCTCCGTGTAGCATAGATACGTAAAGTTGTGTATCACAAAATAAATACAATTTTATACGAACAAAGTTTTTCGCGCGCTTTTTTGTGACGTTTCGTTTTTTTGCAAACGGCCAGTCCATTGTAAAGTTGCGTTTTACTATTTTATTTTTATTTTTTATAAATGTGAATTTTTCGTTTGAAAATTGAAATCGTAACATGATAAAGCAGCTTACAAAGCAATCGGTCCAGGAAGAGTTGTTGCAACAGGAGAAACTAGCTGAAGTGAAAAGCAAATCTAAATACAGTGGCAACATGTCCACGACGAGAAACGGAAGGTGGCTTTCGAAGGTGCGTGCCAAAGTTTCTTTTACTTTTAATTTATCATTTAATTAATTTCTAAATATGTTGCATAACTCAATAATTAAAATTAAGAAACTTATTGAACCCATCCATGAAGATGCTTAAAAAATCTCAAATGAATATTTTGTTTTTTTTTAAAGGAAAGGATTAGTTAGTGTGTTAAGTACTAATTATTTCCCAAGATCGGGGATTACTTATTGTTTCTTTTTGCTTAAATTTTATAAATAATAAATCTACTGTTTTGTAAAATTCGTAGTAGCTGTAACTATTTTTCTACATCGTCTTAAAAGCGACAGTACATACTGTTATTTATTGTTCGTAGTAAACGACATGATAACTTGAGTCAAAGAACGATAATTGCCCACGAGTTTTTCACAAGTCCGATAGTATTGTCCGCTGATTTATTATTAATACAGCCCAGTAACAAAGACCATAATAATCATTGAGCAGTAATTAATAAATTAGCAGCAAGTTGTTTACAAACGTGGGTGGTGACTGGTGACTAGATAACCAATCCACTCTGGCACCCATTTCCCTTATCTCTGGCTCGACACACCTCCGGCTTTCTATTCTTATCGATTGCAATTTTTCCGATTGCTTTCAAGTTCGACGTCATTCGATGATCGATTGGCACTCGAATGTGATGAGCAGCAGATTATCAGCTGATAGTTGGCTCGGAAAACTTTAAACGAGCATAATGAAGGTAACTAGAGGTATAAACGAGGTATAACATAAACTGGATTTGGAGATGCGTTACAGTTAAGCTGCATTTTAAATGGCCTGAAATTTAAGCCTGCCAAGTGAAAACGTTCCAAACAATTTTTTAAGAGTTATAAAAAATATTACGTTAATGAAAACATGTCTTTCAGGAGAGTTTCAGGTGTGAAGGCTTATTTATATTAGGGGGGTGTCAATTCAAAACAGATTTAATTATTCCACAAAATCTTTATGAAGACGGTCTTCATATTCTGTAGTTATTTCAAGTTTAAAAATCTATAGCAAGTTTACATAATTTTACATAATAGGTCCCTACGAGTACCTACATGTGCCATTTGCAAACAATAAACAGTTTCTACAATTTACATTAGAGATATCCCCCAACAGTGAGAAACTTATAAAGTAGCTTTGCTCTAAGCTGCATAAATTACAAATTAACGGGACCTACATTTTTATCGACTTCAAAGGGTCAAGTGCAAGTTGAATGATATAAATAAGTAGATCACGGAAACTCTATGACGATTACTTTATAAATGTTTTATTGGGTACACACACATATTTTGTATTTTTGTTCAGAAGCCTTTGTTTTTTCTCGTAAATGAAATATGTATGACCTATGGGACCTTTTTTAATCCGCCAAAGGTTTTTTTACAGTCGTTTTATTGCACACGTATCACCCCTTCGGTTTTATAGTCGACATTAAAAAGTACCTGCCGAACGGCAGACTTGCGTTCAGGAATCTGCACGGTTATCAGAACACTGATAAACTCCGATAATGTTAATAATAATATATCAGACACCTTCAATAGTATCACGCCGTATCCGGTATGGAATAGAACTGTGTAAATAAAACTTTTAAAATATTTTTAAAGGACGAGGACTAACAGCGATGAACGTTGTGTTAACCGTGCAGCGACAAAAAAAAAATAGAAATTGGCGGGAAAATCTTTTTCGAAGTGTCGAAAAGTATTTTTTATCTGTGATGTGATTTGCGTAAACAATATCGGCTGATGCTGAAAACACGTGTGCGGTTTTTATCAAGTGCAGGAATTGTAAACTTATTGACTTGAGTTTTTAAAATGTACCTACCAATAACAAAGTATTAAACACAATTTTTTTTAAGATGATGGCGGAAGAAGCTATTGTGGCTCAATGTAAAGGACATTTGAATGTAAGTAAATTGAAATTATTGGCCATTAAGACATTAGTGAGTTTTATTAATCATTTTCACCACTCTACATAACTTATTTTAAATAGGTTGTTATCAGGTTTTATCCTTATTATGTTAGGTATATTGATTTATTATGGTATTATGTTTATCATTCTATTATTTAACAAAAATAACTTCTTAAACCTCTACTGTACATTCTTCATATTTTCAAAATGGCGCTTGTTTATTAAACTCTATTTCTTCCTGTGGCTTCTCTCGCTTGGATTGTGGTCGCTCAAAACTTATTTTTACTAAAAACATAAACATTTTTTTTGACAAAAGTGAGCTCCCATCTAATTTCTAAAGCAAAATGTATCACTTTGTTCCAATATTTAGGAGCCAAAACAGTTTGCGTGACGTATTTTTATTATTACTACTTACTTACTACACTAGCTCCTTTTACCTCTACCTACATAGAGCCATCTCAGTCTATGCACAGGGCATTGGAGCAAAATTAGTTATAGATGGACGTCAAGACGAGTTAAGAACGTAGCTATGTTTATGAATGCTTCCTGGTTGTGGACGACATCCCATTGATACTTCGAGCTCCTATTACAGTCAAGATCAGAGCTAGAGCTGTCTTTGACTTTGACCCTTGTGTTCATAGGTGTAAGGCTGAACAAGTCTTGTGGATGACTGTAGAAGCTATGAGGCAATTGCTTCTCAATAGCCGTTAAAAGATTCTGGGAATAAGATCGTTGATAGTAGCAGTAGCTGTTACGTATTTGGGTTGACGAAAAATAGAGTTTAGAATGACTAAGAAAGAGAGGTTTCTCTGTAAATGATATACATTTTTATTGTATTCGTAAGGGACGAATAGATCAAAGCTTAAACACTTCTGACATGGGCGGTTAATCGGTTTTCGTAGTCGACTAATTTGAAGTAAAGAATCATCGAATATAATAACTTTATAGCAGGTATACGTTCTTCTACTTTAAAACCCTAATTTTCATCAATAATATCTGTTGTATGGAAGATATCGCTTGCTAGCGATAAGACCGCTTGTATCGTTTTATGTGGGTGCAATCAAGACTTATGTGGGTAGGCACTGCATACCTTGTCAGCAAAACTGCATTAATGACATTAGTAACCTGACTGGGAATCACCAGAAATGACATATAGACTCTGTTTCCAGCAAATAAGTATTTTCTCAATATCACCTCTACCAACAATGTAATAGTGTTGCATCAGTTTGTTTACTAAAAGCAAACACGTCAGCAAGTGACGTTGATATCCATAAACGTGTTACTTATTATATTATTTTTTAAAAGTTATTACTCTGCACGGAAATCTTCATTATCTTTAAGTGCAACAAGTCTTGTTAATCTCACGCAAAAATTACTGAACGAATTTTAATGAAACTTAAAATTTTAACGTTTATTACTAATTAATAAGAAATAGGCTATAATTTATAACAGAAATAATTTCGGCTGCCTACAAAATTGCGATTTTGTACTGACTGGTCAATACTGGCAAAAAAGTTGATTTAGACGAATGAAACTTTGTATAGAGCAAGATAGCAAGTAGGTATATACTTTTTCTCTATCTCAAAACTTATCGAGTGACCTACGTAACACGCGCGTGAAGCCCGCGGCTTCATTTAAAAGCTAGTAAATTAATAATGTTAATGCAGCAAGGTAAGTATGTTAAAGTTCATACACATTCCCGTATCGTTTCTCAAGTAATTACTTACGTACGATATCAGACGTCCGCGTGGTTGTACGGTTTCCCTTCCGTTTACGATTCCATACAACTGTCTAGTGCCGTACCCACGAATCATAGGGTCATTGCACACCGAAAACCGATACAGAAGCACTATTTGATACCGGTATTTCACGGGGTATTAGATCTATTAATATTTGGTAGAGATGGCTTCAGTCGATAAAAAACAAGTGAATCCATCCTATTCAGCTTTTCTGTGAAATTTCCGTTTTGTTATCGATATTTCATGAAAATTAAATTTTCAGTGCAAAAGCTTTTGCATATTTTTTGTAGATGGCAAATGAAATTACCTAAGAACTATTACGTATGTGTGTGTATAAAAAATTGTGTGAATAACATTGGGCTAACAAAAAATGTATTCATAAAGTTAATTCCTGTGAAAAACATTACAAATCCGATTATGATGAAGCGTTTTTGATGATTTATTTTGATCATTATTTAAATCAATTCAAATGCCATATAGTTACATAAGTTTTAAATTGGTGTATCGGGTTTGTTTTATTAAAGGCCGGCAACGCACCTGTAACGCCCCTGGGTCTGCGGGTGTCTATGGGCGACGGTAATCACTTACCNAAAAAAAAAAAAAAAAAAAAAAAAAAAAAAAAAAAAAAAAAAAAAAAAACAACGAAAGGGACAAAAAAACTCACCGAGCTTTTAAGCTCTTCTATACTTGTGTGGTATTTTGGCCTCTATGCGTCTGCAAATAAAGTTCAGATAGAGAAAATCTTTCTTCCAAATCAAGTTTAACTTGATACGTTACGGAAGTTATTATAGTTGACTACGGAATGTAGAAGTGTTTGATTTATTTGTTTACTGGAAAATAACTAATTTTCTAATTGACTGAATATAATTTAGTTTGAAGTTTAGGGTAATCAAGTTAGTTTAGTAAAAAGTCTTATGTATAAGATCTACTGACGAATAAAGCAATAACTATGAAAAATATAAATTCCGGTCTAAAGCCAGCTGTTTTAGTTTGCGGTGGAGAGCACACACTATTGCGGTTTGGTCATTCACAAAACAAAACATCGATAACAATCGTGTCCCCACTCAATGGTGCTCGCGTTACAATGATGTCCAGCTACGAAAATGTATCGGAACTAAAAGTGGCGATGTTGCTACAGTAGGAAAAAACACTTAGCAAGCTGAAGATGTACCTACTCGACGATATATCAAACCAAGTGATGTTTTGATTCGCCGACATGTTTTGGGTAAGTGATCCAAATAGCTACTACTTTTTATCAGTGCGATAATGGCATTACGTATTACGATTTTTGTGAGGAATCTGGATGGAAACAAATGCGTGATACCTACTCGGTCATTTAGAAGTCTTCGTAGTACGCGTCGTGGTCATACGTCACTTATCCGTTAATGCGAAAATCCCTAATTAGTGGTCCGTGGTATAAGTCGGCCTGAAGGTACTGGCCGAAACTCTATCCTCCAGTGATCAGGAGCGAGGCCGCCGCTGCTGGCGCTGGCCCGGACTCGGAGCGGCGGCAGTATGCGCGGCGCTCGGGCGCGAGCAGCATGGCCGACGACGAGCCCCCCCTGCCGCCCGCGTCCCCGCGCGCCCCATCGCGCCTCCGCCGCACGCTAAACTCGCTTCGCTCGCCGTTCCGCTCCGGGTCGCCCTTCCACATCGGCTCGATCAAGCGCTCCGGCTCCACTAAATCCTTCGCCTCAGACGGCGAGATCGCGCGCGACGAACGCACGATGCGTAAACGGAACAAGAAGCAACGCGACGCGGCCTCCGACGCGTCCCGCAGCACCGACAGCTCGCCGAGCATCGACAAGAAGAAAAAGGACACCGGCGGCAGTTTTATACGCAGAATGGGGAGTATCGGCAAGCGGCGGACGGAAGTCGGGGAGGGATCGAGCCCCCCGCCGCAGCCTGAAACCGCAGAGTCGACGATCGAGGGCCCGCCGACGCCGCCTCCCGAGACAGATGCACCGCCGCCGGAGACCCAGGACGCCGCGGTGGCCCCGCCAGTCAGCCCGATCGCAGTCGAGCACCCGGTCGCGACGCGCCCCTTCACGAAAGCCGCGTGGAAGAAGCGCAGCAGCGAGCCGGAAATGGAAAAGCCGGTGGAGGAGCCGAGCCCCGAGAGCGCGCTGAAGCGGCGGATCGCGTTCGTCGCTCAGGCGTCGGCGTGCTTCTCGGAGGACCACGACGATGGTGAAGAGGGGGTAGGAAGAGGGGAGGTGGGGTCGCTGGAGGAGGCGGTGGCGCTGGCCCGCGTGCGGCTCGCAGTGCAGTCGCCGCCCTCGCCGGCGCACTCGCGCGACGACGACACCGAAGAGGAGGGGTACACGGACGCGATGCCCGCTTACGGAGACCTGATCGAGCCGGAGAGCAAGGCTGGGCCGGAGCCGGCGCCGGTGAGTGTTCAGTGGGCGCGGGCGAGCCGTGCGATGCGCGCGCGCCATGACCTTCGAGGAGACGGGTGACGAGTGCTACCTGACGGTGTGCGAGTGTTGCGGCTTCAGCGCCGAGACGTCCGTGTTGGTCCCAGTACGTTTCATTTCACGGTAGTTTTCAGCGGCCGCCGAACGCGATGTCCTTCGTGAGTACGCCTTGTACGTGTGCGCTTAGCATTTTGATACGCATGCAGGGTTAGTTTGTTCAAGTGCACCTAGTGGGCAGTTGTACACAGTGTCGGGCTGTAGTTTCTCGAGCGTGAATTATGTGCGACACCTCTCAGTTATTCTTTACCTTCTCGTACATATCAATTATCGTGGAATCAGTGAATGAAACAACTAAGTAATTGTTTCTCAGTCTAAGAATTTATTTTCTTCTTTGCACGAGCATTTACGTAATTTACAGTGACTAATTGAGTATTATTCGTGAACTCTACCACCGAATAACTGTAAATGGAAAACATTTTACAGTGAAACTAAATTCAAATTATTACGATAATAATATGTTTTGGAAATAGCATTCATTTGAATTGAATTTTGTGTACAATTTAGCTTCACTTTTAGGTATAAGTCAGAGCTACGTAATGAAATAATAATACAGCGTACGACATTTTACCTTGAGATAGTTGACGATGTGGCCTAGTACTACAACACAAAAGACTATAGTTTTGTGTTCTCTATTTAGTAATACAAATTCAGAACACATAATAGATAAGATTTTTTTACGTCCATTATTTGCTGGCGCTTTCTTAGGTTTTATTTGAACATTGATATGTCTAAATTAGTTAGAAAACACCTTCACAAGATAATATTTTATCTAGCGCGTGCCACTCATTTGTGTGCAACTGTGAAATGAAATGTGAATGCCCTTTAACAAAATCTCTGATCTTGGTAGGATCTCACTGAACTGAAAACATCTAAAGCTTGATAACCTGCTTTTTAGCTTATTTCATGCTTTCAGCAAGAGTGGTTTATTTGTCCTTTATTTGGCACCGTTGACCTATTTTCCTCGCGTGTTTTCACCACTTCATAGAGTGAAAAGATACAAACCAAGTAGATTTTGGAACTCGTACCTTGAAGCATATCAGACTTATATTAATTTTGTTCTAATATAGCATCTAATACAACGGCTTTAGATACGATATTGTACAACTTGATGTGCCGTATGGACTACAGCATATTTAACTATATGCAAATTGCCCCGTCACATAACGCTACTTTTATTTAATGAAGGTACAAGTAGTAACTTTCGAATACCTTAAAATTTCCAGTAATTATCTAAAATGTGCCTATTTACATACATTAAGGTAATATACTACTATAGTTTCTCTTATATTACTTATCTAATTGATCTAACTAAGTAACACTAATCTGTATTATAGAAAGTCTATACTTTCAATTCATTTTTCAGACAAAAATCACATTGGCATTTCCAAATTATATTATTATAATTTATTAAGTCCTTTTAATTATGTAAACTAGGCAAACCGAACTTTTAGTTTAGCACAAAACCCCATATACGGAATTATAAATTAAAACATTTTTTTTCGTAACAAATGTAATCAATTAAAGACAAGGTCAAATACCTGATCTACTAGGATTTTTTGAATATATTTGTTGAAATTTTGAATATATTTTATAACTTACAAAACCGGTAACGAAGAAGGAAGAATATAATAGGTATTTGATAAGACGACATTGCATTTGCTTGTGGTCGCGCGGAGTGCACATAGAGTCGTAATTATTTTACTATTAACTAAAGAGTTAACTTGTTTTTAATTGATCTAGTTATGGTACTACTGCAAGTGAAAAAAGTGAGTTTTTTTAATTTAAATATTGCATAATACTATTTAATACTTATTTTATTATACCACCTGAATGGGAGAATCATTTACGTTTACTTAAATATGCAGATTTTAAAACAAGAAAATTATAGGTACTTAGATTCTGTTTTTGTTTTACACATTAGTAATTTATTGCATAATATTTTAATTTAACTATTAAATATTCAGATCAGTGAAAAAATCGGACTAAAAATAAACCTGATGCTATTGATATTGCTGATTTGTTTAAATTATTTGGATCTAATGAGCCATATTGAATTAATTTCCGATTGAACCGTGTTTCCTGAATTAAGTAGGTATTAAATACACTTATATTTTTAAAAGTTACATAATAATAAATCACTCAATGATGATAAAATTATTTCGTCTATTTTCAGTTATGTTCTCTTAAGGCGATTAGAGTCCTCAATCCGCATCAAATGGGCATTTTGTAAAGCCTACTCCTCTTTTACTGCTGGACAGAAATAGTTTTCTTAAATACAGTTTTAATTTAGAAGAAGTAAAGTTCTTCGCTTCTTTATTATTTAAGGACCATTCGCTACTAAGCATTCCCATTCTGGCGCATAGATAGAGCTACTAAATTCAGGGCAAATATTTTCAAATAAAGTAGATCAACATTGATACTATTTTAATTCTCTCTATTGCGTACGTTTCAAACTAAAATAGACACCGTGAGATTGTCGTCAATTTCCGGAGCCGTATCGAATTTAGCCAATATCGAATATCGTGACCTTATCTGGACGAGTATCTGTTACCGTGATCTATAGAAAGTCACAGTGGTATATCACGTTCCCTGTCGCTAATCATCTGCGGTCTTGTCACTCCAACGAGCCATGGGCGCCACAGAGGAGAGAAAGGAAGAATGTAGAGTTAGTGAAGTGTTTTGGGTCATATTTCATGGGGCATTATAGAGCTTTTTTATTGAAGCGATTGTAGATCATGATTATTTTTTATATTTTTTACGGCATGTGAATCTTGTTGTCTGTCTTTGAATTTTCAGGATCGAAAGTCTTCCCTCAAACGCGTTTAGTAGTTTACTGTGGCTGTTAGTTTGCTTTTTGCCGCGTCTGACTTGAAGGAAAATGTATAGTCTGATGCGCAATCCTCTACTTAAAACTTAATTATTTTATTAATATGCCTGAAACATTTCAGCTATCTCACCAAACGATTTTTCCTCAAAGTTTTCTTTAAAAATATTTTATCCGTCTTTTAGTAACCGTTTTTTTTTCGTAACAGTGGCTTGGCCTAACTTAGGTGTTAAACACTTCTCTAATAATTTTGCTCTATCTCTTTCCCCTCAAAATCTAGTCTAGTACTAGTATCTCTATGGCGGTTCACCTAGCCCAGCAGAGGTCGCCGGCGGTGCGTGGTGGTAACACTACCCGCCGGCCTTACCGCAGGCCCGCGGTTCCTTCCAACGGTTGTGCAATGCGTTGCCGCGTCTACGCATTCCAGCGCAATGATTTACCGTTCCATGGAACACAACTTTTGAATACAAAAATTTAAAATTCTCCTTTTTTTTTCACAAAATACAATCTGAAGTAACCAGCCAGCCACATTTCAAGTTATGGGAACAAAATATTATTGTGACAAAAAAGTTTTAAGAGTATTCGTGAAAATTAGTCACGGGCTGATGAAGAAGATGTTAGAGATCTTTAAAATAAAAAAATAAACAAAACGTGATAGATAGAGTTACATTATGGATATCGGTGCATGACGGACGACATAAACACGCAGTGATATTTTTTTCATGAGTTTACCCTCCTTTTGTAAATAATATCTTACTGTATAAATAATTTGTCATATTTTTTACCAATGTTACCTGATAACCTTGAGGCAATCTTTTGAGCTAAGATTGCAGTAGGTATTTTGAAACAAGCACCTTTGGTCAAGTTTCACTCGTCACGCTTTGAACACAAATTGGGTGTTATGTTTCTTCTGGTAAATAAAACACTAATATTTGCATTAGATAACCATTATTTTTCATTCTTTAGCATAATATAGCTAGCAAAAACTATTTCTCTGTTGTTTTATTTTGTAATTAAAAATATCAAGATAACACAATTTGCATGGAATATGGTACAGTGCAAAAAAAGACTATTTTACTTATTTTTTTAAATATTGTCTGTCATTAAGAGCGTTTACGCGAAGCGCGGCGTTTAAAGGGGCATCATTGGAAATGATTCGCGCGCGGCGTTTTTTAATAGTTTTCAAATGTGTATAGCAAAACAATAACAATGAATTAAATATCGTTTCAAAGTAAATATTTTAAAGAAGATGTTGTTTTATTATATTAAGCTATTATTATGTTGAATAAAGGAAGAATATTGGTGAAAAAATCACTTTGATTTTTGGGTATTTCACGTTCTTTTCATTTGTGATTTCTTATTGTAAAATGCTTAAATCTAAAAATTTTCTCAGATAACTATTTGCCCAAGGATCTATGCTAAAGGATATAAATGTTTGTTAAATCGTTTTCACAGTATTTTTATAAAAATTTCAGCTTGTAAACTGACGTTAAAGTGGAAATTTACAAAACCTGTGTGGACTTATCTTGATAGAATTCTTAAATACTAAACTAATCGCAATATTTTCTCAATTAACTATTTAGACGACGAAATTGCCTAACTATTTATGCCTATAACATATTTGTAGTATTACTGGTTAATGATTGTAACGAGTTGAAAAAGTACTGTTTTTGCGCCAAACGGCGTAAACGCTCTTAACATTCTAATGGCTATTCAGTTATGCACTGCTTTTTGCTCATATTATTTTTTTTACTCATAGCTCAGATAGCAAATTACCTGTAAAATAGGTTAGAGCAGCAAAAAAGTCGTAATTGATTGAACACACACTGGTTATTGGTACCAAATGCGGTGACAAACACTTATACTCCTTATCGGGTGCCCGATAAGACTGTTTGCCCACTCCATGTCCGTTCATAAATAGCCGGTCACCAGACCAAGACGATAGTCCGGCTAGTTTTCTTGCCTGTCTGAGTCATTTCCTTGGCCATCTCAAAAACAAAAAAATTAAAGCAGCCATATTTGAAAGTTAAAAAGATTAAAAAGAAAAAAGACAACTATCAGTTTGCCACATTTGAAAATAGAACGGAGAACCGGCCAGTGTTCGATTTAAATGTAACAGAAGATGTGCGGTCAGCGTTGAGTGTTCTAGTGCGATGTGGGATATATCAATCGAGAATATTCGATTTTGTTCACGTGCTCTGCTTCATTGGACTTACTTTTGTGTTTCTTGACGACACGTTCAGTGATATAAGATGTCTCCGAAGCCTAAACATACAGGCGTGAGTGTTTTGTTTTATTTTTTGTTTATTTGGTAATAGTGTTTTGTTTTGTCATCACTTTGACTAATCGTAATCGGAGCTTAATCGAGTTACGGGAAGCCTTTATAAAGTAACACGTAACGGTATTGTGGAATCGTATTTATTTACTATTTTAGAACTACAATTCAAAATAAAACTGAAAATTCTGACCGAATCTGTTTTTGACTCTACCAACAAGTTTACTGATAAGTTAGTAGTCAATTCTATAAAGTTTTATATTTTTTGAAAGCGTGTGAATTGATTTAACATTTCTTTTATAATACAAAATTAATTACTAAATGTAACGCAAGTTTGCAATAATATGGTCTTTGTCCCACTAAGTTAGTTTGTAATAATATGTAGAGATTTGTTATTCGCTATGGTACAAAATCATTGAAATTTAACGTAATGCGATACTTGACTAATTCGTTCATGTGTATTGATCTACATTGAGTACTTATCAATAAAACGTGGTCGATGAGTTGTAGGTACAGCGATTAATTGACATTAATCTAGCTAATCTACCCGTTGGATCTATAACAATCTACTAGGATGTATAGCCGATACACTTATGATTCATGAGTGTAAGTTTTTTCAATGCGTCACTTTTTTACTGCTATTTGAAAAAAATAACAAAGTTTTAGTTTGGTTTTGAAAGCAGCAGTGTCTTAATGTAATCTTTGGTTTAGGTTTTATAAGTGATATTTATTTATAGCTATGTTTTTTATTTCATAAATATAAATTTTACTTTAAGTCTAATTTTAACTTCTGCTCATACCTACTCGTAAGTAGAGCTTTTATTTCAATATTATGCTATTGTAATAAAACGAACCTGACTCGGGATTTTCAAAGAGGAAGATAAAAAATAAACATCGCGATGTTACATAAAGTTCTAAGTATAAAAATATAACACAAATTATAGTGAATTTGCGAATACCTAATAGTAATTACTAGTAATTAGTGGTAATTTTAGAAGGAAGTACGAGTAACACTTTTTACCCGACTGCGCCAGAAGGAGGGTTATGTTTTTTAAATCGTATCTCTACACTCTACATTCAATCATTAAATAATCTGTCCTGAGTTTGAATCGAATTTCTCGCATCGTTTATAATGTCATGTATTAAGGTAGAGTCCTCACTCGTAATTGTTGATCTACCCACATGACCTCTCAATTCATCATACGTAGTCCACTGATGCGGAAACGCAATGCCCTTAGCAATGTACTGGACGTAGCGTATTACGTTTCGTAGCTACATCGGTAGTAAGGCCGTCCGTAGCGGAACGACTTGCCAATGCAACTTGGCATTTCAATGGGGTCTTATTTTTGTTTGCACGCTTTTGCAGTTCGCACATAATTAACTTAAGTTTTAACTTAACATTTTTCACATGTTTCAAAGACCTTGAGTCGTAAGCTTTACTTATGTACTAAAATTTAATTTAATGTTGACTGGAGATTTTTATAGCCTAACTAACTTGGAGAATTAGCAGATAAGAGTATGAGTTTTTGAATTAATTGAAATCAGGATGGTCATTAGTCAGTCAGTGACTGCCCTGTGTTATTTTAGTAGATCTATCTTCCATTACGTGTCTACAAATGTAGCAAAACTGGTCAATTCTCTCTTAATTCTAATCTGTCATAACAAATTATGTCATAGCAGCTACTGGCTGCAGTATTTGTCTTTACATTTTTGTCTTAAGATCAACAAGAAAATCTCAACTTCCTCAATTGCTTTTGAAGCTTACAGTGAATACATTACGTTCAAAATCCTTTGAATGAATCATTATGTGGGAGATCCTTTTCTAAACCCATACTTTTCCACAGTCCAACGCCTCGCCCAGTGCGGAGAGGAGGGAGCACCTATACAAGATCCTGGTCATCGGGGAGCTAGGGACCGGGAAGACATCCATCATCAAGCGATATGTACACCAGTTCTTCAGCCAGCACTACCGTGCTACCATCGGAGTGGACTTCGCACTCAAAGTGCTGAACTGGGACGCGAATACGATTATACGACTGCAACTATGGGATATTGCTGGTAAGTTTGACTGATTCTCTTTGGGTATAGGCCGCGCCACGAAAGTTGAGGCGGGCGAACACAGGTATATGCCACAGTTCCAGCTACCCATTTCCAGTGATGTCGTCTCGTTCTATCGCAAAGAATCACCATTTGATGAGAGCGAGAGAAAAAACGGAAATGGGTAGCTGGAACTGTGGACGATAGTACTCACACTGGATGTATTATTTGAATATAAAACACACAAATTAGTCGAAAGATGTCAGTGCGACAAGCATACAAATCTTTGCTGGTGTTAATCACCTCAACTTTAGCTACGCGACCTACACAGTCAGATTTGTGAACAAAACTTTTTTTAAGGACCTTTTTTAACCACGGCAATGAAACGGTAAAAGAAAATAAGTCATTTTGACAAATCGCGCTGATGTTTGTAAACAACACAACAAACAAAGGCTGAAAAATGGATGATATGGGATTATGTTTCGCCAGGATATTCTTCATGTTGACCGTGATTTATATGATGACGTTTTTCATGCTGATCTTCCTCGTCCCAGTATAGTTTCCCCAATATCTTGTAAGGTAAATTATTATGTGAGAAATAGAATTGTTCCTAAATTATAATCTCGATGGGGGCATCAGAAGGTTCTCATGAAATTTAGTTTTAACAGCATAAATAAACACTTTCTTATTAAAGCCATAGTCAATTTTCCTAGCACAGTACGAAAAATATTAATTTGGAAATTACTCAATTACTCAACATGTAAGAGCCGATAGAATCTCTATCATCCACAATACCAAAGCAGCAAAAATAGGCGTTGACTTCTCATATTGTCCCCAGGCCAGGAGCGTTTCGGCAATATGACCAGGGTGTACTACAAAGAGGCCGTGGGCGCGTTCATAGTGTTCGACGTGTCCAGGGTCGCCACTTTCGACGCGGTGGTCAAATGGAAGAACGACCTCGACACCAAGGTCCAGCTGCCTGACGGGTCGCCTATACCGTGCATACTGCTCGCAAATAAGGTGAGGTTGATAAAATGCGAAGACTCGAGCAATATGCAATGTTGATATTGCTGACCCAAGTACCTGATCCTCTAGTCAAAGTAACATTCATAACAGTTTTAATTTCAAAATAGCTTGCCAAGGGGAAGTAATTACATGTTTCTTCTTCTTATGCGTTTTTCATACACTTGGACAACTGCAGATACAGAGTGTACTGTAATAAAATAGAACCTTGGTCGGTAAATACGCTAAGATAAAAAATGAAAATTTCATGCTCAAGGTTCTTAGATTTTCCAAGGCTCTTCAACTGACATACCCTGTTGTTTACAGTGTGACCAGCAGAAGGAAGGCCTGGTGAACTCGCCAGCCAAGATGGATGAGTACTGCCGGGAGAAAGGTTTCGCCGGCTGGTTCGAGACCTCGGCTAAAGAGAACATTAATATCGAAGAGGCTGCTCGCTCATTAGTTAATAAGGTAAGAAAAGTTTGTTTTGAATATTCATATTCAAAAGTCATGTGGTTACATTGCTTGTGTTAAAATTGTAGCCAACGTAAAATATGATCAAGGTTTCTTTGCACAAATGACTTAGGGTGGTTTTTTTTACTTCTTTTTTATCCACAACGAGGAAACTCTTGGCCTGTATCTCACCTGATGGTAAGTGATGATCAGGCCGAAGGTGGAAGCGAGCTTCACCTGGTATCCTACATCACGGAGGAACTGGCTATCTTACCTCTAACTTGTAATTTCATCCAAGAGCTAGTCTCATCTTAAGAGTTAAGTTAGTATTTTAAATTAGTTAATGTATTGCTTGATGGTATTCTAGTCTTTAGGTAACACAATCACAAAACATAGAAACGTCTTTTTATGTTCTGTGAACACAATAATTCTACACTACAATTTCTAAATCTAGGTATATCTACGAGTATAAAAGCGAAAGGTCACTGATTGACTGACTCACGAAATCTCAGAAACTACAAGTGTTATGAGTCTCAAATTTTGCATGGGGGTTTCTTTTATAATGTAGGTGCTCACTAAGACGGGATTTTGCAAAATTCAACCCCTAAGGGGGTAAGACGGGATCCACGCGTACGAAGTTGCGGGCGGCCGTTAGTATCTCAATAAAAACAATGTGTTATAAAGTAAAAGAAAAGTGAAAGAATATAAGTCCTAACTAGTCTTAAAAGCTAGCTCTTTACTTAGATAAATGAATAGGTCGTGCGTTCATACAGTAACACTAATCCAATTACAACATATAGGAATGTTATTATATCATAACTACAAGCGCATTTCTTCTATTGTTATGCAATACTGTTCTTTCCCGCGTGTTTTATATCTATGTAATTTTTTATTATACTTAGCAATTTTTTTTATTTATACGCTCGACAACAATTGTAGGATTTGCATAAAAATAAAATTTATTTAAAAGCGCTATTAAAAATGCTTGAATATCTTGATTCTATTCGACCATTTACAAAAATGGCTATTATTTCAAAATTATTGCCAGACTTTCAAGAATATCAAAATGTGTCTCATTCAAACACTTCATTAATGTTAATTGATCAGTTTGTAGCATCTCTGTCTTATCTTTATTGTAATCTTCAATAATTTTCTAGGAAATTCTGAATAACTTGAGTGTGTACTACCGTCAACAAAATATAGTGTAGAGTAAGCACATCAAAGCTACGATTAAATGTGCTTTGCCTTTAGGTCCAAATGAATGTAGAGTTAAAAGGTGCCTTCTCATTGTTAGAAATAAACCAAGTAAGTAGCTCACTGGACCGCAAAGAAAAAGGGTCGGTTAGAAAATCTTCAATAAATTCAAAAGTACCTGCTTTTTAATTCACGCTTTTTATTTTTAATACATGTAATATACATAAATATGCGTAATTTTCCAGTATGTTTTGTTTCACATTAGGTAAGATACTTTTGAAGATATAGAAGATTTTCTAACCGACCCGTTTTCTTTGCGGTCAAGTGTAGTTTGTCGTTGACTGTACATATCAAATGATTGCGCAATAGCAAATAGTTTCCAAATGTTAACATTCTTTACATAGAACTAGTTTTATTCCGAGAAGACTATCGACTCTGACTCCGATTCTTGCTTTATCTTCATCTTAAAGCCTATTAAGGTTGCCAGCTTTAATTAAGTACAATCTATACTAGCTTTTTCTCATGGCTTCGTTTGACTTAAACTTTTGACCCTCGTTTCATCCCCTTATGGATGAATTTTGGAAAATCCTTTCGCAGTGCGTCAATAAGTAACGCCCGTATTCACAAATATTACTATGAGGTCTCACAGTGCGCGTGGACGCACAGGGTCACACACGAACCAATCATAGAGCTCTATTCAACGCTGTGCGTTTTGCTGCTTCACTTAAGCAATCATCGTTTGTGAATACGGGTGTTACTGTACGTTGTAAGTTTCAGCACAATCCGTTCAGTAATTTCAGGTCATACATGGCATCTTATACTGACGGTCGCCCGCGGTTTTGTTCACATGGTCTACGAGTAGTCAAAGAAAAAACAATCTTGCTTAATTTTCATGAAAATCACTTCAGTGAACCATGAAAAATTCCATGCTCACGAATGTCAATTTAAAATGATTTTTATTGAAGAAATTAAGTAAAGGAAAAGTTTATCATTAGCCTCATTAAGATCTTAGGGACAAAACAATAATATTTTAAAAAGAAATACATTAATTATTATGTTCTGATAACAATGTTCAATTTATTACAAGTCTGACTTTGGGATTATGACCTTAGTATAGTTCATTGTATTGTATACAGGGTGTGAAAGGCAAATTGGAAAATACTTTCATATGGCGTTTTGCATAATATCGTAAGATGGTCTAGTTAAAAATTATAATAATAACAACCGAAGTAAAAAGTTAGATTCTAATTACTTTTCGTTTCGTAGCTAAAAATATGGGATTTTTTAAGACCACATTAATTCTGATATTAAAAATAACCAGCTGTTACCAACCAACCATAAAAATAAACTATCTTTTTGAACTTGAGAGGTAAAAGTTATTGTAATTCACCGATTATCGGTTATCTAAACACCATTATACTGTTTTGTTTTTGACCAGTTGGATTCACTACACACAAAAAAGATAATGATGATCCACTGAGTTGAAGACCCTAACATTATGGTAATTCATTATTGAAGATAGGGCGGCGACCGCTCGTCTTAGAAAGTTAGTATTTTACTTCTGTTTCAACACAAAAGTGGTTTTTAATTCAATGAATCCGATTATCGGGATTTATTCAAAATACCGGTTTTTGTTTGTTCTGACACTAAATATAGATTTTGAGAACATACACTATATGGCTTATGGCTTTTGACTGCCCATAAATTAATACATTAATATTATTTGTAGATTATTACTTAATATTAGGGCATTTCTACGGGGACGACCGATCGACCTACTGGGGCGAAAAAAGTACCTTTAAAATTGAAGTACGGACTTGAAAAAAATCACACGTATTTATAGGACTCTTGACTTGATGGAGAGCATATTTAGAAGACCGCCAGGTTTTACATCTCGCCTTGAAAAANTTTACTATTTTAGAACTACAGTTCAAAATAAAACTGAAAATTCTGACCGAATCTGTTTTTGACTCTACCAACAAGTTTACTGATAAGTTAGTAGTCAATTCAATAAAGTTTTATATTTTTTGAAAGCGTGTGAATTGATTTAACATTTCTTTTATAATACAAAATTAATTACTAAATGTAACGCAAGTTTGCAATAATATGGTCTTTGTCTCACTAAGTTAGTTTGTAATAATATGTAGAGATTTGTTATTCGCTATGGTACAAAATCATTGAAATTTAACGTAATGCGATACTTGACTAATTCGTTCATGTGTATTGATCTACATTGAGTACTTATCAATAAAACGTGGTCGATGAGTTGTAGGTACAGCGATTAATTGACATTAATCTAGCTAATCAACCCGTTGGATCTATAACAATCTACTAGGATGTATAGCCGATACACTTATGATTCATGAGTGTAAGTTTTTTCAATGCGTCACTTTTTTACTACTATTTGAAAAAAAAAATAACAAAGTTTTAGTTTGGTTTTGAAAGCTGCAGTGTCTTTTAATGCAATCTTTGTAGGTTTAGGTTTTGTAAGTAATATTTATTTATATAATTTTTATTTCATAAATACAAATTTTACTTTCAAAGTCAAAGTCAAAATTTCTTTATTTGTTTGGACTAATAAATAGTTAACATTTGGCAAGTGCTGAGAAAAAGCGCCGCAACAAACTCAGTCACCACTGTCTGCCGGTTAATATAAATAAATAGAAATAGTAGTAGTAGCTACTCGTAGGTAGAGCTTTTATTTCAATATTATGCTATTGAAATAAAAAGGACCTGACTCGGGCATTTCAAAGAGGCCTATCGTTAAAAAAGAGATAGTAGGTGTATCAAATACTTTTTGTATAACATTTATATCTATGTAACTTCACGATAATGATCACTATCGCTTGATAAGATAAAAAATAAACATCGCGATGTTACATAAAGTTCTAAGTATAAAAATATAACACAAATTATAGTGAATTTGCGAATACCTAATAGTAATTACTAGTAATTAGTGGTAATTTTAGAAGGAAGTACGAGTAACACTTTTTACCCGACTGCGCCAGAAGGAGGGTTATGTTTTTTAAATCGTATCTCTACACTCTACATTCAATCATTAAATAATCTGTCCTGAGTTTGAATCGAATTTCTTGCATCGTTTAAAATGTCAGGTACTCACTCGTAATTGTTGATCTACCCACATGACCTCTCAATTCATCATACGAGTCCACTGATGCGGAAACGCAGTGCCCTTAGCAATGTACTGGACGTAGCGTATTACGTTTCGTAGCTACATCGGTAGTAAGGCCGTCCGTAGCGGAACGACTCGCCAATGCAACTTCGCATTTCAAAGGGGTCTTATTTTTGTTTGCACGCTTTTGCAGTTCGCACATAATTAACTTTTAACTTAAGTTTTAACTTAACATTTTCCAAATGTTTCAAAGACCTTGAGTCGTAAGTTTTACTTATGTACCAAAATTTAATTTAATGTTGACTGGAGATTTTTATAGCCTAACTAACTTGGAGAATTAGCAGATAAGAGTATGAGTTTTTGAATTAATTGAAATCAGGATGGTCATTAGTCAGTCAGTGACTGCCCTGTGTTATTTTAGTAGATCTATCTTCCATTACGTGTCTACAAATGTAGCAAAACTGGTCAATTCTCTCTTAATTCTAATCTGTCATAACAAATTATGTCATAGCAGCTACTGACTGCAGTATTTGTCTTTACATTTTTGTCTTAAGATCAACAAGAAAATCTCGAATTTCCTCAATTGCTTTTGAAGCTTACAGCGAAGTCATAACATTCAATATCCATTGTTTTAAATTCATCATTTTATAATAGATTCTTCTCTAACCCAACACTTTTCCACAGTCCAACGCCTCGCCCAGTGCGGAGAGGAGGGAGCACCTATACAAGATCCTGGTCATCGGGGAGCTAGGGACCGGGAAGACGTCCATCATTAAGCGATATGTGCACCAGTTCTTCAGCCAGCACTACCGTGCTACCATCGGAGTGGACTTCGCACTCAAAGTGTTGAACTGGGACGCGAATACGATTATACGACTGCAACTATGGGATATTGCTGGTAAGTTTGACTGATTCTCTTTGGGTATAGGCCGCGCCACGAAAGTTGAGGCGGGCGAACACAGGTATATGCCACAGTTCCAGCTACCCATTTCCAGTGATGTCGTCTCGTTCTATCGCAAAGAATCACCATTTGATGAGAGCGAGAGAAAAAACGGAAATGGGTAGCTGGAACTGTGGACGATAGTACTCACACTGGATGTATTATTTGAATATAAAACACACAAATTAGTCCAAAGATGTCAGCGTGACAAGCGTATACAAATCTTTGCTAGTGTTTGAGGCAATTCCTCAACTCTTGTTGCGCGACCTATAAATTATAGCACATTCAGATTTGTGAACAAGACTTTTTTAAGAAGCATTTAATTAACCACGGGATTGAAACAGTAAAAGAAAATAAGTCATTTTGACAAATCGCGCTGATGTTTGTAAACAACACAACAAACAAAGGCTGAAAAATGGATGATATGGGATTATGTTTCGCCAGGATATTCTTCATGTTGACTGTGATTTATATGATGACGTTTTTCATGCTGATCTTCCTCGTCCCAGTATAGTTTCTCTAATATCTTCATGTAAGTGAAATTCTTATGTATGAGAAATACCCTCAGGAAATACCAAAGTTGTAAACAAAATTTCGATTGGGGGGTATCAGTGGCACAGTGGTACCAGTGGCAGAAGGTTGTCTTGAATTTTGGATTTAAAAGCATAGGCACATATATCTTTAGACCCTTTCTTATTTAAAGCCTAATCAATTTTCAGTGCAGTCCGAAATTTAAAAGTTTTATTTGCAAATTACTCAACATGTAGAGCCGAGAGAATCTCTATCATCCACAACACCAAAGAAGCAACGATAGCAGTTTTCATATGTGTTGACTTCCCATCTTGTCCCCAGGCCAAGAGCGTTTCGGCAATATGACCAGGGTGTACTACAAAGAGGCCGTGGGCGCGTTCATAGTGTTCGACGTGTCCAGGGTCGCCACCTTCGACGCGGTGGTCAAATGGAAGAACGACCTCGACACCAAGGTCCAGCTGCCTGACGGGTCGCCTATACCGTGCATACTGCTCGCGAATAAGGTGAGCTTAAGGACTTTGATAAAATACGAAGACTCGAGCAATAGGCAATGTTGATATTGCTGATCCAGGGGGTAGTAACTACATGTTTCTTCTTCTTATGCGTTTTTCATACACGTGGACAACGGCAGATACAGAGTGTACTGTAATAAAATAGAACCTTGGTCGGTAAATACGTTATATATCTTTTGACTCATAGAATAGAAACAGTATCATCGTTCATTATCAGAAGTGAACTTCTCTAATAAAACCCCACAATTAACTCTACGAATTTTCCATCCACGCATCCTTCAGCATCTGGCAACCTCTATTCTTATCGGTCACTCTGAATTTTCCAATAAATTCCAGTCCTTATTTGAGAACCTTTCTTAACCAACGGTTGAAAGATTCTTGGAGATCTTAGTGCTCTACATCTTCCATCACATGTTCTTCATTTGAGAACAGCTACCAAACTTTCGTGCTCAAGGTTCTTAGATTTTCCAAGGCTCTTCAACTGACGTACCCTGTTATTCACAGTGTGACCAACAGAAGGAAGGCCTGGTGAACTCGCCAGCAAAGATGGATGAGTACTGCCGGGAGAAAGGTTTCGCCGGCTGGTTCGAGACCTCGGCTAAAGAGAACATTAATATCGAAGAGGCTGCTCGCTCATTAGTTAATAAGGTAAGAAAAGTTTGTTTTGAATATTCATATTCAAAAGTCATGTGGTTACATTGCTTGTGTTAAAATTGTGGCCAACGTAAAATATGATCAAGGTTTCTTTGCACAAATGACTTAGGGTGGTTTTTTTTACTTCTTTTTTATCCACAACGAGGAAGCTCTTGGCCTGTATCTCACCTGATGGTAAGTGATGATCAGGCCGAAGGTGGAAGCGAGCTTCATCCGGTATTCTACACCACGTAGGAACTGGCTATCTTACCTCTAACTTGCCATTTCAACCAAGAGCTAGTTAGTATTTTAAATTAGTTAATGTATTAATTGATGATATTCTAGTCGTTAAGTAACACAATCACACAATAATTATGCCCTACAATTTCAAGAATATCTCAATAAAAACAATGTGTAACTACTTTAAAAGAATAGAAGTCCTAACTAGTCTTAAAAGCTAGCTCTACTTAGGTAAATGAATAGGCCGTGCGTTCATATAGCAACACTAATCCAATTACAACATATAGGAATGTTATTATATCATAACTACAAGCGCATTTCTTCTATTGTTATGTAATATGTTCTTTCCCGCGTGTTTTATGCCTATTAAAATTTTTGTTATTAGCTATTTTTTTATATTGCCACTCTATGGTGAATTGATTCTTAATGCATATGTAGGTACTTGTAATGCAGTAATATTTACATAAAAATAAAATTTATTTAAAAGCATTGTGCTATTAAAAATACTTGAATATCTTAATCTATTCGACTTCACAAAAAAGGCTATTATTTAAAAATTATTGTCAGACTCTTTCAACAATATCAAAATGTGTCTCATTCAAACACTTCATTAATGTTAATTGATCGGTTTATAGCATCTCTGTCTTATCTTTATTTTGATCTTCGATAATTTTCTAGGAAATTCTGAATAACTTGAGTCTGTACTACCGTCAACAAAATATTATTATGAAGTTATTAAAAAGACACAATATCTTGTACACATAGAGTAGGTACCTACATGAAATGTGCTCTAAGTCTATTAATGAATGTAGAGTTAAAAGGTTCCTTCCCATAGGGTCCACACCGTTAGAAATGAACCATCTAGAGGGTCGGTTAGAAAATCTTCAATAAGTAAATTCAAAAGTACCTGACCTAGCTTTATGAAATAAAGACTAACCCCCTTACAAATAAAACTTACACGATCGTTGAACAGTGTTTTAAAGTGACGTTTAGTATGTAAATGACATTTTAAAACAGTGTTAAACTGTGTAACTTTTTATTAGTAAGGGGGTAAATGCTTAAATTCACGTTTTTTATTTTTTATTAAAATTAATAAAAAATGCGTAGTTTTTCCAGTAGATGTGTTTTGTTTCACACCTAGGCAGATACTTTTGAAGATATTTTATAGAAGATTTTCTAACCGACCCTTTTTCTTTGCGGTCAAGTGTAGTTTGTCGTTAACTGTACATATCAAATGATTGCGCAATAGCAAATAGTTTCCAAATGTTAACATTCTTTACTTAGAACTAGTTTTATTCCGAGAAGTATCGACTCTGATTCCGAGTCTTGCATTATCTTAATCTTAATGCCTATTAGGGTTGTCAGCTTTAATAAGTACAATCTACACTAGCTTTTTCCCATGGCTTCGCTTGACTTAAACTTTTGACCCTCGTTTCATCCCCTTATGGGTGAATTTTGGAAATTCCTTTCGCAGTGCGTCAATAAGTAACTCCCGTATTTATAAATATTACTATGAGGTCTCACAGTGCGCGTGGACGCACAGGGTCACACACGAACCAATCATAGAGCTCTATTCAACGCTGTGCGTTTTGCTGCTTCACTTAAGCAATCATCGTTTGTGAATACGGGTGTTACTGTACGTTGTAAGTTTCAGCACGATCCGTTCAGTAATTTCAGGTCATACATGGCATCTTATACTGAAGGTCGCCCGCGGTTTTGTTCACATGGTCTACGAGTAGTCAAAGAAAAAACAATCTTGCTTAATTTTCATGAAAATCACTTTAGTGAACCATGAAAAATTCCATGCTCGTAAAAGTCGATTTACAATTATTTTTATTGAAGAAAGTAAGTAAAGGAAAAGTTTATTATTAGCCTCATTAAGATCTTAGGGACAAAACAATAATATTTTAAAAAGAAATACATTAGTTATTATGTTCTGATAACAATGGTCAATTTATTACAAGTCTGACTTTGGGATTATGTATAGTTCATTGTATTGTATACTATACAGGGTGTGAAAGGCAAATTGGAAAATACTTTCATATGACGTTTTGCATAATATCGTAAGATGGTCTAGTTAAAAATTATAATAATAACAACCGAAGTAAAAAGTTAGATTCTAATTACTTTTCGTTTCGTAGCTAAAAATAACCAGCTGTTACCAACCAACCATAAAAATAAACTAAGGGAGACTGGGGCTGGTTTTAACAGTGACTAACAGCGTAATTACATAGAACCTATTCGACTTACCACGCTAATTCCAACGCACTTTGTGCCTACGAATAAGCGCGAACGTGTCTCGATCTGTCAGTTGCCGGCCAAGCGTCACGGGAGCAGGTTGCGTCAGACGCCTCAAATTTCACAGGAAAATGAACTTTTTTACGTGTTTAATTTTTTGCATTACTCTTTAAATATGTATCGTAGAAAATTGGCTTTGGTATTGCATAAATCCGAATTTATTGTATTTTGCATTAATTTCAAAATTTTAATCAAAAATATAACCGGTAAAAGAAAAACAATAATTTTGTGCAAAATGAGGTCGTGGGGTTGGTTTTAACAAAATGCACGGGGTAGGTTCTAACGCGTTAATATTTGCCCCGAACATTGAGTAACACTGACTTTTATAACCAAAGTTGTATGTTGATTTATTAGAGGAGTATTTTTTTTGGTATTTTATTTAATAAAGATAGATTTAGTAAGTTTTAAGTTTATTACACAAATGTTTAAACGGTAAGGAGCCGAATTTCAATGATCATTTGATGATCAAAAATTATTTTTTGTTCTTTGATTTGAGTAATGCTGATTGAGTGAGTCAGTTTATTTAACTAATAAAATTTAAGTTTTCTGTTTATTTTATGAACGGTAAGGAACCGCATTTAATTTTATTAGTGTTTCTAATAAACATTGATTATTATTTTGTTGTTTATCTTAGCCAAAATCCCATTCCCAACTATAAATCATTTCTTACCCCCGCTGTTAAAACTTTCCCCAGCGATGTTAAAACCAACCCCAAACCGGGGGTAAGATCTAACAAGTGACTTGTTTGGCAAAACTCGATTTTTCTCAGATATGGTAATTATTATATACATTTTGTTATACTTTACGTAAAGCTCATTAAATTTGACATCACGTACCAAAAAATCATGTTTCTTGCTAAAGCAGTTTAGAAAATATTACGCTCAAATCAAAATTTGTTAGGACCAGCCCCAGTCTCCCCTACTTATCTTTTTGAACTTGAGAGGTAAAAGTTATTGTAATTCAACGATTATATTATCGGTTATCTAAACATCATTATACTGTTTTGTTTTTGACCAGTTGGATTCACTACACACAAAAAAGATAATGATGATCCACTGAGTTGAAGACCCTAACATTATGGTAATTCATTATTGAAGATAGGGCGGCGACCGCTCGTCTTAGAAAGTTAGTATTTTACTTCTGTTTCAACACAAAAGTGGTTTTTAATTCAATGAATCCGATTATCGGGATTTATTCAAAATACCGGTTTTTGTTTGTTCTGACACTAAATATAGATTTTGAGAACATTACACTATATGGCATATGGCTTTTGACTGCCCATAAATTAATACATTAATATTATTTGTAGATTATTACTTAATATTATTTAGGGTCACATTTAATTTACATAAATATGAGAAACAACGGTTTGGTAACTGTTAAAGTCAGCGCAAAAAATCTTGAAAATATTTGTTTTGTTATTTTTTGAAAACGATGTGCAAAGTAAATAGAAAAATTTTAGTAAAACCATCTAAAATCATGTCATGATGTGCGAATTTTTTATATAAAAATATGTAACCACAAAAAACGACAGATCAATAAGTTTAGTTTACAATTTTAGTCGTTGAAAAACTGGTTAAAAGTCAAATACTTTTTGTTCCAGATCCTCCTAAACGACAAGCTCCTGCAGAGTAGCGACAGCAAAGACGCGGACCGTTTCGGGCTCGAGCACAAGATCGCGAACGGGGAGAATTCGCGCGCGAGCGCGAATAAGTCGTGCGCGTGCTGACCTTCCCGAATGTTCGCACGCTTTGCATTCCATATTTGAATTTGAAAGTGTAAAGGTAAAAAGGAATATCCTTTTTGGCACGGTTTAAAAAGAGTTTGACGATTGATATTTTTAGTTCTTTTTACTTGTTTTTTTCTCATAGGTAATTTTTATTTTGCAATTTAATTGTCTACATTCTACTATTACTCACTAGGAATGCCTAGCATGAGAAAAAGAGTTGAAAGGTTTTAAATATCTTTTTTGTCGAGATAGTTTTTTTTTAGAGTTTTTCATCTTGATAGACGAGCGACNTGAATGACTGTCTAAACTGAATATTTTTGAGTTTAAATTAACTCCTTAATTTTTTTTAGTTTCTCCTGCTTTTTAAACTTAGTTTGTTGACAATACAACTCTTTTTACCGTGACTAAAAAAACCAAGAACAAAAGATGCATTTGACATGAATATGGTTGACGATTAAGAGTACACAAATCGTAGACTTATGGACCAATTGAGTCGAAAATAATGTTTAAAACTCTCTATTTTATGTTAAAATATTTATATACTTTTGCACCATGTAGTTTTAAAATTTTAGCTGGCAAAGTAATCAAGTTTCTGAAATTAGACTACTCTATGCTAAGATTCCGTAATATTTCTAACTTAATTATTCTTTTAAATTTTTTTCCTCGCGTTATTTTTTTCACACAGATTAAACTAGTCCAAAAATCAGGTTGATCTATTTCTTTACTGAATTGGTTGCTATTTTGTACCTTTTTCATCTATTTATGCACATACCATGGTGTTTATATTGTTAATTAACTATTGACCATAGAGTAGTGGTCTCGGTAGATTTAGTGACGTGCGAGAGATATTTAGTGCCTCAAGTAATCGAATTTATTATAACTCTTCATGGCTAACTTACATGGGGAAAATTTTGTACAGTTACCCTAAAGACATGCGAGAAAATGTAATAAAATAATTTGATGGTTTAGTTAGTACTTTTTGAGTGAACGGTATGATAGATTTTAGATACATTGTATGTTTTAAAAAGTTTAGTAACACATAAAGAGCAATTTTTATACATATTTTCATACAAACAAGCTGTGGTACAGAGTGTACTGTGTAGGTACTAGTGTACCTATAATATTATACATCTCAAAAATCCATGCACCATGTATTTATTTTAAAATTCTGGCATGTTGAACTTTTGCTTAGCCCTTAATTTCGTATGGATGACAAATATAGTGGTGACTGTACCAAATTCTATAGGAACAATTATAATATTAAACTTTTGTACTAAAACATAATAAAATCTGAACAAAATATTAAATACTATTATGAACAAACTTATTTAATTATGTTGAACCAATTGTAAAGGAAATGTTGCTATTATTTAATATTGTGTTATGGAATATTCAACTGTTATATTTATATTTTAACTACTTAAGGCTAGTATTCAGAAACTAAACCAAAATCAGAGACAAACAATAACAGCATTTTTCAGTTTTAATCGAGTTTTGAGTATTTCTGAATACGTGCCAAAGTTATGATAATAAAATACTACTTTATGAAGCAAATTTTTATGTCTAAAATAGATGTGTATTAAATTACTCATAGAATGTACTTTTGTTCATAAAAAGACACTTCTTTTACGTCTATTCACGTACATTAGTTTTGTATTTTTCTAATTATTTAAACATGTTTGTGTATTGGAGCGGAGTGCCATGATGAACCAGTCATGATCGTACCTTCTAGAGTACTATACGTTAATTTAGTATTATCTACTTATGACGAGCTATTGTTGATGTACAATAAAATATTTAGTGACATAATAACATACTGTGTTTTATTCTTACTTATTAGTCATCCTATAATGTCGGCAAAAAATATGAGCACGCCTACCTAACCAATTAACTATCCGAACTTTCGAATTATTTTTAAGAAAGCATGATTAATGTTAATAGAAAATTGTCTTTATAAAATGTGAGTCTGAGGTCAGCTTTGCGAACATGGCATGGCTCTATCCATAGCTGAATGTGCTATCTGAAATCACTAAATCATATTTCCTTTCGATTTATGTATTTACAAAATTATCTTAAACTGGACCTAGGTACAATGTGAATTTTCAGATTGGTGTCTATGTAAAAATGTGATAAATTCGGATTCAATGAGGGTTTTCGCGATTGAAAAATCCGCCAATGACGTCCAATGCTGGATAAAGGCCTCCCTCAAGGATTTCCACAACGATCAGTCCAGCGCTGCCCGCATCCAGGAGCTTCCAGCGACCTTTACCAGATTTTCACTCCACTTAGTGGACCTTCTGGCACATTCATAGTCCTAAAAAAAACTCTTGGCAAGGGAATAACGCCCGTTTTCACAAACGTTACTATGAGGTCTTACAGTGCGCGTTGACGCACAGGGTGCACAGGACGCACATACGAACCAATCACAGAGCTCTATTTAACGCTGTGCGTTCGATTTGCTGCTTTAGTTAAGCAAGCATCGTTTGTGACTACGGGCTTAATGCCCGTTTTCACCATCAATCCCTAATTTTTAAGAGACCCCTATGGAAACAAAATTCCTGTTATGTGTTACCATAGGGGTCACCTAAAAATAGGAATTGATGGTGAAAACGAGTATAAGTCTATTGACTCTCGCTCGCCCGACTTATGGGATTGAGGCAAAGCTGTTTAACAAAAGTCATATTTATCATTCAACGAGTTAATAACTCTACCAATAAGTCAATAAACTTAAATGCCTAAGGCATGTTATGTATGGGCGACTAATTATCAACTCAAATACATATGTCTGTAACGCTCGCTGAGCAATTATTCAATTTGTCTTCATTTTGACGAGTAGATGACATGGACATGAGACTTAAATTAAGCTGCGGTCATAAATTCGTTAATTCACACTTTTTATTGTTTTACTTGAACAACAAGTTTATTATTCGTGGTTTAATTAACAAAAAATACCACACCTATGCGACATTTCCTACGCACAGGGCGCACAGGTGAGATTGTGGTCAATTTTGATCTCCAATAAAAAACCTTTTTTGCGAGTTTCAGGAGGGCTACCTAAAATTCGTTTTGAAATGTACTGTATTTTGCTGCAGTTGCTAAGTAAAATGCCGTATTAAGCCTTATTATAAGGACATACTCGTAGAGGTAGGTACTTTGATTTGTCGTCACTTGATCCTGAAAAATATATCCTTGGACATTTTTTTACACTGCGCCTCTAGTCCCAAACTATACTATAACTATACTTACAACAACAAATTAGACACACAAAATATTGTTTTATGACCTAAAATATCAAGTTGGTTAACATAAGTAACATTTAAGTAATACCTACTTACAAAACCTCATTACAATCTACGAAATCGTTTCAACTTCATTAATACATTTTATTACTTGAATTAATTACACTACCAGTTTCCAGTTTTCTCTATACAAACATAAAAATAATTTAAAATACACCTAAAACTAACATCATGGCGATTTCTAATAAATAATCATCCATCAAGAAACCAGTTAGATCGGTGCGTGTGGTTTAAATCGATTTTTAAAGGTTTAGTTAAACTGGTTGTCCCAAAATACTATGAACACAAAATCGGTGATTTGTTAATGGTCTCAGGTCAGGTTATGAAACGTTTATGGAAAATTAGAAGGATTAATAAACTTTAAATATGTTACTATCATAGAATTCTTTACCATAGATAGCGCAATAAACATACGAGTACAGCATATTGGAAATTTACCTACGGTCTAGAGATGGCATCTACAGGGTGGAAACGATAAGTGATCTCACTCGATTATTTCTAAACTATACAAGATATCCAAAAAATGGTTACTGATCCTGAAAGTGCTTCACGAGCTCTATCCAACAGTACCAATAATAGTTTACAAAATAAACTGGATCTATCTGAAAATTCAATGTTTCCAGTCTCCATACATTTAGTAAAACCACAGTTTATTAAAAACTATACAAGATATCCAAAAAATGGTTACTGATCCTGAAAGAGCTTCACGAGCTTTATCCAACGGTACCAATAATCCCAACTTCCCAACTAATATTATAAATGCGAAATTAACTCTGTCTGTCTGTCTGTCTGTCTGTCTGTTACGCTTTCCCGCTTAAACCTCGCAACCGATTTTGATGAAATTTGGCATAGAGATAGTTTGAGTCCCGGGAAAGAACATAGGATAGTTTTTATCCCGGTTTTTGAAACAGGGACGCGCGCGATAAAGTTTTTCTGTGACAGACAAAATTCCACGCGGGCGAAGCCGCGGGCGGAAAGCTAGTAAGTTATAAAATAAACTGGATCTATCCGAAAATTCGTGAAAAACTCTTCACCGCGGCANCTATAACCAATTAACTATCCGAACTTTCGAATTATTTTTAAGAAAGCATGATTAATGCTTAATACAAAATTGTCTTTATAAAATGTGGGTCTAAGGTCAGCTTTGCGAACATGACATGGCTCTATCCATAACTGAATGTGCTATCTGAAATCACTGAATCATATTTCCTTTCGATAAATTTACAAAATATTTTAAAGTGGAAATAATTACCTGCCATAGATTCGTGTCTATCTAAAAATTTAATAAATTCAGATTCAATTCCATTTGTAGCGTCTCGCTAAATAAGAACTGTTACGAATAATTATGTCTATGGGGGCAGACCAAAAATTCAAATTCGTTAATTTCAGCCAAATGACGTCCAATTTTAAGGATTTCCACAACGAACAGTCCAGCGCTGCCCGCATCCAGGAGCTTAAAGGCACGCGACACCTTCACCAGATTATCACTCCACTTAGTGGACCTACTGGCACATTCTTCTTTTTCTTTCTTTTCAGCCAAATGACGTCCACTGCTGGACAAAGGCCTCCCCCAAGGTTTTCCACAATGAACGGTCCTGCACATTCATATTCCTGAAAAAAAAAAAAAACTCTTGGCAAGGGAATAACGCCCGCATTCACAAACGTTACAATGAGGTTTTACAGTGCGCGTGGACGCACAGGGCCACACACGAACCAATCACAGAGTTATATTTAACACTGTGCGTTCGTTTTGCTGCTTTAGTTAAACAAGCATCGTTTGTGAATACGGGCTTAATGCCCGTTTTCACCATCAATCCCTAATTTTTAAGAGACCCCTATGGAAACAAAATTCCTGTTATGTGTTACCATAGGGGTCACCTAAAAATAGGAATTGATGGTGAAAACGAGCATAAGTCTATTGACTCTCGCTCTCGCTCACGCGGGTGAAGCCGCGGGCAAAAGCTAGTTAAGAATACAGCAATTTGGAAATTTACCTACCTAGAGTCTGTTGGTACCTGTCTCTTATTAACCATAAGTAGAGAGGGAGTTAATAACTTCTTTGTATTCTTTCTATAACAGGAGTCCTCAAGGAAATTTTTAGGGATGATTAATATGTATGTTAATTAAGTAAATCGAAAATATTTCAAAGGAACAAGGGGTGAAATCTTTCAAAAAAGTTGTTGTATCTTTCAAAAAGTGAAAACGAGCATAAGTCTATTGACTCTCGCTCGCCCGACTTATGGGATTGAGGCAAAGCTTTTAAACAAAAGTCATTTTATCATTCAACGAGTTAATAACTCTACCAATAGGTCAATAAACTAAAATGCCTAAGGCATGTTATGTATGAGCGACTAATTATCAACTCAAATACATATGTCTGTAACGCTCGCTGAGCAATTATTCAATTTGTCTTCATTTTGACGAGTAGATGACATGGACAGAGACTTAATTAACCTGCGGTCATAAATTCGTTACCTCACACTTTTTATTGTTTCACTTGAACAACAAGTTTATTATTCGTGGTTTAATTAACAAAAAATACCACACCTACATGACATTTCCTACGCACAGGTGACATTGCGGTCAATTTTGATCTCCAATAAAAAATCTTTTTTTTTCAGGAGGGTTCCTGAAACCCCCAAAAAAGATTTTTTATTGAAATGAATGTTAGGTACCCACCTAACATTCATTTTGAAATGGACTGTATTTTGCTGCAGTTGCCAACTAAAACATAGGTACTCGTAGAGGTACTTTGATTAGTCGTCAGTTTTTGATCCTGAAAAATATTGGTTAGAAGTTACAACAACAGTGAAAATGAGAATTAGACACAAAATATTGTTTTATAAATTTTCAAATATTAAATACTCTATTACTAGAAAAAGAAAAAAAAGTTTTATGACCTAAAATATCAAGTTAGTTAACATAAGAAATACCTACTTACCAAACCTCATTACAATCTACGAAATAGAATTAACTTCATTAACACATTTTATTACTTGAATTAATTACACTACCAGTTTCCACTTTTCTCTATACAAACATAATAATAATTTAAAATACACCTAAAACTAACATCATGGCGATTTCCAATAAATAATCACCCATCAAGAAACCAGTTAGGTCGGTGCGTGCGGTTTAAATCGATTTTTAAAGGTTTAGTTAAACTGGTTGTCCCAAAATACTATGAAAACGAAATCGGTGATCTGTTAATGGTCTCAGGTCAGGTTAAGAAACGATGAAATATAAAACATGTTAACTTTAAAGAATGCCTAGTTCTCTACCTTAGATAGAGCAATAAAAATACAGCATTTTGGAAATAGAGTTGGTATTTAATAGGTATCTCTTAACTACTAGTAGAGAGGACTTTAATGGCTTCCTTGTATCTTTCTAAGTAAATAAAATAAATATCCTTGGACATTTTACACTGCGTCGTTACAGTCCCAAACCAAGCAAAGCTTGTACTATGGGTACTAGACAACGGATATAAACATACTTAAATACTTTTTTTTGTAAATACATACATATTATACATAGTAAATTTCAATTTCTGCCCAAGTATGTCAAAAATCGTCAAGAAATTTTAGGGATGATTGTGTTGATAAAATTGATCATATTTCAAAGGAACAAGGGGTGAAACCTTCCAAATAAAGTTGTTGTAACATTGTGCAATAGTTGAGAGAAGCATATGGATCTACGGTCGCATACCACAGGCCTATGCCAACAAGTTTTACCAGTTCCACAAAAACTGTGTGGTGTATCTATTTTTGAACATAGTAGTATAATTTGGTAATTACAGAGAAGTATGCAGTGGGCTTAATCCACACTAGACCACGAACAAACGAACACCCTGTTCTTTGATGTTGGTTAGAAAGAAAGAAAGAAGAAAGAAAATACATTTATTTGGCACATTAAAAACAGCAAATTACAAAACTTAACAGTAAATTAATTAATTTGGAAATGATGCCAAAAAGGCTTCCACTCAGCATAATGCCGCAGTGCGTAGCACCACGACGCTGGTTTTCAGTGGTCGCCTGATGGCAGTGGTGGAGAGGCGCAGGTTAAGTAATTTAAGGTCAAGTGCATCAAGCCTTGAAGTTCAAGGCGTCATAGAATATTGAAGTTAGAGCTCAGTTGGTAATGCTGAATACTTGAGATCATTCGTTAGTTTGAAACTAAGGCTGTAATCATAGTAACAAACAATACGTAAGGTTTACGATGTATTAATACTAGACTTTTGATAATCAAAAACTGTGGTTCTACTGCTTCAAACTCAACTAACCCATCAGCCTTGATTTCATTCCACTTTTTATAAACCACTCCCACGATCGTTTATTTTAAGGATCATTTTGCAATAAAAACATTAGGTATGGTCACGTAAGTTTTGTGCGTCTATGGTCATGATTAATTGAGAGGTGGTTTGGATCTCTACATGGGATCTGGTAGGTGTTTTATTGCTTAGAAACAGCGCCTACCATTGATAAAAATAACAAAGCAAGTTTGACGCGGTAACGCGGAAATATTTACGATTGGTTAAAGTCCGCGCCAACTTTGGTAAATTGTTATGTAAAATATGGTAGAATTATTTCGAAAGAGAGTTTGAAATAGGTAGGTAAGTATCTTAGTAAACAAAAATAAATATTAGTTTAGTCAACGTTACTTAACTTTACATATTTTCTTAAATTAAGTAGGTACGGCTATAGAAAATTCGGTGTCAGTTTTTACCTCTGGTTTTCCAAATACAACACAGATAATACGTAGTTTACCTACTTGTTTTTAATTTAATGAAAAATATTTGTTTATCACAGCTTGGGAAATAGGTATTAGTTTGAAAAACATTTTAACTGCTATCATTCTAAGTCTATATTAAGTTTTATCTTGCAGTAATGGAGTAAACAATAACAGATTTTCAAACCTAACAATACAAAATATTGTTCTTTTGTGAGTTCACCATTCTTACCAGACCTTGATGAAGAAAAGAGTGCTGTCTAAAAGGAAGTAGTAATTTAGAACACCTGCTTACCTAGTAACAAAGTTTCTCAGATATCAATCTGTAAGAAGGCAAACGAACTAAAATCTCCATGACAAACAAGCGGACATATCTTTATTATTATCAAGTAACCTAAACTCGTCCTGCACGCAGTACCGCTTGTTTTTCAGTTTGCTACTGAAAATGATTTCGTCCATCTTTCAGGTTATTTCTGTAAGTTTTTCAGGATGAAAAATAGATAATACAATATAACTAAAATGCCTAAGGCATATAAACAATATACAATAATACATCTCCAAGATCAGCTTAACTTTCTTACAAAATATGTATTATCAAAATCGCTCCACATATACATTGAACAATAAATGTTGAAAAACACAGACAGACAACGACTCTACCGCTTAACTACAATGTTAGTAAGAAAGTAATCGCTTTTCAAACAATAGTACACTTTGAGTGACACAAAATGTTACGAATGCGATAGAGATTAGACGTTTGTGTTAATTTTAATTGTAATAAATATGGTTTAATTGTGATTTTTGTGGGACAATTTTATTCTGTAGCCATGGATTTTGATGCGGTAAGTCTTGTTTGGCTGTAAAATAGAAAAAATGGTATATCGGTAGAGTAAACATTAGTTAGTTTTGCGGGATAGTCGATTCGCACTTAACCTTACCCCTTATTAAGCTACGATTGAGAAATCATTCAATAAACTGTACATACCTCTAGCATGAACAACTTTCGTCTTCGAATCGTTTGCGTATTCGACAAAATTCGATACCTTCGAATTAAACGATAGCGTGACAATTTTGACTCACAAAATAATTTTCGTGCAATCATTTCTCATACTAAGTTCACTTTACGACACGTTCACAAGGGCGCTATTGTAGTTTTTGTACTAAATCTTTTGATGGCGATTCAAATATGCAAACGATTCGAACTCGAAAGTTTTTCATGCTAACCGTACAGGTTTTCAGCAATAAAATCGCTGTATCTACTTCTGGTAGGTAATTGTCTCGATTAGGCTGTTTATTCTTATTTCTTATTTAGACTGATGACTCGGTAGTATCAAATAAACATTAATTTCAGGAAGGTATTGACTCAGATGACGGCCCCAAAGTGGTCATGACAGTAGATAATTTGACAGTTTGGACCCCTGAAGAAAGATCATGGTGGCGGAGAAAAGTTTCAAAACCAAAAAATGTTATACTGGACAACAGTGGGTATTATGAAATTTATTTAATGTCAATTGTAGAACAAGAAAGTGTTACTAATAACGCACTCAACACTGGATAATATTGTTGTTAATTTTTATTAAGATTAATAGTTACTATTTTTTTCTCTAACATTAACATAAATGTAATTGTTGTAGTTGTTTTAGTAGTAAACTTGAAACATCAGTTTCAGGAATCATTAGAGAAGGTGAATTTGCAGCACTTCTTGGACCAAGGTAAGATGTTTGTTAATCTTTTTTTCCCTTAGTTTGACCGCGATGTCCTAAGTAGGTAAATAAATAACTAGTGGATCCGAAGGAACTCTTCCAGTCGTTTCTATAAATCTTACTATCGGCTAATCAATTTATTTTGCAAGTAAATACCTGACTGAGCATTTCTGAAATCGACTCCATTTCTAATACATACATTTTAATTTTCAAAGACATTCAAAAACTGTATTCTCAGACAAAACAAGGAGGAAGATGATTTGGTAATCGCTGTACACAAGATAAAAAATATTCTTATTGCACAATCTCACCTTCTTGTCGGTCAGTCACCTTGTTTTGTGACATTTTATGAACTCAAAAAATTGTTGTAGTTAACTTTATTTTTATTTAGCTCAAGTGGAATATTTACGCCCGCATTCACAATCGATGCTTGCTTAAGTGGAGCAGCAAATCGAACGCATAACGTTGAATAGAGCTCTATGATTGGTTCGTGTGTCACCCTGTGAGTCCACGCGTACTGTTAGACGTCATAGTAACGTTTGTGAATACGCGCGCAAATAAAGAAATTTACAATAATAACAATGTTTTATAGTGGCGCTGGAAAAACCACATTACTCGTAGCTCTGGCAGGAAAATGCACCCTCCCTTCGAGGGGGCTGGTGTTAGTTGGGGGGAGGGAAGTGTCAGAGGCACAGGGGACGGTGGAACTCCTGCCGCAATTTGACGTCTTCATGGAACAATTGACGGTCATGGAGCATTTGGTTTTTATGGTAAGCGTGGCCTACTTGTTTGGTGTGATTTTTTTTTGTGTTTTGTTTTCTTATTAGAGGTATGTCGTCACTGATATTGCACACACAATGAATAATGATTACGTTTGTTTATAGTAATTGATGGTAGAACCATGGTAGAACTTTGAAATTTTCGTGGAGTTTCCTTTTAAAGGAATTTAAATAACAATGAAAATAATTTCACTCATTAACCACAAAATTGATTTTAAACTATTATAAAAATATTAACACTAACATTGTCATTGATAAATGTTTAATGAATCGTATGAGGTACAAGTAAATTCTTGTAACACCTAAATTAAGATAATAAGTACTTTACCTAGTAAAAAGCCAACCACAATAAACATCATAAAACAATTAGTGCATCACTTTATGATGTCCATAGTTATAAATGTATTAGGGAGCAAACAGGTTAAGATAAAATATCTGAATGTGAATGAAACGACAATCAGTCTGATGATTCATACAATCAACATGCCAAAGAAAATATTGATGTATGTACTTTTCTTTTTTTACGAAAGCGAATATTGTTGATGTTTTTAGGTTGTTACAGATTGTTTGTTTGACTAATCATGTTTAGTGTGAAGTTATACAGTATGTAACACACAAAAACTGTCACTGTTTAAATAGTTTTTGTATAAAGACGTTAGTGTACAAAAGCTAATTATAGGCCAGTACACTTAAACACAGCTTCGTCGAAGTCGAAAACCTAGGAGAGTCTTCATGGGCAACCAATGAAGCCATTAAAGTAATAAAATCATTCGTAGGAATTATTTCTGATTTAAAGTCTAATTCTACTGGCCTATTAGTGATGATGAAATTTTTGATTCGTAGCATCGAATGAAATTAATCTTATGAAAGCTTTTTGAAATGGTTTTTACAATGCAAGCATTTCTTTCAGACAGAATTGAAACTGGGCAGCTGTAAAAATCCAGCCAATAAAGTGGTTCTGAACTATTTGTTGGACGAACTGAAATTGAGAGCGCACTCCAAAACTACCATAAGTTCGCTCTCTGGGGGCGAAAAGCGGTTACTGTCATTGGCTACTTCGGTACGATATCGATAAAGTGCATTGTTTGTTTATATTTTTTGTGGGGTTTGGAAAAAAGATAAAAAACACCACACTGACTATTTAAAAGACATTAATTATGTCGCCCGTTTGGTGTAGTGGTTCAGAACGGACTACTTTTCAAGGCGAGAGTGAATAGGCACTTACAGGGCAGATGTACCATTCTAGACTGCATCTGCGATTGCGGTCAAATAGCTGCCTTGTCTTGCATAAAAAAAAACTATGCCGAGAGGTCCCGGGTTCGATTCCCGGCCGGGCAGAAATTGAAATGATGCATTTTAATTTCTGTGATGGGGCTAGGTGTTACTTATGTATAATGTATGTATTTACAAAAAAAAAGTATTTAAAGTATGTTTATATCCGTTGTCTAGTACCCATAGTACAAGCTTTGCTTAGTTTCGGACTAGAAGCGTAGTGTAAAATGTTTATGAGCTCTCAAAACTGAATAAAAATTCAAGCACGCTATGCTTTCCTTTGATGATCTAGTAAACGAAATTCAACCAATCAAAGGGTTTTAAATACATGTTTCGTAAATAGGGTCCTGAAAATCCTTTTTTGCGATATCATATTAACTTGTTTGTTAGCTTGTACTTGTATTTTATTCGTGTTTCTTGTGTCTTTCGTTTCTAATCTAACCTTATTATAGTGTTTTAACTTTGTAGCTGCTATCCAGTCCACAAATACTCATCTGCGACGAACCCACAACGGGCCTGGACAGTTACAACGCCGCCCTGGTGGTGGAGACCCTGAAACGGCTGTCACTCTGCGGGAAGGTGGTCATATGCTCCGTCCACCAGCCCTCCACCGATCTGTTCAAAGAGTTCAACTCCATCTTGCTGATGGCTGATGGGAAGCTGTTGTTTCATGGGAGCCAAGAGGACTGTAGTGAGTTGTTTAGAAGGTAAATTAATTTTAATAATGTCTATAACTTTCTGCACTGGAGGGTAGTCGAACCTTAACTTCGAACTCGTCCTATGTTTTTCTAATTAATTTCGTTACAAACCCAATGTCAGTTTAAGTTCCTCGGGATAAACTTGACTTTCACTGGTTGGGTTTTTATTGGCAGTCAAGTTGTAGATCCTGGCTACACAGGAGTTGCAACAGTGGGAAGTGGGAACGAGAGGTGAGAATAGTCAGTAATGTTTATAAATGAGCGTAACGATTGAATAAAGGCTCTGTGGGTGTTATATGGATTGATATTACCTACTTATCATATTACAATGTACAGTAATTGAATCGGACTGTTATCACGTTCACAGTTCAGTGCTTTTAGCGACTTACATAGGTTACAATAATTACAACTATGTTGCTTTACGAATGTCTGTCTTCTCTGATTAATATTAGCTATTCTCAGGTCACTTTTCACCAAAAGTCATAAGAAATCAGCGTTTCATATTTTCTTCACCTAGAAGTTATTTTTTAGTTCTTTTTTTGAAAAGTTGTTGCCAAAATAGTATGATGTGATGATACTTTATAACAGCAAAGCTAAGTAGCCAATGACGTCAATTTGTGTGGCTTTTGATTGATGTAACAGTATTTCTGCTGATTTTTGGATGATAAAAGGCCAACGCCTTAAGGCTCTTACAGATCAGCGTTTTTTCTTCGCCTATAAATAGGCTGGTTTTTGTGTAGAGGCGCGGCTCTACTTGTAAGAAATACTTTACAACAATGTTACATAGCGTTGGATTGATGATTACTAAAGTGCGAAATGCACCTGTAACGCCCCTGGGACTACGGGGCGACGGTAATCACTTACCATCAGGTGATCCGTCTGCTCGTTTGCCTCCTGTCACATAAAAAAAAATGTAGCGCACTTGTAAACTCGTATGCCTAAAGGAACTTAAAGAAAAACGGTACTCTAAAAGACTAAAGTTACTGCGGATTTAGTGTTCGCTACCTTAATAGAAAAGTATTCAGAATCAGCTGTTGCGAAGTCATCATCATAACCTGAAAACTTTATCGAAAATCGAGACTAACGAAAAACATTTCAGCATCAATCTACACTGCCCAGTGAATTACAATCCGGCAGAGTTCTACATAGTACGTGCCGTGTCCCGTCTGTGTGGGACAGGTGGGACGGATGAGTCCCAGAAAATCTTGGACTCGTACCACGAGAGGTACAAACGAGACGAGACGAGTGCTTCAACTGTGAAATGTGCTGTGAATAAGTTAGTATGAACGTTAATAATACATTTATTGATCTTATTTTTTATAAAACACAACAAATTTTAATTTAACTATTAATTTAGGGACACTTAAAACTCGACACAATGACATATTATTTATTGCCAATCACAATTACTTAAGTAGCGACTCATGAAACTAAAATTAAGAAACTTGATTTAGAATAAAGTACTTCAAGTTACTAGTATAAATTATACTCGTTCGTTCGTTCGTTTCAGCCAAATGACGTCCACTGCTGGACAAAGGCCTCCCCCAAGGTTTTCCACAATGAACGGTCCTGCGCTGCCCGCATCCAGGCTCTTCCCGCGACCTTTACCAGTTATTACCTTTACCAGTATAAATTATACTAATTTATGAATATTCAATATGCTTTATCAATGTCATCTTCATATAGTAGATTTAAATAAGCTATGTTACCTACTTATTTTGCTTCTCGGTTTTTGTTAAATTAAATGTTATTTTGGCTATGAGAAATTAATCATACCCATAGGCCACGCCAAAAAACATTGTGGGTTCCGTACCCAATGGGGCTAAGTAATAATAAGTCTACACTCTGTCCGTTCGAATGTATTATGTCCGTTTTCACCATCAATCCCTAATTTTTAAGTGACCCCTATGAAAACAAAATTCTTGTTAAGTGTTACCATAGGGGTCACTTAAAATTTAGGGATTGATGGTGAAAACGGTTAATACCCGTTTTCACCATCAATCTCGTACTTTTTTATTTATTTATTTGGGCATATTACATTGTTTTACAGAATTCTTTGTGGGGAGTCCGACTCACTCTTTGCCTTTACTACTCCGGACATTCCAAGACTTGTTTTTGTTAGTTTTAACATGAAATGTTAATTGAACATAATTAATCCAGCTTAAGATCACTCAAACTTCTAAGTTAATCACTGTTTTAAATTAAAATTAGATGACAGTTTGTAACTCATGGTATCTGTATAGGAAATGGTTACGAGAAAAGAAGTTTTTTTATTGATTTTAGATACAGAAGGAAATGGTTGAAGCAAGTACAGCTATTGCTATGGAGGTCGTGTCTGACATTGAGATGAAATATACGTGGGCAATTATTTTTGCTATTTATCAATGTGGTAAGTTCTTAGCATTACTTATCTAGAGTCTAGACTTGAAATTAGTTTAGTATTTTTGATAGATATAATTCCAATCGGGGGAAGGCTATGTTCTAGCACTTTACAAAAGAAATTGGTGACAATCTGTGGCTGAAATGATGATGTTGAATTCCTAAGCGAGTAACTAACACTAAATTAGGACCTAGAAATGGCCCAATTAAGAGTAATTCAGTAGGTACGGAAAAACACAATTAAGCAAGCAAAGGACAATGACCAAAAATGTATGGAGTGTGGTCCAAATGTCCACCACTAACGAGACCTATGTAGTAAAATAGTCTACTAAATACTGATTCATTATAACCAAACCGCAATCAAAAATATGCTGTCAGTAAAAAGTTATGACTGAATGAAAAGTCATGTTTTTTACCTTTTCATCCGAAAAATGTTCTTGATATCATTCTATCCATCGCACATTTTGGATTAATCTATGCATGTTATGTCATGTCGCTTAGTGTGCCGTGTTAGATTCTCGCTAAAAGAAAAAAAATAAGCTCAGAAGAAAGACAACAATATTGGAATTATGGTCGGGTGGTCGCTGCTCCGCCCCTATTGGTTGTAGGTTAGGGTTGTATATAACCTAAAACCATCCTTGATAAATGGGCTATCCATAACAAAAATAATTTTTCAAATCGGACCAGTAGTTCCTGAGATTAGCGCGTAAACTACTACAATTTTTCATACGGTCATAACTTTTTACTGACAGCTTATTTTTTTTTCGTCCCATACTGAAAGTTAATCTCTATTTAATGGACTATAAGCCAATATAGGTCTCATTTGTGGTGGACATTTGGACCACTTTTGGTCATTGTCCTTAGGATAATCAACAAGTTACAGTTACATTTTTGGCAATCTTTCCATTTCTACACCCTATTTATAAATCGTTTCATTCACGAAGATGCGCCCCACCAATTTTTGGTCGAGGGAAGCGCGGAGTGCGGGAAGTTTGATCCGAGCAATCCGAGCGTCATTATTGTAGTGTGCGTGTGCGTGCATTCATGGATATTTTAGCGTGTACCGATAACTCTCGGACATTAGCGGAAAAATGATGGGGCGCGTCTTCGTGGATGAAACGATCTATAATTTTACTTTCTTTTTCATCTGTCATTCAAATATTTTACCCAAAAATAGAAATAGGCATTAGACTAAAACAGGTTTTTCTTTTCTAGATAGCTTCCTCCATGGTGATAGGCACCTGCTACGTAGGCGCGTCAGGTTCCACCCAGCGCGGGATCCAGGACATCCGAGGGCTCCTCTGGCTGATGACCAGCGAAGTGTGCTTCGCCTTGTCCTACAGCGCGATGTATACCTTCGAAGCTGAACTGAGTTTGTTCAAGAGAGAGGTCGGGGTGTACAGCTGTTCCTCGTATCTGGTCGCCAGGTTTATTAGCTTTGTATGTTGTTTTCTATAGTGTTATTATTCTTTATTTTGAATTGATAGCTGTGTAGAATCAGTCGACTGATTCTACTAGGTTCGGGGTCAATAAAATATCGCTCGTCAGGAGGCCACGTGTAGTACCTTGGCCAAACTATATCTCAAGAATCAATCTCTGTACAGTTGGCTAATGATGATGATCATAATTATAGAATCGTCATCATCATCAACTTAGAAATGAAATTTGCTAGTTAACACTAATTTCATTAATTTTATTTCAGTAGGTACTGTTAGAGTTACATCCAGAGTAGGATACTATTTTCGGGCTGTTAGGTAAAACTTCACTTTCCACTTTCCACATTGGAGATTGTGGGGAAAAAAATGACATTAATTCCATTTATAATATGCCCAGATACCCCAGTGCGCAGTATGGCCTCTATCACTGGTCTTCATCACGACACTAGCCGTGCAGCTGCCCAACCACATGATGACAGCGTTGAAATTCTGCCTGAGCCTCTGTGTTGCTGGCATCACTGCTACTGCTTATGGTAAGTTATATAAGATTTTAAACTTTCGCGTTCCATTTTAACTTTAATTAATGAGTTACATTATGTACTCACGGCTTGACGTTTCGGCTGCGATGATGCGAGCCGTGGTCACAAGCAGACATAGTCTGCTTACTATTTTAGTTATTATGGTAAGTGGAAGCCCACCCAGTGGGCGGTAGTACCTTTAATCGAAGACAATTTTTTCGGAGTTCCTAAATAAAGTGAGTATCTTTTTACGCAGCTAATATTTTACGTAGATATACCTACCACTATCGGGGAGACGGCAGGTTATGTGGGTTTTTATATGGTATATGGAGAAGTCTTCACTCGTGTTGCGAACAACACGGTGAAGACTTCTCCATATACCCATTAAGATCCTTGACCGTAACTATGACGTCCGTTGTTTTTTGTATGGAATTAGACAGATTTTTGACGTTTGTCAAAGTTAAAGTAAAATGGTCCAACTCAGCCTTAAAGTTAGGTATGCATGGGGTGATAAAGGGTAATAACAATAGACAATAGGGCATTAAGCAGGACCACAATTTAGGGCGATGGAGTCGGTAGGCAGGTTAAACTTGTATTTTACCTGTTTTATCGTAAATCAATCAGTTAACGACTTGAGCTATTAAATGAACCCTAATTACAACTTTGAGATCACGACTTTATTTTCGTAGTGAATTTTATTGGATTAATATCTTAATTTTGAAATCGTTGTGCAACACATCTCACTCTACATATGGCAGACTGGTATTAAGATTTGATGTGCTGTTTTTCCGCCTTTTATGGGTATTATAGCCTTGAAACTATATTTAAACAAGTAATAAGTATTTTTTTAATATTACCCTAACTTCTTTAAAATAATAATAACTATGGGGTCATTGATTTACTTTGTGAATGTTAAGTACCTATTAACTTCATTAGACTGAAATGTCTATGATTTACGAGTATAATGACGATTGTAATCAAGTAGGAAGGTTTTTGGCGAATTAATAGGGTTACATTAAAAATAGCTCGTAGAGCTGATGGCCGCTGTGGCAGGAAAATTCTTGAGTGGCGACCACGAACCGGAAGACCTAGCCACTAGGTCGCGGGAGGTGCCTGGATGCGAGCGGCGCAGGACCGGTGTTTGTAGAAATCCTTGGGGGAGGCCTTTGTCCAGCAGTGGACGTCTTTCGGCTGAAACGAACGAACGAACGACATTAAAAATATCGTTTGCCTTTGAAAGAGAGAGCTCTACCAGTATCTACAGCTGCAACGTAGAATCGAGAATGCAAAGGCCAAAATTTTAACATACGAATTTAATGCCATAAAGATGACATTAAATTCGTATGTTAAAGTATAGATAAATAAATAAATCACACAAACATCCCTTATCCCTTCCAAGGTCTGGGCATGGGTGCGCTGTTCACGTCATCGAACATCATCAGTGACGTCATGCCGTGCGCTGACCTGCCACTCTTCCTGATGGCGGGTGCGTTCCTGAGGTTATCGTCACTGCCGATGTGGCTTCAACCATTGAGGTTCATATCGCACTTCTACTACGCCATGGATGCTGTCAGCAATGTTTATTGGAGGCAGATTGAGCATATTGGTAAGGATATTTTTTAGTTACCTGATTCAGTTTTTTTTTTTTAATATTGTACGTAGAAAGTAGCTTTGCAGCTTTGGAACTAAAGTCACATTGTAGTCACAATATTGTCCGTTATTTGTTTTTAAACAAAGAACTGAATTTGAAAACTGCGGGAATATTTCATCAATATTTTTCTAGCCCTTAACTAAACACCCTAGTATCTCCATAATAACGTTTGCCCTTAGCGGGATTCGAACCCGTAATCACACAGTATGCTATCCATTACACCAAGTGGCCGCCAAAAAAATTTATGAATCACAGCATACCCGAATCATTTGAATTCATACCTTTTTACTTCATTACCAGTTTAAGTACTTTGATAAGCTAAATAGCTCTTCCTTCATGTCCTGGTTTGCGGTACCGTCTCCACTAGTGATGTGCCGAATCGTAGGAGATATACGAAACCGAATATTGTACCGATGTGAGACTTATCAAATTGTGACCGTATACAAAATGAATATTTACAAAGAAGGGTCTATTGATGATGCCATAACAGTTAACTGCTATCAGTTAAGTGGGCGCTTCACATCAATTCGTGTTATTAATCGTTACTCAAACTGGTTCTCGGCCCTTATGGAACCTACTAATAAAATGTTTAAGAAAGTAGTTTCCCATGTAGAACCGCGTTAAACTGATGATTTGAGATAAAATAGGAATGCGACGAAGTAAAACCATTACTGTCAACGTAACCCGATATCTACAAATAATGGTTAGGTAAAGTTACATAAACGCATTTGTAACCTCGTCTTTTGATTAGAAGATGAATGGGCATTGTTGCATTAAAAGTGCGTTAGTTAACTTGTCGTTGATCGTGGGAAGAAAAAACTTACTTCTAAAAATAGAAGCTGGATTATATTTATTTATGTGTCATTCAAGATTCAAATAGATAGGTAGTTATCAGATGAATTTATGGTTAGGAGTACCTACCTATTATAAGTACTTTAGTGTCTGCCTTTTTTTTAACGAAATTAGGTATTCGTGTTTTAAATCAATTTAACATCAAATTGTAGCAATATTGTAACCTAATTTCATAAATTAAAGGGCTTTTTGAAGAGTAGAGATACCAGTTTTTTAATGTTGTATCTTTTTCCACAGATTGCGAAACGAACGTCACGTCCCTATGTGTCACAAATGGCGCCACTGTCTTGTCAGAAAGTGGCTACTCCTCGGACTTCGTGCTTCAGGACTCGCTAGGACTTCTGTTCGTGACTGTACTCTGGAGTCTGCTGGCCTATTTTGGGTTGAAGAGAGAGGAAAAGAAAGGCTATGCATACTAAAATTATTTAAGTTTATTGTTGAACAATTAAAAAGTAAATCATTAAAAAATTACTTTTTTTCAGTCTCCAATTTTTGTGATCGAGACATTCAAAGCCGTAGTGCTTGTACAGACGACGGCAATCGGCTTAAAAAGCTAAAAACATTTTTTTATAGTTCGCAGATGCAACAAGGGCAGTGCAGTACTTACATTAGGTACTATGGAAAAACATTATCAATGACTGTCAAGAAGCTCTTTCTTTTTATAATCGGGTCATAACGAATAATTTCTAAAATAACTATTAACAGTCTCGCTATCCTACTAAAATCTATCAATACACCGGAGTCCCCTTACTCCTTCTGATGACCATCCAATAAGCAATTAGATGGAATACCGAATACATAGTCATCAGACACCCACAATTTCTCCAGAAGTTGGCTTCACTAAACCCAAACCGTATCAGTACATCTGGTCCGCTCCTGATGCACGGTCTATCCTGGATTCCCACACACTGGATGGTCCTTATAGAGTCCCATTGTAAGATGGAAATGGATTCGACTCCATAGTAGAAGCCAGAAATGAATTTCAGCCAAGAGAAGTAGGCAGGGGTGCTTGCTAAGTTGAGGTAGATACCGGAGAACATGATACCTATCAGGTCGAAGGGAACCGCTATGAGGGCAGCTGTCTCCAGCTTGTCAAATACTGCTGAGAGGAATGAACCTGAAAGTTAAGAAAACAATTTGAAGTTATTGTATCATTGGGATATTTTGTTGTAAATTATTCATCATCTTTTGTGTAGGCGCAGACCATTGATTTTTCGTCGGCCGATAGTTTAGTCGGGCAGTTGATCAGTATGGGCCATGTATGGAAGTGCGCACATTATACTGATTCGATTTGGCCGATTCTTCATACAATTTAATCGGGCACAACTATCGGCCAACTAAAAATCGGTGGTCTGCGCCTAGTCTTTCAGTATATTGTTTTAAGTTAACCCTTAGCCAGGCCTCAAAAGTCATTAGTTTTCAACCGTATTTTCACAACCTAAAGTTCAAATTGATGTGGGCTCTGTGGATACGAGAGCCTGGTTAAGGGTTAAATAGTCTTTTCAGCAAGACATTATACTTGTGTTTGGTAAATACTAAAGACTGTTTAGGTATTATTTACATGTAAACTACAGGCTTTTGTTAATTAAGTAGTCACTGTTATTAACTCACCTTTAGTATCTAGATATTGTCCAGGTTGTCTAAAATAAGTATGGGTTAAGGGCTTGGGCTCGGGCGAATAAGCAGAAGTGCAGGGTTGCAAATTTTATTATTCAATACAAACAGGTATTAAAATACAAAAGGAATTGTACATTAAAGGCACTTTCTATCTTATCAATAAAATACAAGCGACAATATTTTACAAAAAAAAATAACAGATCGTAGCACCATTTTAAATAACTATAGCTTTATTTGCACGGTTACTCAAAAAGATAGAGAGGATAAATTCTGTACAAATAAACTTCAATACAGCTGGTCCTAAGAATTTTTGAATATTTTTTCTAAGATCTTCGAAACAAATTTTATCTTAGACTGAATTTACTTTAAATAGCGACCAGCACATAGTAGATGCTATTAACAAAAAAAATCATACCCGTAACAATTGGTATCATCTACCAAAACCAAGTAAAATATAAAATCAATATACGGGCGTCCCCCTACTTCTCTTCAGGACCATAGTGAACGCAATGAAGTGAGCCACAAAATACATAGTCGCGAGTGCAGTGCAGTTCCTCCAGAAATTCTCATCCTTATAACCAAACCGCGCAAGAACTTCTGGACCAGTTTTGATGCAAGGCATCCCTGGTACATTTACGCATTTGATAGATTCAATGGAATTCCATTGGAGGATCGAGATGGATTCAACTCCGTAGTAGAACCCTGAGAAGTATCTGATCCAAGAGACGTATTTGGTGGCACTGGCGAGATTCAGGTAGATTCCGGAGAACATTGTGCCGATCAGTTCGAAGGGAACTGAGAACAAGGCTGCTGTCTCCATACGGTCGAACGATGCTGAGAGGAACGAGCCTGCAATTTTGAGATTGAGAGCCAATTAGTGTGGGGTAATTTTTTTATCAGTTTCATGTATTTTCTTCATCATTAGGAGACTGTTGACACAATAATCAATTGTCTTTGATTGCTTAATTATTTATGCAAGAAAGTAACGATATTTTGTACAAATACTATAATAATATTAGTAAACGGGTAGGCTATAATGTGCAAGATTATGGTTTGTGTTATGGTGCAGTTAATGGCAGGGTCTATCCAAACCACTAATCTAACTACAAAAGTTAAGATCAATCAATCAATTCCTAAAAATTGTATGTGACAATAGATTATAAGTCTTTAAATAAATATTGATTCGTCCATTGCGTGGGTTTTTATGATGGCATCAGATTTCAAAATCATCTGACATGTCTCGATGGACACCTTTCTTCTCATGAAGATGATAATTCTCATTTACGGTTTGTCCTTATTGTCTGTATATTTCCCAATGAAGAAAACAAAGCACTCACCATAAGCGTTGGCGTAGTTAGCGCACAGTATGCAGACGAAGCTGAAGCCGAGCCAGCCGGTGAACCCGCCGTGGAGACCAGCCACGCTGAACACCAGCGACGCGAAAAGCAGCGGCTCGATCACCGCCCGGGGTATCTGCAAGTACATACGATAGCTGATCAGATTAAAAATTTATAGCAAAATTACATCTCTATTAGAAGTAAATTTATAAGATTCTCCAAAAATTAGCTCGAGTTGCCGTCTATACAATACATCATCGTAGTTTTAATAATGCTCAGGTGCCTATTTATTAGTTAAAAACTTATTAATTGCATCCTTGTCACGTGATATTAATTTTAGATTAATTACCACTGGCTCGAATCATGACTTTAAAGCGTGTTTTAGAATACGACTCTTAAAATGTGACCATAACGTTTTTGCTTTGGCTACTAAATGGTATGATTTTGTTAAAAAACATTATTTGTATATTGATAGTTCTTCTTTATATTTAATAGCCTTCTTCTTTAATCGGTTGCAATAACTAAGGTCAAAAAATTATGAGCTTATGTGTAAGCTTGTAAGTCTGAAATTAGATTGACGGAGTACGGACAATCCCGTAATTGGTTTAATTCAACCTTACTGAGAACATTCACAAAGTTCATTTTTCAATTTGTGCGAGAATTCAAACCCAAAACTTCCCGATCGAAAGAGTTCAACTATAAACTGGACCACAATGAGTAACGAGCTACTAATATTACATCATCAAAATAAACTATCTTTCGAATTAGGTCAATGACTAAAGAAATATCACATCCCACTAAAATTGCGGTAAATCATTAAAATAATTATTACCTATTTTTATAGTAAGTGTGAACAAGGAAAACTCTATCTACCACAAAACCACAAATTTTTTTGAAAGTAATTACGAGTAGGTACAATAGTTTCATTAATGTTATCATTTTTTAAAGAAGGAAAATCAGTGGTTTATTTAATGACTATCCATTATTCCATTAATTACGTGTTTTACCAAAATACGCATATCTATCGGTAGACAGCTTGTCTATGTCTAAACTTACGACTTTTTGGAGTCTTGTAATTAAATTGGTTAATTAATAATGATGCACTTTCAAGTTCATAGTTTATGCTTAATGTAACATTAAAAGAACTGACATGACATTTTAACGAAAACTAAAAAAAAGTTTATTTAAAAGTTTACAGAATTGCAAACAAAGAAAACTTTTAAACAATATGTACAAGAAAAGGTTCGTAAGATTCTTATAATCCTTAGCTCTACATTTAAAATTTTAAGAATATTGGTAAAAACTTGAGCACTAATATGGAATGAAGCACAAAATATGAATATGAAACGTGGGTAGAATTTGATGACTCTACCCACCATACGCATCGCTTACTTCACGCTCCAGTCAGTCTGTGACCACGGCCGGTGCAACCCGGTCGAAAGGTCAGGCAAATATACTTACGAGCAAAAGTATGGAATCACCCCTTTCTTCTCACTCCAAGCGATCTTAAGAACTGAATGATAATTATGTATTGTATGTATCTATGGTATCAATTTTAAGTTTATAATATCTCCTTTAAAATGGTACCATTTTTATTGATCTTCTATCAGTCATTTAGTTCTTATGATCGCTCGGAATAAATAGGGTGATTCCATATTTTTGCTCGCGAGTGTACAAGTAATATTTTAGTATTACCTATACCTATACCGCGTATCGCGTTAAAACCTTAAATTAATTGTTTGTAAGAGTTAAATTAATTAGACTGATTACTTAATTGACTCACCCAAAATATCATCTTCGACAAATAATACGGCAGCGGCGAATACAGCCCACTGGCTGTCTCCCGCAGCAAGATGGGCACTTCGCTGGGGAACGTGATGAAGACGGCGTAGATGAAGAGGAAGATGGTCTCCGTGATGGTGAGGTACAGCAGACCCTCGACGTTCTGGATGTCGCGCTGGTCGAGCTCGTCGAAGTGGCCCATGTATGGGATGGAGATGATGAGGCCTACGAACTGGGGAAGAAAAAGAAAGAAGTTATAGAGGTAAATGGTACACTATTTTTATATCGATCACACTCCACTAATACCACCTCCAGTAATACCACAGAATGAATACTAGTACTTCGGTAATGCCTACTTATAACTTGTCTCTAAACTGTCTCTAGCCATAAAGTAGAATACTTGTGGCGAGTTAGAGATCAGAGGGGTGCGTGATCTTAAAATGTTTATTTTACTTTTTAGTTATAATACTTTTTCAGTTTTTTTTTACACACAAGGAGTATACATAGACTAAGCTCTTGGTCTGCCTGACCTGATGGAAAGTGATGATTAGGTTGTACCTATGTGGAAGCGGAGAGCTTCACACGGAAACTTCCTATCTTTCCTCTAAACCTTAATTGGTTTAATTCTTATCTTAGCTCTTTTGGTTTGCTCAAAATTTTTAAGCCACTTCAGATTTAAAACATCTACGAAATCGGTACATACCATTAGAAGTACAAATTCAGCTATCCATATACTGCTATTGTGTTTTATCGTGAGTATATTCCTCCACATCAGCCAGTAAAATTGGACGAAGTAGTTCACTTTGACTCTGCAATTAAACACTTTTATGATTAACCCATTCACAAAGGTCTATTTAAAATTTCAATGAAATAGTATCAATCAATATTACTTACAGAGTTAGATATCTCTCGAACAGATCATTCTGAAACAAAAAAGTTTTCATCTTTTCAATATCAAGAAATTAAGAGGACATGAGGACATTAACTGCACTACTAAAGTAGTTACCTACTTTAAATTGGAAATGTAATTTGCTTACCTACGATGTGAAGATCATCATTTAGTTGATGTCTTCGATTTAGATAAAGTCACTTTGCTTATCTAAGCGAATCTACAGCGAATGTTACATTAACTAGGCCTTCCCCTTTACTCGTACTAACCTTATTATCGACAGTGCCTTCAAAGTACTCCGTTTCATCTTTAACGTCCCCAACTCTGTTCTCAATGTCCACCGCTATCTCGGAGCGCTGGTACTCATCGCAGATCTTCCGGATCCTCTCACGGCTCTCCATCTCTTTGTCCACCTGGACCCCTAGGAGGGACACGTAGTACTCCGCTGCGTTGAACCCCATTGGGCATTTGAAGCCTAGTCTATTGGAAGGCGAAACAATAAAATTTAAAGATCAATGAAATTATGTCCTTTTTTGAAACATTTTTAATAAAACGTCACTTTCAGATAAATGTTAATAATATACGGTTTCTTTAAAATCAGGATCTTAAAACACATTGACATAAATACATATTTTAAAAAATAAAAAAGCTTTAGTCCTCAGTGTCCACAATTTTTCGGATGACACATTTTTTGGTCTGAAAAAGCTATGGCAAAAGCTCACATAAAGTTTTTGTTCGTTTGTTTTTTGTTGTTTCCAGAGAAAAAAATACAAATTAAGCCCCAATTAGTACGTGTAGCTGTGAATCATTACAACATGCAGTTTTATTAGCCTATTTCGACACCCAACACTCGGAGTTTGACTACCTATATCAAATTCAAAACTTGTATTGAACACACGTAAGATAAAAGCGTAGAAGTTTCTTATGTATTAAAGACATTACATAGTCTTCATTAAGGTCATTCATACATGCTTCATCTCTTATTGACGCAGGAAGTATACATATTCAGATACGAGTACCATCACAACAAAAAAATTGTTGAAGCAATTTCAAATTTTATGCTTTTATTCTATAGCAGGTTGAGTGGACTCTTTTCGTCTACTTTGGTTTCTTTATACTTATGTCATTATTCTGTTTTCTTTGATAGTTACGTTTATGGCCCATACATTTAACGTCTTTAAGTTAAAAATCATTTTATGGTGGCATCGAGCACGGCCATTCAAATTATTTGAATGATGTGTGAGAGGCGTGTGTATTTTTATGTCTTTGTTCATAAATAGAAAATTTTAGGACGTTTTAACAACTCGTATTGATAGATTTAAGAAAAAGTAAAATTAATTTATATTAGGCTTTTAGGTTTCATAAATAGACTCCCATTGTTTTATTGTCCGTCTGTAAGTATATTATTGGATTCCGGGATAAAAAGGATTTTTCAACAAAATTAAAGTCTGATGAAGTGTGATGTGACATAACCGTATTTGACACACCGACCCAAATGGAAGCAGCTTTTGTACGGCTTCTAGCCACCATTCCAGTGTTGGTGGCCGGACATGAAACCAAATATCACCTAATTGTTATTACGAAACTGTTAACACGTAGTTTAGATTATTTAGGCTGGGTACCACCATCTTACTTTAAACGTCAAAAATCATATAAAAACACCGGTTATCGTTAAAGTTAGTAAAACAACGTCACTGTTAAGCAATTGAAATTCCATACGTAGGTTTTTTCTGTACTCGTTTTTCTTCACCTTGGAGTGAGAATGTTTATCAAGTCCAAAAAACACAGGCTGAAGGACCTTGTAAATCATTATCATTATCAGGTCATTAATTTTCGCTTCTACTACAAGGCAGAATGGCAAGTCCTTAATAAAAACCACTCTAGCTATAACAAAGTCTACTTACGACGTAAAGAAAATATCAGCTTGCTCGATCGTCCCATGGAAGGCCATTCTTCCATTGGCCAGCAACACCACCTGGTGGAACAGCTCGAAGACGCCCGAAGCCGGCTGGTGGACGGAGCAGATGACCAGCTTCCCGCCTATGGCTAGCTTGCGGAGACGCGAGACGACCGCACTGGCTGCCCAGCTGTCCAGTCCAGTTGTGGGCTCGTCGCAGAACAGGATTGGGGGGTCGTTTAGGAGCTAATGGGTGCAAAGTATTGTGGATGAAGTAAGGCTTGACGACTTTTTTTATGTGATTTTTTTTGTTCAGATGCCGTCGCCCATGTTCACCCGCGATACACAATAGATCGGTACTGGTCACAGTGATATTATAATGAGAACTAGAATAGCCGCTCAACAAAAAAGGCTTATTGATAGTAACTTCTAAAATTCCCTATTGAGTGTTTGTAACAAGATGCTTCATGCCAAAATTATAGTAAGTAACATTTTGTAAGTTAATTACATATGAGAATTAAGAAGTAAGAACAATAATTAAGCTTTTAAGGCCTGTTTTTCCGGTTCCTGTTAAAGTTTGAGATAGTTAACTGACATTATGATACTATAAAGTCAGCTGAATACCGGAAACTTTATCTAGTAAAAACCTATATTAGGGACTGTGAAACCAAACGTGGTAGTTTATTTGACTACCTAATAGTTCCAAAAATACTTTATCGTCAACTTTTATGGTGAAACAGACCCCATCTCTTAATTTTAATAAACTAAAACTATGACGACACTTTTATGATGCATTTCGTTAGCAATTATTTGGATAAGATCGCCTAAATTCTGCTTCTCCAAATATCTGCTTACTTTAGTGTTCAACAAAGAGTCATCTCTCTAATATCAGTAGACGTATTCTTACCTGTACAGCCAAAGCGACCCTCTTCCTTTCCCCTCCCGACAGAGCCTTCAGCTTCGTCCTGGTGCAGTTGGCCACCCCAAGCTCTCCCAGCAGTTGCTGCACTCTCTTGGCGCGGATGATCTTCGTTGAGCGCTTGTCCATCATCAGTCTGGCCTAGGGTAGAAGGTTTGATTAGATTTCATCGGATTCTCTTGGAACTTTATCGCGCGCGTCCCGGGAACCGAGATAAAAACTATCCTATGTCCTTTTCCGGGACTTAAACTATCTCTAAAAATAAAATAAAAATGGTTCAGTGGTTTAGGCGTGAAAACGTGACAGAAAGACAGACAGAGTTCATCATCATCGTCATCATCTCAGTCATAAGACGTCTATTGCTAAACATAGCCTAGGCCTCCCCCAATGCTTTCCATGTTGCCCGGTTGGTAGCGGCCTGCGTCCAGCGCCTTCCTGCTACCTTTACTAGCTAGACAGAGTTACTTTCGCATTTTTATAGTAGGGATTAACTAATCAATGAAACCTTTACTGACATAAATCCTCCATAAAAGTACCTCGATGAAGTTCAGAACATTATTTATTGATGTTAAAATAATTTAGTAGCATCCAACACTTTACAGCTTTAATCCAGCCATAAAAAGCTTAACAATAACGTAATTATGTCGTAAATAACAAAATGTTTGTAAAATATTACAGTGACAATGAATTGGGCGATGAATTTAATAAATTTGATTTTGATGCCTCTGTGTAGTGATTTACATAATTTTGTGTAATGCGGAAAAATGTATAGAATAATTTACATAAAGTAATCTCGTGGAATGTCACCTGGTTTTGGTATCTAGGTAGGTACTTATTTTGAAAGTAATTATGGAACCGACTTGGTAAGTCCACTTGTGGGAACGAATTGAAGTGGTTTAGGCAGCATATTCACAAGAAGACAGAAATCGTTTAGGTAATTTATAAAAGTTAATTAACTCAAAATATTTAGAAGAACCTTGAACTTATTATATTTTGGAACTAGTTTGATGACATTCATAGTCAGTTTTGGACTTTTTTCACCTACACTACTTTGTTAAACTACCTATTATGTAAAGTAAGGTAATTTTTCTTCAATACAAAAAATATTTTGCTTGTAACTCTTCTTAGGAAAAAAACGTTGAAAAACTTGTAGTATGGCGATGAATCAAATAATGATAAAGTGTTTTACATCAAATTAACATCTTTACTGAATTCTGACCTTGATTATGTGGAAGTTAATAGTCACATAAAAATAAAAAACCTAGATTAAAAGAAGAAAAAGTAGATAATAATAAGGGTCCTTCCTTATCTTTACTAACTAATAACTGAGCTGATGCAGCTACCCGAAATGAGTCCCGGTTTCCACCAAAGCGCAGCGGAGCGGAAAGTGTTTTGAATAACCAATCATATTTCATTACTACTACTTCTCCGCACGGTTCCGCTCCGCGCCGCGCTCTCTTCGCTCCGCTTTAGTAGAAACCAGCCGAGTCTTGCGGTCCGGTCTGTTCTGCGCAACCTTCCACCATTAGGTAATCGACGTGGAGATCACGCAGGTCCATGGCAACTGTTACCTTGGAAGGGCTTTTTACTCACCATGAATACCATGTGTTCCGCTACTGTCAAGTCCTCAATCGCGAGGTCCTCTTGCGGCAAGAAGCCGGAGATCCTGGCGATCAGGTCCGCTCCGGCCAGGCGTCCGTTCAGCATGAGGTAGCCCGTCATGGCGCTTTTGTCGCGGCGGCTGATGGCAGCCAGAAGAGTCGTCTTTCCGGCACCACTGGACAAAGACGTTTCATTAAAGTTTCAAATATTATAAATTGGGTTTTATATTATAAAGATGAGATAATGATGAGGTCAGCCCCGGCCAGGTATCCGTTCAGCATGAGGTAGCCCGTCATGGCGCTTTTGTCGCGGCGACTTATGGCGGCCAGAAGAGTCGTTTTTCCGGCACCACTAGACACATTTTCTTGAACTTAAAGTTACAAAGGCATCACTAGACAAATGTTTTATCGGACTTAACATAGATAATTAGAAGCTAGCAAAGTAAGTTACGACCTAATGTCTGCTCAACATGAGGTAGCTCGTAGTCGTGACACATTTGTCGCGCGGACTCGCGCGGTGACTTGTTTGTTATGGCCAGAAGGCACGGGACTAATGTTTTTATTGGACTTAACATCGAACATTATTAGATGCCTCAGTTTCTAATGATAATGCAGTGACGGCCAAAATTCCAGAATTCGTTCACAGGTGGACAGGATGATAGACATGGATTTTACTTTATTTTGGTAAAATAAATCTTAATCATGGACCTATAAAAAAAGGCGGACGGAACTCGCGCTACAACAAAACTGTGACGCAAAATTTTGGCGTTTGTCTATTGTGTGAGTGAATTTAGGGATGCCATGTTAGCCAAAACATTTTACCCATTTATTTTAAGAAAAACATAGATCGGCAGATGTTACTNTTTCGCTTCCACTACAAAGACTTACCAGAGGCAAATGGCAAGTCCTTAATAAAAACCACTCTAGCTATAATAAAGTCTACTTACGACGTAAAGAAAATGTCAGCTTGCTCGATCGTCCCATGGAAGGCCATTCTTCCATTGGCCAGCAAGACCACCTGGTGGAACAGCTCGAAGACGCCCGAAGCCGGCTGGTGGACGGAGCAGATGACCAGCTTCCCGCCTATGGCTAGCTTGCGGAGACGCGAGACGACCGCACTGGCTGCCCAGCTGTCCAGTCCAGTTGTGGGCTCGTCGCAGAACAGGATTGGGGGGTCGTTGAGGAGCTAATGGATGCAAAGTATTGTTGATGAAGTAAGGCTCGATGATACACAATAGATCGATACCGGTCGCAGTGATATTGATAGTAAAGGCTTATTGATAGTAACTTCTAAAATTCCCTTTGAGTTTTTGTAACGTAAATTATAGTAAGTACGAGTAATATTTTGTAACTTAATCATAAGATTTAAGAAGTAACAATAATAATGAGGCTTTTAAGGCCTGCTTTACCGGTTCCTGCTAAATTTTGAGATGTTAATCAAGCATTAAGATGCTATAAAGTTTGTTGAATACTGGGAACTTTAAGTAGTAGACATCTATGTAAGAGGCCTGTGAAACCAAGTGTTGTAGATTTTTTGACAGCCTGACCAAAAATTGTCAAAAAGGCTTTATCAGCTAGTGTAATGGTGAGACAGACCCCATCTTTAAAATTGAGAGAATATATTCATCTTTTAAAAAGCTAAAGCTACGTCGACACTTTTTAAGATGATGCATTTCGTTATAAATTATCTGGATTCTCCAAATGTAATATCTGCTTACTTTAGTGTTCAACAAAGAGTCATCACTCTATCGGTAGAAGTGATCTTACCTGGACAGCCAAAGCGACCCTCTTCCTCTCGCCTCCAGACAGAGCCTTCAGCTTCGTCCTGGTGCAGTTGGCCACCCCAAGCTCTCCTAGCAGTTGCTGCACTCTCTTGGCGCGGATGATCTTTGTTGAGCGCTTGTCCATCATCAGTCTGGCCTGGAGTAGAAGATTTGATTAGATTTCATCGGATTCTCTTGGAACTTTATCGCGCGCGTCCCGGGAACCAAGATAAAAACTATACTATGTACTATCGCTAAAAATAAAATAAAAATTGGTTCAGTGGTTTAGGCGTGAAAGCGTGACAGAAAGACAGACAGAGTTCATCATCATCGTCATCATCTCAGCCATAAGACGTCCACTGCTGAACATAGGCCTCCCCCAATGCTTTCCATGTTGCCCGGTTGGTAGCGGCGTGCGTTCAGCGCCTTCCTGCTACCTATACTAGCTAGACAGAGTTACTTTCGCATCATTATAGTAGGAAAGTAGGGACTAACTAATCAATTACACCTTTTCTGACACAAATCCTCCATAAAAGTACCTCGATGAAGTTCAGAACATTATTTATTGATGTTAAAATAATTTAGTAGCTCATCCAACACTTTACACCTTTAATCCAGCCATAAAAAGCTTAACAATAACGTAATTATGTCGTAAATAACAAAATGTTTGTAAAATATTACAGTGACAATAAATTGGGCGATGAATTTAATAAATTTGATGCCTCTGTGTAGTGATTTACATAATTCTGTGCAAGGCGGAATAATGTTGAATAATTTACATAAAGTAATCTCGTGGAATGTCACCTGGTTTTGGTATCTAGGTAGGTACTTATTTTAAAAGTAATTATGGAACCGACTTGGTAAGTCCACTTGTGGGAACGAATTGAAGTGGTTTAGGTAGCATATTAACAAGAAGACCGAAATCGTTTAGGTAATTTATAAAAGTTAATTTCAAATTCTTAAGCAGAAGTCAAAATATTTAGAAGAACCTTGAACTTATTGTATTTTGGAACTAGTTTGATGACATTCATACTCAGTTTTGGATTTTTTTCACACTAAATCTTTGGTAAACGCTCACTACTTTGATAAACTACTATGCAAAGTAGGTTAATTTTTCATAACAGAAAAACATTTTGTTTGTAACTTTTCTTAGAAAAAAAAACGTTGAAAAACTTGTAGTACCTATGGCAATAAATTAAACAATGATAAAGTGTTTTATATCAAATTAACATCTTTAGTCAATTCTGAGTCTGACCTCGTCTTGCGTCACAAATAATAAAAAGCTAGATTATAAGAAGAAAAAACTAACTGAGCCGATGCAGCGACCCAAAATGAGTCCCAGTTTCCACCAATGCGGAGCAGAGCGGAGAAGTGAATAACCAATCAGATTTCATTATTTCTACTTCTCTTCTCCGCTTCGCACCGCGGCGCCGCCGCTGTCAAATTCTATAGAAAATGTTGGAGGCCCGACTCTTCTCCGCTCCGCTTTAGTGGACTCTGGGCGAGTCTTGGGCTCTGAAAATAAGAATCTCCACCCCGGTCTGTTCTGCGCAACCTTCCACCAGACAGGGCCGGATCATCATACATACAGCTTTTTGGGCTTCAACCAGAGGATTCAATAGGCTAGTTTCCTAAAAGTCCGTCATGTTTAATATAAAAAAATATTGGACACATATATTTTAATTTGTCAATCTAACAAATAATTACATAGTTATGGTGCGTTGAAGTTCCGCACGACGTCACAACGTGCGGCACTTTTATGCAAGCATTGACGTCACGGGCCTCTTCTTATGAACTTTGGCGCGCTTTATCTCTTTAAATTTTCATTAGTTTGAAAAAGTGAAAAATACGTGTAGAGTATTTTTTGATAAGTTAACTGACGGACTAATTAAAACTCTTGCTTTTTGACCCAGGAAACATCCCTATTCTACCTAAGTCAAGACAAATATTTTACTATCTCATTTTTTCTATACTTTGAGTAACTAGGTGGGTCCCTAAGTAGTATTAGCCCAGCACCCCCTAAATTCACGGTCCGGCTTTGCATCAGTAGATAATCGACGTGGAGATAGCGTAAGTCCTTGGCAACTTCGTCTTCCCAGCTCTTACCTTGATAGGGCTTTTTTACTCACCATGAATACCATGTGTTCCGCTACTGTCAAGTCCTCAATCGCGAGATCCTCTTGCGGCAAGAAGCCAGAGATCCTGGCGATCAGATCCGCCCCGGCCAGGCGTCCGTTCAGCATGAGGTAACCCGTCATGGCGCTTTTGTCGCGGCGGCTTATGGCAGCCAGAAGAGTCGTCTTTCCGGCACCACTGGACAGAGACATTTTCTTAGACTTAAAGTTACAAAGGCATCACTAGACAAATATTTTATTGGACTTTAACATAGATTATTAGAAGCTAGCAAAGTAAGTTACGACCTAATATCTGCTCAACATGAGGAAGCCCGTCGTGACACATTTGTCGCGCGGTGACTTGTTATGGCCAGAAGGCACAAATGTTTTTTATTGGACTTAACATCGAACATTACCTACTCGTATTAGATGCCTCAGATCCTAATGCTAAGGCAGTGACGGCCAAATTCCCGATTATCATTCACAGAATTGTTCAAGGTGGTCAGGATGATAGACATGGATTTTACTTTATTTTGGTAAAATAAATCTTATTGGCGTCAGAACTACCTTTGTGACGAAAATCAACGTAAAAACGGTTGAGCGGATCAGATTGTTGCGAACGCTGCTTATAACGGTAAGTAAGAGATAACTAATTAGTTTTTGTGTAAATAAGTTTTAAAGCGTAATAAAATTCTGCAAAAAGTTCACAATAATTAAACTTATTTTACAAACAGACAACTTTGAAAACAAAATAAAGTAGGTACGTACTCCAAGTTGTATAGAATATTGCTCCTATGTGCCAAATAGTGTCAATGGTAGGACATACGAGTACAAAATCATGAATAACTAAGATTTAACGACTATTTTTGATCGTGCGATCAAATCTTCGTAAGACTATTTCCAAATCTAAGCAGGTAGAGTCGCGGGAAATAGCTACTATTTTAGTTAAAAGTTTATAAAATTAAAATGTATTTCATCTAAAACGTGGGAGTGTTACTTTTGTAAATTAATAGGAATTTAGATAACCATATTGTTGAATTTACATATTTTTTATATCAGCATTTAAATGAGCTCCAAATGTAATTTCATACGTTTACGATTCATTTGAATTGCAACATAATAAAGTGTTATCTATAGAGGCGTTTACGAGTAGAGTCGTACACGCCCATTATAAAAGTAGTGGGCATAAGTTATAGTAGGTACAGTTCAGTAACTAAGTACTACATTAACCTATCATTCAATGATTTTCCTCAATTATATTAGGATTTCTTTAGTAGGTTGTTGAGCTTTACCCATTGATTTTTTTTTTGTTGAGCTTTGGCTCAAAACTAACAATCTTGCCTCACTGCCACAAACCTCTGGTATTTTTTTCAGGATTTTCAGAATCATACCAAATTGGATTAAAAAAATATAGCAATTAGTTAAATTGTTTTTAGAATATTTTTTATTTGATGACTCAGCAATTATGTACTTATTTTGGATGATGTTCGAAAAACTCGACTTTGAAAATCGGTTCAGTCTCAGCTAGTTTTTGTATTAAATCTGTTATTTTAATTCTATATTCTTCGCATCTGTCCACCTTAAAATTTGTCAACCAGTTTAGTGTTTCACTGAATTCTACAGAAATATAACAATAAATCAAAATCCTCAGATAGCAGTAATGGGAAAAAGACATAAAAATGATAAAAACCAGCGAAAATAGAATTGATGTAAAACATTTGTTAAACAAATAGGATTTTAATTAATTTAATAGTTATCTTTATTTTAGCTGGGTTGATAACATAATAATTTATTGGTTATTTAAATCAACCAGTATGTAACCCGATATTATATTATTGATATTCAGGAAATACATAACTCAAAAGATAGAGCGCTGAAATTTAAGCATCGTTATCTATATTACACGTCGTAAAACAAATTAAGTGCAACTTAATCTCTTGAATAAATAATAGTATACCTACTCATGTAAACTTATTTAAAACATTTGTATACTTTAAACTAGCTTTTGCCCGTGGATTTTCTTGTCACAGCCAGTTCGCGCGCACGAAACCAAACTTGCAAAGTCAGTAGAAATTCTGATTCTCAGTTCATCATCATCATCATCATCATCTCAGCCATAGGACGTCCACTGCTGATCATAGGCCTCCCCCAATGCTTTCCATGTTGGCCGGTTGGTAGCGGCCTGCGTCCAGCGCCTACCTGCTACCTTTATGTCGTCGGTCCACCTTGTGGGTGGTGATTCTCAGTTAATACCGAGTTATGCTGTTGAGTGCCACATTGGGAACCCAATACAAACATGGAAAAGATATGGATTTTAAATGTCGAAATCATAGGTGAAAAATTAGGTGTTTTTCAATTTCCGGTGATATTTAGATTTTAGTGTCGATTGTTTAAAAATAGATAAACTTAATTAGTAGGCTATTAATTAGTTATGTTCCAGACCATTTTTACAAGATTTCCATAAAATAATAATTAAAAAGTGGACCACGGATCAATCTAACGAAGATTGATGGTTTCCTGAGTTAGTCTGAATCAGCATAATGTTCAGTTAACAAACAAACCGGACTTATTATCTAGGGCTATTTTTCTTCGACTAATATTATAAAAAGGTATATTATTAATATCCGATTTAATTCGTTATACTGAAACAATATGTTGGATTGAATTATTGTATTTTTTTCTGTTTGCAAGACTTCAAAAATATTTTAAAAAAATGTAGGCCAAAAGTACAAAAAATGGTAGTTCAAAAAATATTTAATTAAATATTTAAAGTTAGCCCGCTCAGAAGCATTCGCAGAAAAAAATTGATACAAATAAATAAGAATTAGGTTTTAATTTTCGTAGTCATGGCTAATAGTTTTACTCGTATACATGATCAGACATTAAGATAACTGGCGATATATTTGACAGCTACATCGGATTTCTTAGTAAAGTAGGTATTTAGTCAGAAATAGAAATCATTGTTACCTTGAACCCATGAGAGCTACCAAGTTGCCGGACGACACAATACCGCTCACTGGAACAAAAAAACGAATTAAAAGTGGAAAACGTGACAAAATTTGGTCTATTGAAAATGTTTTAGCTTATAAAAGAACAAAGATAGGTATTTTGTGTTTTACAAAAGGAATCAAAATAATTTATAAGTAGGCTATCCCTGAAAATAATCACAGATACGCACAGAAAATCATAACTAATATTACTCCTTATTTACTGAGAAATTTTGTTGATAAGATCAAAAGTTTTATGGCAATATGTCAAATAAGCTGGAAGCTCGACATTAGATATTTAATTTTGTCTTATTCCCAGGCCCTCATGCCGAATATAGGCAAGGAAGCCTGAGTCCAGACTCGGTCTTCCAGCCGGGCTAGGATGCGGGGCGTGATATGAACTTATCGATGATTTTAGACGACAAACGTATGGGCTTATCGCGTAAAACCGATAAAATGGCGCGATAAACGCTTATTGCGGCGTGCAACCCAGGCCTATAGCTTAATGTTCAAGATAGCATCTAATTTATAAATATTTAATTAACTATAATGTAGGAAATACTTTTTAGTACAGTTTAGCACTGTTCAATACAAAAATGCATAGCAATTCGATTTTAAAGGATCTCCTAATACTTAACTTTCTAATTTAAACTCTTAATTACAACATTTCTCGCCAGATACATAATTACCAATCTAAGGAAAAAACCAACGCATCAAACCTCAAAAGTTCAAAACTAGTCGGAAACCAGTTAAAGTTAACTGGAACGCCGTGAGCGAGTTGTGACATAGCCCTTTGGCATTGTGAATGACTTTGGGTATAATTAAGTTAAATTTAATACATTCCTCAAATCAAATATGAAACATCTGCGTTTATAAACGCATTAGATGAATCGAGTAATGTGTATTTTATTATCAACGGCTTCAAATAGCTAGTTATAACAAGAAGTTGCTTTAAATATGATTTTAGGCTTCGTAACGTTTTCGTGAATTTCGGTCAATCAGAGAAAGACATTACCACCTTCAAAAAATCATTTTCACCTTCAAATTGGCCAAGTGCGTGTCCTGTCACGCGCAGTGAAGGGTTCCGTAGTTGTCCGTCGTTAACACAATATATTTTAGAAGCAAGCAATTACTTCATCTAAAGTCACTTTTAATATTGAAACCCCTAAGCCATTTTAAAAGACCTATCCAACGATACCCCACTCGATGGGGTAGAAGATGAAAAAAAAATTTCATCCCCACTTTACATGTAGAGGAAGCTACCGTTCTGTCAGCGTGATTAATATACATACCTCCACAAAATTACAGCTCTCTAGTACCAATAGTTTCCAAGCAAAACCTCGGACAGTCAGACAAATCGAAACTTTAAGGGTTCCTTGTCAGGACTAAGGAACCCTAAAAATGCCTGTAAAACAGCTCTCTCTCTCTCTATTTTGATCTTTAGCATAGTAGATACATAAGATTTAGTTCCCATCTAAAACACATAACATTATCGAATTTATTTATGTAGATATGTCGCTTTATAATCATCTCGAGTTGCTGATTGCTTGTCAAACACGCTGTTAATCACATCATGAATTGAAACTTGATACAAATCAATTATTGACCAAAATCATTTGTCAGATCAAGATATACTGATATCCTTATGGTTATTGCATGACTTGGATCGATTTACAATAAATACGCGAATATTGAATAGCATTCTTTTTTATGCAATCGGGTAGTCAACACCAGTCAAATGATATTTATTTTGTAGTTAAAGGTTCTTTTTGTTACTACTGCAAAAAGCAAAACTATAGTTTTTACCCGACTGCGCCAAAAGGATGGTTATGTTTGTATAGCATTAGGTAAATGGTGAATGTCAATTAATTTGTTTCAGAACTTGTTCCTGTAACTTCACCATGAACGGTCATGAACCGGTGAAAATAATCCTAATTCCCTAACTTAAAACTCGGTTCACTCTGTCTTAGATTTCATGTGGTTTTTTTTAAATATTTATTTCTACCAATTAAAAGCCCTCAATTCAGGCTTGAAATTGAATTTAGAGTTGAACTTCTTTCTGTAATTCACACATCTACGACTCAGGAGCTAGTCGTAACTATCTTTAAACACTATTCACTATGATGTCATACTTGCCTCCATGCAACACCTTCACCTCTTCATACGTGGGCGATCTCCATATGCTGGTCTGATGTTTCCTCTTCCTATACACTGAGAGGTCCTTCCAGGCCAGTGTGAGGTTCTCAGGGTTGTCCCCCATGCCCCCGATCTCGTCATCCTCCCAGTTCACAATCGCCCCCGTGAGGACGTTGCGCGTTGGCAGCTTCAGACCAAAATCCTTCATTTTGGGGCTACGTCATTTGGTACTGTGGACAAAAGAAGAAAGTTTTTAATTCAAATTCTTTATTAATTTGAAAGCCTGTTCAGTGCATTTAGAAATGAAGGTCCATTTCCAAGCAGAAAGGATAGTTAATTTAATAGCTTTGCCCTACCACACCACTTCGAGTCTAAATATCCGCTGTCTTGGTATCGCGATTGTGACAGGTTGTTTATGTCACTTTGTCTTCTTAATTGATATTTTATCTTGTGATACCTGTGTAGTTAGGTACTTTTGAATGTGTTTTAACCATGTCCTTGCGATAGTTACTTTCGTTATTTAAATAATGACGTATCAAAACGATGTTACTAAAATTAAATTTGGGAAAGAATGTATCCATTGGGCCTCCATAACAATATTTCAAATACTTAAGCTGGTAATGTAAATAAGACTAAGATGCCATTAATGCTTTTAGAGATAAGATTTCAACATCTGATGGAAGGTCCACCGACTCTTATCCATGTCCTCGCGATAGTTACTTTCGTTATTAAAATAATGTGTCCAAAGGATATTACCTACGCCAAATTGACTTTGGGCAAGAATCTATCCATTGGGACTTCATATAAATATTTCAAATACTTAAGCTGGTAATGTAAATAAGACTAAGATGCCATTAATACTTTTAGAGATAAGATTTCAACATCTGATGGAAGGTCCACCGACTCTTATAACTGCAGGGCACCTAGTGACTTCTTCCGGTTGGTAAAACCACTCTGAATGCTATCAATTGGTTCAATTGCTGCCATCATTTTGTGGGTAGCTATATTAGCTGTCATTCACACGTCTCTAAGAATCCATTACGAAGCTGCGCGTGAGTTGGCTTTAAATTTTTGTTGCGAATTCGCCCCTATTGCTTCTAAATAAGATCACTCATGGCGTTTACCTTGATGTGCTGACATGCATTAGTATTTGTCTACGATTGTGATCGTTTTTGGGGACAAGCAAATATGAAGAATGAAGGAATTTCAACAGCAGACGGAGTGTCTACAAACAATGAGTTCTGTTTGTTTAATATTAATTTGATATTGAGGTAAAATGTAATAATGTTCTGGTTATTTCAAATTATGAGAAGTAAAATGAAAGCTAAAATTTTCCTATTTACTTACTGATGTCGTTAATGTATAAGGATAAAATTATTTAAAAGCTTTACATAAAACGCAGGAAATTCCTACTAATAATTTTATTTATTTATACGTTTGATCAAAATTATCTTAACATTTAATTTGGTAATGAAATGTCATTCTGATAACGTTTTATTTTAAGACTCGTACCTATTTATAGACCGGGTATGATATTTACATTAAGCTATTTACTACCTGACTAACTTATTTTCCCAAGCTAAAAATGTCAAGAGTGGTCTGTGCATTGACTGCATGAAATATTCTGAAATTGTCTGAAAATTCTGAAATAACGATATTTCAGGTCAGGCAATGGGATCGATGCAAAATTATAAACTTATGTTTAATCAGGGAATCAGGGAATTAATTACTTATTATTAGTAATGGCTTACTATTTATTGTCAATTTGAATCTTACCCCTGGTACCTACCTTGAATTTAAGAGCATATGGGTTCATAGATGCCAGCATCAGCAATTGTCATAATAAATAACCATCGTCTCTACTTTGTCTTGTTAATAAAAATCTAAACATACAATAAATTTTGCTTTTCTGAAGTGAGAGGAATTAAGGGTTTTTGATTTAACGCTTAGGTGTTTTGAGACTAAAAAAAAAGAAAGCCGGCTCTAACCATTAGAAAACGAATCAGGAACATCAACTGCACTAACCGTGGTTATTTTATATTCCAACACAGTTTTCATATTTTTCGTGCGAGGGCCTGCTAATGCTGAAAATGTCTCATTTGGATCAGAAGTGTTGATGAGTAAAGTAATAAATGTAGGTACCTATTTCTATTCCTGAATCCGATTATAGCGGTCTGGAGTAACCAGTATTATTTTTGAATCGTTATTTTTGAATCGTTTTCGCAGGTTCAAATCGGATGCAGAGGATACCTTTCAAGCCAAGGATTTCTAAAACGGCCGGTCCTGCGCCACCCGCATCCAGGCACCTCCCGCGACATTCACCAGAATGTCAGATCACCGTGGTTGCCACTCGAGAACTTTTCTGCGAGCTACGTGCCCCGCCCACTGCCTGATTTTAGAAATCCTCAATACAATTAGAAAAGTGCGTGCGTAATCGCCCTTTTATAAAAGCCTAAAATCACTAATCCAAAGTAGCATCATCGTAAAGTACTCGACGACAAATGCCCCTTGTGGTGGAGGCCCCGCTTTCCCCCACGACCGCTCGGGGTCGGGTTTCGCATAGCGCTGACTCTGCCAAGTATGGTTAATTTAGTTTGATCCATCTATTGCTGTGCTAATTAAACTTATTTTTAGGATATTTCAACCATAATGAGCTTTATTAGCTTCGAAATAGTTATGCGGTCACCTGCACGGTTTTTGGCTGGTCGTCCGAGCATATTAAGTAGTCAATTCAAGTTCAAGCTAGTATAAGTACATGATTTTTTGTATGGCTAGCTAACAAAACAAACCTTAACAATATCAAGCAGTAGGTACTTTAACAGGTTCATTATAATACAGTTGTCAGACACGTCATTAAATAAATGTTTTGTTGTGGAAGGCCTAAGTAACTTTAAACTTAGTAACATAGGTGAATGTTAAAGATACAATATTGAAAGCATCTTGTACGATGAAAACACATTGTTAAAAGTGGGTATTTGTATAGGTTGTGTGTTAGAAAAACTTAATCAAATATTATGATGCTGCGCCGTCAAGATAAAGATGTGGTGTCGTGATTAAAAATGAAATAATCTGAATTAACTACACACTTCCCTTAAATTTTCTAACTATTAGAAACGCCTTTGATATATAAAATACCAATAAGTTAGATAAATTCCTGAAAATTATAAGGTTGTGCGGGTTTTGACCATTGTACCTTTAAAGGGGGACCAGATCCAAAGGAAGATTTAAGTTATTTGAGCTAAAACTTAAAATATAAAATTTTAATACATCAAAAACACCCTTCGAAACATGACTTTCCCTTTTACTAGTCGGGTAACAATCTAGTTACAATGTCTAGTAAAGGGACCGAAGTACCGAACTCACCAGCCTGTGACAGTTAGAAGAAAACTATTTCACAACATGTAGGAAATAGATCCGCATCCGAGTATAAGGTTACACGCACACTTGCACCAAAAACATGTAACAGCCACACTGACGTAGTATAAAGTTCGTCGGATTATAAATTAGCCTATTTATTAAGCTAGAAACGTCAAGCGCCCGAGCGCGCGTTCTTACGACTGCCTACGCTACGGCAGACTCGATTGTCTTGATTGGGCGTGATACCAACTAGGCGGGTCGACAGCATTGCAACTAGTGCAATTGGGATGCAATAACGAGTGTCAAGTAGATTAATTAGGTTTTTTGCATTCTTTCATAGTGCTTGGCAAACAATTGTAGAGATACTGAAATTCAGGGACAGTTTATGTTGGAAAACTTCAGGATTTAACAACTTTCGAATAATAATCTATATATATAAAAATGAAACCCGTTTTCCGTTGTCACGACATAACATGAAAACGGCTTGTCCGATTTGGCTGATTTTTTTTTGTAGTTTTCTAATACTCTGTACAAGGTTTTTACGGAAAAAATATAAAGAAAATCTCTACGCTAAGGCGGTACGAAGTTCGCCGGGTGGTCAGCTAGTCGTATTATAAATGTATGTTTTTTATGACATTTAACATTTTATAAGAATAGCTTTAGAAGAGCTGAAAGAGATTTTTCAGTTTTTCACTTTATGATTTCATCCAGAGTTCTGACTGGGTACTGGGTCTGACTGAAAATGTTTTAAGGAATTCTTTAACATTTCTTTACCTTCAGTATCAGTTCATTTCTAAATTGTATCGAGTTGTTGAGGAGTTTGAGTAACTTTTTTGGCTTCACTTCAAGCAGGCTGCACCTGCCTTTATATCAGTCTAGTTAATGAATCAAGTAAATGGTTCCACCCATTTCTGTTTATCATCCTTATATTTTGGAGCGTGAACAGTATTACCTATTCACTAGTAGAATGTGCAACAGATTTGTTTCCATGAAAGCTCTTTTATAGCTCTCTTTTGGTCTGTCACCTCCTGTCCCCAAAAAAAACGTCAGGTAAATAATACTAACGCAGAATATTTTGTGTTTTTCTTTGTCCATGTCCTTGTCTTTGTAAAAATGGACTAGAATTTTCCAAGTTTTTCTCCTATAATTACCTTTTTAAAAAAATAAAACCGACTTCAAATGCGTGAACACAAAAAAATACTAAAAATTAAAAATATTGCGTATAAAAAAGTTCATCCCCAATTTTCCACCCTTGGGGGTTGTTTTTTCTATTATTAAATTTAAATGGGACCACCCTTGAGGTATTACCTATACGCCGAAAAAAGATTTGTTCAAATCGGTTCGTAATTGGCGGAGTTATCGCGTAACAAACATAGAAAAAAAAAAAACATACGGGTCGAATTGAGAACCTCCTCCTTTTTTGAAGTCGGTTGATAACTGGCGATATATGTATTTGACAGCTACATCGGATTTCTTAGTAAAGTAGGTATTTAGTCAGAAATAGAAATCAGTTACCTTGAACCCATGAGAGCTACCAAGTTGCCGGACGACACAATACCGCTCACTGGAACAAAAAAACGAATTAAAAGTGGAAAACGTGACAAAATTTGGTCTATTGAAAATGTTTTAGCTTTATAACAGAACAATGATATTTTGTGTTTTACAAGAGTTTATACAAGGAACCAAAATAACTTATGAGTAAGTAAGTATCCCTAAAATAATGAATAGATATGCATAGAAAATCATAAGGTTACTAATAATATTACTTATTTACTGAGAAATGTACTTGATACGATCAAAAGTTTAATGGCAAGATGTCAAATAAGCTGGAAGCTCGACGAATAAGCTCGAAGCTGGATGCCGAATAGGCAAGGAAGCCTGAGTCCAGGCTCGGTCTTCCAGCTTAATGTTCAAAATTTGAGAGGATGCAATGGATGACAGCATCTAATCTATGTATATAGGTATCTATAAAAGCGACGAAAGATCACTCATTGACTCACTCATCACGAAATCTCAGAAACTACAAGTAGGTACTAGGAGTCTCAAATTTTGCATGGGGTTTCCTTTTAGAATGCTCACTAAGATGGAATTTTGCAAAATTCAACCCCTAAGGGGGTAAAACGTGCGAAGTCGCGGGCGGCCGCTAGTTTATTATAAATATTTATTATAAGTAGGAAATACTTTTTAGTACAGTTTAGCACTGTTTAATACAAAAATGCATAGCAATTTGATTTTAAAGGTTCTCCTAACACTTAACTTTCTAATTTAAACTCTTAATTACAACATTTCTCACCAGATACATAATTACCAATCTAAGGAAAATAACCAACGCATCAAACCTCAAAACTAGTCGGAAACCAGTTAAAGTTAACTGGAACGCCGTAAGCGAGTTGTGACATAGCCCTTTGGCATTGTGAATGACTTTGGGTATAATTAAGTTAAATTTAATGCATTCCTCAAATCAAATATGAAACATCTGCGTTTATAAAAGCATTAGATGTATTGAGTAATGTGTGTTTTACTTATTATCAACGGCTTCAAAATAGCTAGTCAAAAATATATGCTTTAAATATGATTTTAGGCTTCGTCACGTCTTCGTGAATTTCGATCTATCAGAGAAAGACATTACTACCTTCAAAAAATCATTTAAAAAACTAGGCATCCTGTGTTTATTTCTGGATTTCAAACTCTTTCTCTAGCAAATCTCATCCTAATAGGTTCAGGTGTTTAACACAATATTCTTTCCTAATAAATATGGGTGTCCACGGAAGACCAGCGTATATACTGTGTCAGCGTCGTGGCATTATCTACTGAGATGCTACGACACCATGCTCGGTGGATACCTTTTCAGTATCATTGTAATTACCTACTCATTAAATAATTTTAAGTATTGTTGTAAGTGTATTGTCGATGATACTGAATAAACATTTTTTCTTTCTTTCTTTCAAAGTTGGTAGGCAATGATTTCAAAAGTCGCTCATCAGTTAACCACATAAGATGATATTTTATAAAAAAGCCTGTATAACAGCTCTCTCTCTCTATTTTAAACTTTAGTATAGTAGATACATAAGATTTAGTTCCCATCTAAAACACATAACATTATCGAATTTATTTATGTAGATTATGTCGCTTTATAATCATCTCGAGTTGCTGATTGCTTGTCAAACACGCAGTTAATCACATCATGAATTGAAACTTGATACAAATCAATTATTGACCAAAATCATTTGTCAAGAGATATTGATATCCTTATGGTTATTGCATGACTTGGATCGATTTACAATAAATACGCGAATATTGAATAGCATTCTTTTTTATGCAATTGGGTAGTCAACACCACCGATCAATTGACATTTATTTTGTAGTTATACTTTTTTGTTACGACTGCAAAAAGCAAACATCCTATAGTTTTTGTAAAGCAATGGTGAATGTCAATTTGTTTCAGAACTTGTTCCTGAAACTTCACCATGGTCATGGACAGGTGAAAATAATCCTAATTCCCTGGGTCTTAAACTTTCTAACGCTTAAAACTCGATTCACTGTCTTAGATTTCATGTGATTAAAATCCTTAATAATTCAGGCTTCAAATTGAATCTAAAGTTGAACTTCTTTCTGTAATTCAGACACCTACTTCAGGGACTAGTCTCACGCCCGTATTCACAAACATTACTATGAGGTCTCACAGTGCGCGTGGACGCACAGGGTGACACATGAACCAATCACAGAGCTCTATTCAACGCTGTGCGTTCGATTTGCTGCTTCACTTAAAGCAAGCATCGTTTGTGAATACGGGCGTTAACTATCTATAAAAACTATTATGTTATAGGTACTTGCCTCCATGCAACACCTTCACTTCTTCATACGTGGGCGATCTCCATATGCTGGTCTGATGTTTTCTCTTCCTATACACTGAGAGGTCCTTCCAAGCCAATGTGAGGTTCTCAGGGTTGTCCCCCATGCCCCCGATCTCGTCATCCTCCCAGTTCACAATCGCCCCCGTGAGGACGTTGCGCGTTGGCAGCTTCAGACCAAAATCCTTCATTTTGGGGCTACGTCATTTGGTACTGTGGACAAAAGAAGAACGTTTTTAATTCAAATTCTTTATTTATTTGAAAGCCTGTTCAGTGCATTTAGAAATGAAGGTCCATTTCCAAGCAGAAACGATAGTTAATATAGCTTTGCCCTACCACATTTCGAGTCAAAATATCCGCTGTCTTGGTATCGCGATTGCGACAGGTGATTGTTTATTTCACTTTGTCTTCTTAATTGATATTTTATCTTGTGATACCTGTGTTCGTTCGTTCGTTCGTTCGTTTCAGCCAAATGACGTCCACTGCTGGACAAAGGCCTCCTCCAAGGTTACACAGGTATCCATTGTGGATACCTGTGTAGTTAGGTACTTTTGAATGTGTTTTAACCATGTCCTTGCGATAGTTACTTTCGTTATTAAAATAATGACGTTTCAAAACGATGTTAAAAATTAAATTTGGGAAAGAATGTATCCATTGGGCCTCCATAACAATATTTCAAATACTTAAGCTGGTAATGTAAATAAGAAGAGATAAGATTTCAACATCTGATGGAAGGTCCACCGACTCTTATAACTGCAGGGCACCTAGTGACTTCTTCCGGTTGATGAAACCACTCTGAATGCTATCAATTGGTTCAATTGCTGCCATCATTTTGTGGGTAGCTATATTAGCTGTCATTCACACGTCTCCAAGAATCCATTACGAAGCTGCGCGTGAGTTGGCTTTAAATTTTTGTTGCGAATTCGCCCCTATTGCTTCTAAATAAGATCACTCATGGCGTTTACCTTGATGTGCTGACATGCATTAGTATTTGTCTACGATTGTGATCGTTTTTGGGGACAAGCAAATATTATGAAGAATGAAGGAATTTCAACAGCAGACGGAGTGTCTACAAACAATGAGATCTGTTTGTTTAATATTTGATATTGAGGTAAAATGTAATAATGTTCTGGTTATTTCAAATTATGAGAAGTAAAATGAAAGCTAAAATTTTCCTATTTACTTACTGATGTCGTTAATGTATAAGGATAAAATTATTTAAAAGCTTTACATAAAACGCAGGAAATTCCTACTAATAATTTTATTTATTTATACGTTTGATCAAAATTATCTTAACATTTAATTAAGTAATGAAATGTCATTCAGATAACGTTTTATTTTAAGACTCGTACCTATTTATAGACCGGGTTTGATATTTACTACCTGACTAACTTATTAAAAAACGTACAAATGTCAAGATTGGAATAAGCATTGGCTGAAATATTGAAAGTTTTATTTAACGTGGCTACTGAAATAACGATTTTTCAGGTTAGGTAATTGGATTGGTGCAAATTATCGAGATGAACTTATATTTAATCAGGGAATTAGGTAATTATTATCAGTAACCACTTCTACTTATTTCTGAGTTTGAATCTTACCCCTGGTACCTTGACTTTAAGAGCATTATGGGTTCATGGATGCCTGCATCAGCAACTATCATAATAAATAACCATCGTCTCTACTTTGTCTTGTTAATGAAAATCGAAACCTTTCGTACAAACAATTTTCCGAAGTCAAAAGAATAAGGGTTTTTGATAAGCTAAATTGTAGCCAACTTTGGAATGGATGCATCAGATTGTTGACACTTCGAAGGTGTTTTATGACTACAAAAAAATTAGATGCAGTGCGTTCGTTCATTCGTTTCAACCAAACGTCCACTGCTGTACAAAGGTCTTCCCCAAGGATTTCCAAAACGACCGGTCCTGCGCCACCCGCATCCAGTCAGGCACCTCCCGCGACATTCACCAGATCGCCGGTCAGTGGGGGCTTGCCATGCCAACATTGCAACACTACGTCTTCCGGCCCGTGGTCGCCACTTGAGAAACTTTTCTGCGGCAGCGGCCATCAGCTCTGCGAGCTAATTGCCTCGCCCACTGCCACTTGATTTTAGCGTGCGTGCATAATCGCCCTTTTATAAAAGCCTAAAATCACTAATCCAAAGTAGCATCATCGTAAAGTACTCGACGACAAATGCCCCTTGTGGTGGAGGCCCCGCTTTCCCCCACGACCGCTCGGGGTCGGGTTTCGCATAGCGCTGACTCTGCCAAGTATGGTTAATTTAGTTTGATCCATCTATTGCTGTGCTAATTAAACTTATTTTTAGGAGTTTTAAACTTTAACGAGCAATTAATGACTGGTAAACTTCAAAATTGTTGAACAGTCGCCCATAGTAGGTATTTGGTTGGTCGGCCCTGCGTATTAATTCAAGTTAAGTACATGATTTTTTGTACGGCTAGCTAACAAAACAAACCTTAACAATATTAAGCAGTAGCACAGAATAAGTAATAGTACTGGCAGTAGTAGCATCAGGTTCATCGGGTTCATCATAATACAGTTGTCAGACACGTCATTAAATAAATGTTTTGTTGTGGAAGGCCTAAGTAACTTTAAACTTAGTAACATAGGTGAATGTTAAAGATACAATATTGAGAGCATCTTGTACGATGGAAACACATTTTTAAAAGTGGGTATTTGTATAGGTTGTGTGAGATATGAGAAACTCAATCAAATATTATGATGCTGCGCCGTCAAGATAAAGATGTGTCGTGATGAAAAATAAAAAATCTGAATTTACTACACACTTCCCTTAAATTTTCTAATTATTATAAACGCCTTTGTTGATATATAAAATACCATTACGTTAGATAAATTCCTGAAAATTATGAGGTTGTGCGAGTTTTGACCATTGTAACCACCTTTAAGGGGGACCAGATCCAAAGGAACATTTTTTAAGTTATTTAAGCTAAAACTTAAAATAAAAATTTAAATACATCAAAGACACCCTTTGAAACATAACTTTCCCTTTTACTAGTCGGGTAACAATCTAGTTACAATGTCTAGTAAAGGGACCGAAGTACCGAACTCACCAGCCTGTGACAGTTAGAAGAAAACTATTTCACAACATGTAGGAAATAGATCCGCATCCGAGTATAAGGTTACACGCACACTTGCACCAAAAACATGTAACAGGCACACTGACGTAGTATAAGTTTCGTCGGATTATAAATTAGCCTATTTATTAAGCTAGAAACGTCAAGCGCCCGAGCGCGCGTTCTTACGACTGCCTACGCTACGGCAGACTTGATTGTTTCGATTGGGCGTGATACCAACTAGGCGGGTCGACAGCATTGCAACTAGTGCAATTGGGATGCAATAACGAGTTAGGTGTCAAGTAGATTAATTAGGTTTTTTGCATTCTTGCATAGTGCTTGGCAAATTGTGGAGATACTGAAATTCAGGGACAGTTTCTGTTGGAAAACTTCAGGATTTTCGAATAATAATCGTATTATAAATTAATGTTTTTTATGACATTTAACATTTTATAAGAATAGCTTTAGAAGAGCTGAAAGAGATTTTTCAGTTTTTCACTTTATGATTTCATCCAGAGTTCTAACTGGGTCTGACTGAAAATGTACCTAATTAATGGTAAGGAATTTTTTAACATTTCTTTACCTCCAGTATCAGTTCATTTCTAAATTGTATCGAGTTTTTGAGGAGTTTGAGTAACTTTTTTGGCTTCACTTCAAGCAGGCTGCACCTGCCATAAATCAGTCTAGTTAATGAATCAAGTAAATGGTTCCACCCAATTCTGTTTAGCATCCTTATATTTTGGAGCGTGAACAGTATTACCTATTCACTAGTAGAATGTGCAACAGATTTGTTTTCATGAAAGCTCTTTTATAGCTCTCTTTTGGTCTGTCACCTCCTGTCCCCAAAAAAAACGTCAGGTAAATAATACTAACGCAGAATATTTTGTTTTTCTTTGTCCATGTCCTTGTCTTTGTAAAAATGGACTAGAATTTTCCAAGTTTTTCTCCTAAAAACACAAACCATTTAGTTAGGTACATTCTTATTTAGAAGAAACTTATTACATTATATTGGTTATTTTTCTTTTAATCGATCAGTGAAGTATTAAATTTTGATATCTAGGTATGTACTTATTCAACGTATCGAATCCGGTCAGAAAAACTGGTAGTCGCAAACTACTCGTAGATTAGTTAATAGTTTTACAACTTTTAGGCCTAAATTAGTTATAATTGCATGTTAAATTAACTCTTTAGCATGTAGTAATTAAAGAGAAATCATAAATTCACAAAACATTTAAAAAGTGGCGTAATGTTATCCATTAGATTTTATGCCAATATTAAAATCAGTAGGTACAATTTCATTAGCGTTGTGTTTTAAAATATTTAAAATCAAGTAAATTATTTTATTTCACTAATTGTCATTTATAGACCAAAGAGTATCAATACTTACCTACTGATTCATAGCAATAAAAAGCATCTATAAAATTTACTAAAATTATTATCCCTAAAGTACTAAAATTATAAATTAATTAGGTCATTTGATAGTTCTTTTAACATAAATATTTAAAATAAAGTCATTGCCGTATTGAAATTATGAAAATTCATTTATTTCATGCATTTTAAACGATCGAACAATTTCCCAATGCAAACTCCATAGCGAAATTAGTTTTTAATCAGTGTTCAGTTAACATCCGAACTGTCCATTGCGTTGTCAAACTTCACGCATTACGTCGTTCAATTGTTTTAAATGTGGAAGCCGATAATTTTGGACGTTGAGTGCATCGTTTGCAACAAATCGTTGCAAAAGATTAACCACGACCCGCCCGAGGTGCCGCGAAAGATGGGTAAAATTACTTGTCGCAGATCGAGGACGCCGAATTGGTCGGCCGATGAGAAAAAGTATTTGTTGGAGTTAATTAAGGAGCGCAAAGAAGTTGTTGTGACTAAGAACAATAACGGGCCAAATTATTCTGAAGAGAAGGACGTGGCTTGGAACGAGATATTGAGGGAGTTGTGTCTCAAGTTTGGAAATAAATTTTCTGGTAGTTCGACTAAGAAGGTGAAAACTCAATGGCAGAACATGAAACGGATAGCAAGAGAGGAAATCTCGTTGGTCGGGCCCGATACTTCGAAGTACACTAGGCAAAGCCTGGAGGTGTGCACAATACTTGACCTAATAAAAGATGGCATGATAAAACGCGATGATGAGAATTTAAACGACACTTTAATGACAGCTAACATAGAAATAAAAACCGAGAGGATTGACGAGTAAGTAATTTAATTGATATTGCAATTTTTAGCTATCGCGTCATTCATTACAGGCCTAATTGCTAGACAATGGTAAATAGGTTACTTACTATTGTAATTAAGTGACATAAATGTGTGGAAAGTTAGTAAGATTTGTACCTATGTACTTTTGTTTGTTGGTTTAATTTTAATTAACTTAAGTGCGCCATTACCATCTGAAATATTAAAACAAAATGGCGAAATTGCAATTAGGTAAGTACTTCATAAGTTACTTCTAAGAAGATATAAGGTTTATATTGAGTACATTGAAAATGGGATTAGATTAATAAAAGTATTTTTATTACAGAGACATCACCGAGCCAAGCTGCAGCGGCGTCACCATTCCGGCCAAAGAACCACCACCCACTAGTCAAAGTAACGCCCCACCAGCTGCTATTACCCGACCTCCCCCTTCCGAGTCGTCATCAGCTTCAGATGTCATCGAGTTTGAGCCACCCGCTCCGCAGCCGGTGACGATCAATGTAGAAGAGCCAAGCAAGAAGAACGCGGCAAACATGACTGAACCATGCGTGGAAGGAATGGGCAATCCTGGACTCTTGCAACGTCAGCTGCAGGAGTTTTTCAGGTAAGTTTAAAAAAGAAAGTCTCCCAGATCCTTGAAAATCAAGAGACCTAGCAACGCTACCTGAATGTGATCGTTAATAGGACCCCTTGTAAGAAGAACGCGGCAAATATGACTGAACCATGGGTGGAAGGAATGGGCAATTCTGGACTCTTGCAACGTCAGCTGCAGGAGTTTTTCAGGTAAGTTTAAAAAAGAAAGTCTCCCAGATCCTTGAAAATCAAGAGACCTAGATACGCTACCTGAATGTGATCGATAATAGGACCCCTTGCAAGAAGAACGCGGCAAACATAACTGAACCATGCGTGGAAGGAATAGGCAATCTTGGACTCTTGCAACGTCAGCTGCAGGAGTTTTCAGGTAGGTTTGAAAAAAGAAAAGTTTCACCAGATCCCTGGATATGGATATCTGTGTGATCGGTAGTAGGACCCCTTCTGACAAGGTTGAGCAATAATTAGAAGCCGACCAAAATATTGCCTGATAAAAATAAACGCGTAAGTTGCTGGCAAAAACGTCGTGATGCCCAAATTTTAATGTGTTCGATCGCGTTAACCGCGTTTCAGGTGCTAGGTCTAGGTTGTGGTCTAGGTTCCCTTCTATGATCTGAGGGTCTAGGTAATCCAAAAGAAGGTCCTATGTCTAGCCGGAAAATGATGGTGAGCTTTCATCGATGAGGGCAATTGATTACAATACCACTGGTAATCACATACCTACATAAAAACATAGACGCATGAAATATCGCTTGACTCAGTCAGTGTCTGACGTGTGGTGAGAGCGGCAGGGGAGGGGTGACATTGACTTTATGACGTGACAGAGCATACAAATTGCAAAGAGATCGGAAGTCTCGCAGACGTTTACCTGACACGAAAACACCCTCCCATGCAGCTCCCATACCTCAGGCACTGACTCAATTAAGCGCTAGACCTATACTTAGATGAATATTATTATTTTTCTTAGATATTCATCCGATGAAAAGCAGATAAAGATGGAATCCCTGAAAGAGGAGCGTCGTGTCGTCAAAGTGATGAGGGAGACAGCCGAGCTGAACAAAATTATCGCCGAGCAGAAGCTAAAGCATGTCCTTTGGGTCAAGAAGCAAGAAATGACGTAAGTTAAACTTACCAAACCTCTAAACCTAGCAAAATGAAAAAGGGTGGATAAGTTTCATAAATACTAGTTTTCATATTTAACTACCCCTAAGCAGCGACAACAAAAGAAAAATTTAAGAGCGTTGTAGCAAAAAGTTGGCGTTCGAATTTTAGGTTTTTATTGCTTGACGTCGCGTAGTGAGTGCGCAAACTGCATTTATCTGTACAATTTCAACGCTGCGTCGACTAAACGATCTTAATCCGTAGTTGTATCGTACCTAAGACAGTACATCATACATAATAATAAAGAAATAATGTATAATTTACCTATTTGATTTTTTCTCAGATCAGACTTTTAGCAAAATCAAGTTACGTAATTAATGTATTTTTTACACTAGTNTTTTTTGCTATCGCGTCATTCATTACATGCCTAATTGCTAGACAATGGTAAATAGTTCATTTACTTACTATTGTAATTAAGTGACATAAATGTGTGGAAAGTTAGTAAGATTTGTACCTACTTTTGTTTGTTGGTTTAGTTAATTAACTTTAGTGCAATTAGGTAGGTAGGTACTTCATAATATTTTTATTACTAAGAAGATAATATAAGGTTTATATTGAGTACCTACATTGAAAATGGGATTATACATATAAACGTATTTTTATTACAGAGACATCAGCGAGCCCTGCTGCAGCGGCGTTACCATTCCTGTCAAAGAACCGCCACCCACCACTCAAAGTAACGCCCCGCCAGCTACTGTTACCCGACCTCCTCCATCCGAGTCGTCATCAGCTTCAGATGTCATCGAGATTGAGCCACCCGCTCCGCAGCCGGTGACGATCAACGTAGAGGAGCCAAGCAAGAAGAACGCGGCAAACATGACTGAACCATGCGTGGAAGGAATGGGCAATCCTGGACTCTTGCAACGTCAGCTGCAGGAGTTTTTCAGGTAAGTTTAAAAAAGAAAGTCTCCCAGATGCTTGAAAATCAAGAAACCTAGAAATACTACCTGAATGTGATCGTTAATAGGACCCCTTGTAAGAAGAACGCGGCAAATATGACTGAACCATGCGTGGAAGGAATGGGCAATCCTGGACTCTTGCAACGTCAGCTGCAGGAGTTTTTCAGGTAAGTTTAAAAAAGAAAGTCTCCCAGATCCTTGAAAATCAAGAGACCAAAAAACGCTACCTGAATGTGATCGTTAATAGGACCCCTTGTAAGAAGAACGCGGCAAACATGACTGAACCATACGTCGAAGGAATGGGCAATCCTGGACTCTTGCAACGTCAGCTGCAGGAGTTTTTCAGGTAAGTTTTAAAAAGAAAGTATCCCAGACCCCTCAAAACTAAGAGACCTAGCAACGCTACCTGAATGTGATTGGTAATAGGACCCCTTCTGACAAGGTTGAGCAACGTTAAAAACTCAACACGTAAGTACCGGCAATGTTGTGATGCCCAAATGTCTTCGACTGCGGTAAACGAGTCATGCTGTAGCGGCGTTACCATTCCAGCTAAAGAACCGCTACCCATCTCTCAGAGTAACGCCCCACCGGTAGCTAATGCTCGACCTCCCCCTTCCGAGTCGTCATCAGCTTCAGATGTCATCGAGATTGAGCCACCCGCTCCGCAGCCGGTGACGATCAACGTAGAGGAGCCAAGTAAGAAGAACGCGGCAAACATGACTGAACCATGCGTGGAAGGAATCGGCAATCCTGGACTCTTGCAACGTCAGCTGCAGGAGTTTTTCAGGTAGGTTTGAAAAAAGAAAAATTTCACCAGGTCCCGCAAAATTAAGAGTCCTAGCAACGCTACCTGAATGTGATTGGTAATAGGACCCCTTCTGACAAGGTTGAGCAACGTTAAAAACTCAACGCGTAAGTACCAGCAATGTTGTGATGCCCAAATGTCTTCGACTGCGGTAAACGAGTCATGCTGTAGCGGCGTTACCACTCCGGCCAAAGAACCGCCACCCATCTCTCAAGTAACGCCCCACCAGCTACTATTACCCGACCTCCTCCATCCGGTCGTCATCAGCTTCAGATGTCATCGAGATTGAGCCACCCGCTCCGCAGCCGGTGACGATCAACGTAGAGGAGCCAAGCAAGAAGAACGCGGCAAACATGACTGAACCATGCGTGGAAGGAATGGGCAATACTGGTCTCTTTTGCAACGTCAGCTGCAGGAGTTTTTCAAGTAGGTTTGAAAAAATAAAAGTTTCACCAGATCCCGATCACACAGATATGGATATCTGTGTGATCGGTAGTAGGACCCCTTTTGACGAGGTTTAGCAATAATTAGAAGCCGACCAAAATATTGTCTGATAAAAATAAACGCGTAAGTTGCTGGCAAAAACATCGTGATGCCCAAATTTTAATGTGTTCGATCGAGATAACCGTGTTTCAGGTGCTAGGTCTAGGTTCTATGATCTGAGGGTCTAGTGCCCGTTTTCACCATCAATCCTTAATTTTTAAGTGGCCTCTATGTAAACAAAATTCCTGTTATTTGTTGCCATAGGGGTCATTTAAAAATTAGGGATTGATGGTGAAAACGGGCATAGGTAATCTAAAAGAAGGTCCTTTGTCTAGCTGGAAAATGATGTGAGCTTTCATCGATGAGGGCAATTGATTACAATACTAACTACCGATACCTAAATACCTACATAAAAACATAGACGCATGAAATTTAATGATTGCTTAAAAGTATAATAGCGCTTGACTCATTCAGTGCCGTGGGGTGAGAGCGGCAGGGGAGGGGTGACATTGACTTTATGACGTGACAGAGCATACAAATTGCAAAGAGATCGGAAGTCTCGCAGACGTTTAGCTGACACGAAAACACCCTCCCAAGCAGCTCCCATAGCTCAGGCACTGACGCAATTAAGCGCTAGATCAATACTAAAATGAACTTTTTTTTTCTTAGATATTCATCCGATGAAAAGCAGTTAAAGATGGAATCCCTGAAAGAGGAGCGACGTGTCGTCAAAGTGATGAGGGAGACAGCCGAGCTGAACAAAATTATCGCCGAGCAGAAGCTAAAGCATGTCCTTTGGGTCAAGAAGCAGGAAATGACGTAAGTTAAACTTACCAAAACTCTAAACCTAGCAAAATGAAAAAGGGTGGATAAGTTTCATAAATACTAGTTTTCATATTTAACTACCCCTAAGCAGCGACAACAAAAGAAAAATTTAAGAGCCTTGGGCACTTTGGGTCCTGCTTACCTAAAAGTAGATAGCAGACACGGTAATAATATCATACAGTATTGTAACTTCATATAAACCGACAAAACGCGAGCTTTCCTTCGAATTTCAAATCTCGGGACTTGGTTGAGATGAAAAAATTAGGGGTGTCGCGAATGTGCCGAACGGACGTCGATGGCCTAATGTTGAAAATGACTAAGGTGATTGAATTTGACTGATCGTCATTGAGGGTCAAATTTGTGAAAAACTAGTCATTAACTGTCAGAAATGGTCATTTTCAGTCAGTTTGATTTGAAATGAAAATTATATATTGTATAAAACCAGCTTTTGCCAACGATTTCACCCGCCTGAAATTAAAGTAACAGGTCATTGAGTACTCATTATGATTAGTAGATTCAAAATTATTTTAGTATATTTTTTAAAATTAAATCTACTAATCACAAAACAACACGCATTTTTATCCTATTCCATTCACGAAGTATTTTGTTTGTCTTAATAAAAAAAAATTACATTCACAAAACTAGATAGAAATTCTAAGTAGACAGATGTAATTAGAATGGGTACTGTAGGTGAGCAGCCCTATCGCATGTTGTCATACCGTGACGTACCGCGGGGCTGTTGACATTTATTTCAAAAATATGGCCGAGTTGGAATACTGTATAGATAGTATTACCGTGTAGAGCTGACCGACGCTGAACTGTCCCACCAAACTCAATGACAGGGGGGCGCTACCATCGTTCAACTATATGGTTTCCAACATGGCAAAAATCGGAACCAGCGATCCGGTATTGACGGTGGCGCCCCGCTGTCAATGTCATGGATAGGACAGTTCAGTATTTTGGAACTATAGCAGAAGTAAGACTTACTTTTTGAAAAGTTAGTATTTGTTGACTGAATTTAGTTTCTAGACGATTCGGACAAGCACTGATGATGTCATTGACAGCTGTCACAACCAGATTGGTATCTTTGTCAATGTCATTGTCAAAATATTGAAGATTGAAGAATATTCTCGTGAAAACTTCCTACAGCGTTTATTTATAAGTGCATTTTTTAATTTTTTAAGATTCAATCATGAATGTTATTGCTAGAACTCGTGTTTCTATTTTACGCCCCCTTGTTAGTGTAAGGTAAGCAATCCAATTGTCAATGGACCGGCACGCGCCGGTTACGCAATCTTGACATTACTAATCTGAAGAAAATCTTAATTTTTAAGGCTAAAAATATCTATTTTAGTACCCACATAGTAGCACTTTAGGTTTGTACACAAAGATATAAAGTAAACCGATAAAAATATTGATATTTATGATAGTATTTGGTACTTAACTAACCACTGAATTGCACGCATTTATCCTCCATTTAGGGTCTGATTAGATAAAAGTGTACCTTCATAAATACATTTTTAAGCTGTGCGTAAAACTAAACTAGTTTTTTTTAAACAATGTCGTCATTTCTGGCTTAGTCATCTCTGTTTTCATCTGGTTTTCATAATGCGTGCTATCTTTGCATCATCACAGACATTACAATATTTGCTTTTCATTCACTCAATTTGGCATGCAACCAGTACACTTTTAGACATTGTTATATCCACATCAGTTCTGTCAGATTAAATTAAAATGTAATTTAGTTTTCATATAAACAAAGTTAAAAATTTGATGCTTTGTGTGTGACAAGGGAAATATCTACCAATGCATGAAGATACAAAACAACAATTTGTTTTGTTTTATGAAAAATGATGAGTCATTCCTCCAATTGTTTTGTTTCGAGCTTTAAAAGATAATTTAGCATTTCCCGTAATTGCTACTAATTTAATGTGGTTTTCCCTCTTTGATAACTAAATAGGTATTATTATCCATTGTGTCATTAATGATGTGTAATTTACCAAATGTTCCAGAATGTATTCCGGAGAGCCTGGGTCAGGAGCGGGCAAGGGTGGTGGCGGTGGCGGTTCCATCCGTGAGGCAGGCGGTACCTTCGGCAAGATGGAGGCTGCGAGGGAAGATGAATACTTCTACAAGAAGGTAATAACATTTATTTTATTTACCTTTCACTCACTTGTTAGATAATAATTTTAGTTATAGTTGACTTGACTTGACATGACATTGACAGATCTGTCAAAATCCACCAATCATGCAGCATTTGGACCTCCCGTCTACGTATTGCCATCTGGCGGATTTTTTAATCGCGAAAACCCTCATTAAAGCAACAAGACTAATAAGTAAGTTTAAATGGGATAATTTAAAGGAAAACTTTGTGGTAGGTTGGTGCACTTTTTTCTGTACATAGTGGTGGTTACAATCCTAGTCATCTCAAGTGTCTTTACAGCATTATAAAGCATGACTCAGAACTATTATTTTCTCTTTTCAGCAAAAAGAGCAACTTGCCAACTTGAAGGGGCACTTGAACAAGGAGATTGCCTTCCATCAGGACCAGATTAAGCGTCACGAAGACGCCATCCGCCGTCACAAGGAACAAATGTCCACCATGGACTCGAAATAAATCAAAATAAAGCACTAGGCTTTACAATTACTTAAAAATACTTACTTAAAATTCATAAAAATCTGAATTTGGAAAACAACATGTAATTTGTAGAAGCTTTTCATCTGAACATTCGATGGTTTTTGTTTAAGATTGTAATGTAACGGATTGATGTAAGATTACAAATTGTTTGTTTTAAGAATGCTTTATACTTGAGCTTTTATTTCGTTTAGTTATTAGACTGAGGTTTGAGCAATATATTGTCTACAAACATTCAAGTTTTTTATTTATGATGTTCTAAATAAATTAAATTAGACTGCATTCAAGACAAAAGAAAATTACGAGAAAGAATGTTTTGCTTTTGTTTTAGGTCAATAGCGCCATCTAGTGTCTTGTAGCTGCACTACATCTTAGTACATAGAACACTACGTAATGAAGTATGAAGGTGGAAAGTGTCATAGTTAGTTATTAATAGATGGCAGTAGTTTAGTTTTTAAATAATTTATTTTATTCAGCGAAAGTTTAAGAAACTTAATTGTTGAAAATAATTGTTTTACGAATCTGATTTAGGTATATTCTGGAAAAAAGTTTCTCACTACATAATTATCATTTTTACTTTTATTTAATCTAAAACTTATTTTGTGTAGGCAAATCGTGTTTCAAAGGGTTAATAATTTTAGAGTAATTTAGACCAAGGGCTAACTTTCATAAAATGAATGGGGCGATTAGATTGCTTGTTATGAAGTCTTACGTAATTTTATATTAGTTAGAACTTTGTCACACAGACGTTCTCTACTCTATCTGTGAAAGATAAACGCTAAATCTGATTAGGTACCTACCTACTAGAAAAGTAAGTTAATATTATGTTATGTACTTAGGTACCTAACTAAGCTCAGTTAGCAGTCACTGGATTCAGGAGACCATCAACTTCAGATAGAAAGGAATGTAAACGGACCATGAGTCATACTGTATGACTGATACATCGGTAATTAGGTAAGTATTGCAGTAGCTATAAGACATTGTGATGGCTATCTCATGCCTTGTTTGTTTTGACGCATTTTCAATGGAGCACCAGAGGCGGTCGTCGCCCTAGCCAATAATATTTCTGTCCGGCGTGGGGCCAAATTTAGAACAAGTTCGTTGGGCCGCCGCGGTCGATCGAAGTACTATGCTTGGGGAACGGTGCTATTACTTTTCGACTGAGCAGTAATAAATCGGTGTGCGTGACACGAAGTAGAGCTGAATCGACTAAGCCATCGGGCGAACGACCGAGCGCCGACGAGCGGCCGCGGAGTGAAGTGAGCCGCGAGCCGCTCCCTACCGCGGGGCGCGCGCCCTCACCGCTCTGAACGCAGCTCCAAGCGACCTCTCAGTTTACTACAATCGCAAACCGACGCCGCATGTCGTTTCGCGAGTTGTTGTGCCCGTGTGTATGGTGCTAGTGTAATAACATAACAGCAATCTGTTTTGTGCTGTGTTATTTGTGCTATTGTGTCGTACTGCCGGAGCGACGGGGCCCACTCACTTGTTGTGATGCATTTGAGGATATACTTATGGCTGTCTTGTGTAGTCCTCGCAGGATATGTACGAGCGCAAGAGGTAAGGGGGACCCGTCTTAAATGCGGCTTCACCCGGCTTTTTGTTGTGTAGGAAGACGGGATTGTACGGGGACGGTGTAGGTGCACGGCGAACATCGCCTATTGGCCGAGACAAAAGTTGCAGACATGCACAGCTTGCGTAACTTTCAATGTCAACAATGAGTAATTTGGAGTAGTCGTATGCAGTTACCTATTAGTGCTGTCTGTTATAAGATGCGAGGTGAAGTTATCGCTGTCGTAACGTTAAATATTCATCGTTACCTTGAACGTGCAGTGGGCAATCGCCAGGTAAACAAACGTTATCGTGTCTCCTTCCCATCGATTGGTGTCGCGTTATTTTTGTTTCCGTATCGCATAATATCGGAGGAGTGTGCGTGGAGTTTACGTGTTTACTCACTGGCAGCCCGGCTTCGCCCACGTTTTGGGAGAAAGCTGGTTGCACCGCGTTCGAGGCTATAAACGCACCCACTGACTAGGCCTACAGAGTGTGTTATTACTTATTAACCATGCACCCCATTACGTTGTCTGAGTATCAAAACACCTAGCTAGGTATGTACATTTAATATTGAAACACTCGAAAAAGACAACTCGGTGACGACAAATTGTGAAGAAACCCTGAAATGAAACCCTGGACTGGACCTTAAAACATTAAAACTAAAGCCTAAAATAAAGCCCTAAATAACCAAACCAACACATCTCCTTTTTCATACATTATCGACTTCGACGTCAACCTACCTTTAGTTATCGTAAGTTCGTAACTAAAATGAGAACACGGCGACTTAATATGCGCCGTCGTCTACACGAAGTAAATTGCCTACATACACATATCGATAAGGCTATTTAGTCAACTTGAATGAGTCTCGAGTACCTACCTACAAGGAACCTTGAGACCAAGTAGTAAAATCATCTAAATAACAGCATTGATCACTATCAATCAGATATTAAGACTAAAAATGATAGGAAAAAATTAAGAACAAAACAACAAAAACTTACTTTAGATTATAGCAATGACAATGTTGATATTGAATCAGACGTAACTTGCCTTCACGAAGATACTCATTGGAGATTTCCTTTCTCCCTTTATAAAAATAACATTAATAATAACTGTCGAAGTAACCTTTAGAAAAGGAAGAGAGTAATTAGTGAGATTGTAGATCAATGTCATTTCACATTTTAACATCGTTAATTTTTTCCAGGAATCCTGTTAAGTGGAAAGTTTGAAGACCCCTCAATTTAAATAGAACATTCTGAATAAAATGAGTGACCATGATAGCAATGGATATTGAATCCAACAGGCCGTCTCCCATTTCTCGGTCAGTAGAGACCGTAAACTCGTTTTTGTAACAACATGAAGTAACAAAACGAGGTCAAAAAGATCCCAGATAATGTGAACACCTGTGAAATCTTCCTTTAAAGCTATTTGAAGGGGTAATGTTATATAAAATGTCATTTTTGCAATACATTTGTTATATTTGTAGAGTAACATCCACTCTACAATTTTTGTATTAAATAAACTGAATCGTCACTATTACGCAAATTAAATATAAATCCTTTTAGTAATATTATATAAATTCGATCCCCTTATTTAATATGTCCACATGGAACACATCAACACTAATTACAATAATTCTACTAGGCCAGTAATTGTATTAGAATAAGGAACTATTAAGGACGCAGACCGCTGCCAATCGATCAACATGGAAAGCATTGGGGGAGGCCTATGTTCAGCAGTGGACGTCCTATGGCTGAAATGATGATGATGATGATGATGAAGGAACTATTCTGCTAAGTAGCCAGGATCTACAGCATGGCCGCCATAAAACCCAATCAATGAAGGCCAAGTTTGTCCCAGAAAATATGTACTGTCACAGTATAGTTTAAACTTAGTAGTCAGGAATATTCAGTATCTGCTGTTCTGTCGTGTGCTGTCGTTCCCACTGCTGCAATTACATACTCCTGTGTAGCCAGGAACTACAGCTTGATCGCCAATAAAACCCCAACCAGTAAAGGCTGCTTGTTTCGGGGGAAAGTGAAACTGTCATTGGACCACCACGAAATTAATTTGAAAAAAAAGAGGGAGTTCGAAATTAATGATCAACTCTATCCATCCATAATAGTAACACAAATAATACATTGGTTAATCAAAAGTCTCGCTCTACTAACCAGCGCAGGCAAAATCGTCGAGATATCCACGTATTGTTTTTCCAAATGTTCCCTTTTACTTCAGAATCAGACATAAATAAATCAATATGTGGCTAAAACACGCACAACACCTGAGGTAATTTATCATGGAGTGCGGCATTGCCTTTCTGATTCACTAGTCAGACTAATGTTACAGTTGACTGATTTTCGTGCTTTTCACTGTCTGTCGTAGGTTTTACGTGAACGCCTTTTTCCAAATGAAAAGAGCTATGAAACAACTAGGAACAGTTATTACTGCAGTTGCGTTCACTAACAAGTACCAATTGACGCTGGCAGTGAATTTGCAAAGAGCTTACCTGCTTGTTGTTTGATGTGAAAGGATCGACTCTTCTATTCAACCAGTTTAGCTTGATGTGTCATTAAAAATCTAGGAGTTCTGCCAGAACTCAAAATACCTGGCAGTATACAATAAACATGTATAAAGGATAATCTTCTTGAAACATACCAGGATTAAAAGAATCTCGTTGTATCCAGCAATCTGTAAAATCGGTTATTATTTAAAACGAGAGCTTTGGAAGAAAAATGAATAAACATTTTAAACTAGACCAAAAAAAAATAAGCTTAGTAAAGGAGACCCACTTACTTTATTTAACTATGAATGAAAAACAACAAAGTACCTAAGTTACAGATTTTTGAATTTTTCAGACCCAGGGATGGTTTTTGATATGTACGATGTGCGTGGTATTATAAAATGAGTTAAACCGTGATTTCAGTTAGTAACAACACATTATTTTACGTAACAATATCCCTACAAATTATGTAAAATTTACCGATAAAAACGTGAGAGTTACTTGGTTTCACGATCGTCTGTGTCGCGGTCAGTTCACTGTCAAATAGTTTGTCATATGATGTCGTTTTAAACGAATTTCAGGCTAGAAATGTAGATTGTAGAGTCGAGCGGTGAATTTCGTTTGGGGAAAAAACGCAGTAAAAACCAGCATGCAATTGCGATGCCTGGTTCAGTTTTTACTTCAACAATTCGTAATTTACAAGCTTTATGCTTTAGTTTTATGCAAATAGAATGCAGCGGCATTATTCGTGTCGTTATGTCGTAGCGCTTAAAGTTTACTAATTAGGCTTATGAATAGCTCTATTTATGAACATGATTGTGTAGTTAATTAGACGTTAGTACTTGTAAAGGCTCTTATAGGTATCTGTTTTGATTAACTGCTATGGCTTTCAAAAATTCAATGAGAAATTTTAATTAATGGATATAGTCAAGTTAGTTGTGCACAATGAAAAATATTTTTGGCTATATATTTTTTTAATTTGGTAAATAAACCTAATTCTTCTCAACCATCTTCCTGTACCGTCATGTTTCATTACATAGCCCGAATCTTTTTACGAACTAAGAAATAAAAAGTTCAATAACGATTTCACTGCATTTCAACTCAAGCTATGCGACTGACTAAAAAAAATAATTTTATTATTGTAACGGGCCTTGTTCCTTCCCACTCTGCGGTAGGTACTTAT